TACATATTTATATGTGATTGTAACGTATTTAATCACAAGTTCAGGTTCTATTGTGAATTATTAAGTTTCTTCCGGTTAGAACATAATGCAATTTATCTTATTGTTTTGGTTTTTTTTTTGTTTGTTTTTGTTTTTTTTAATTTTATTTCTTAGTGTTTAAAGGCTATATGCATGCAACATAATTAATTCTATTAAGGAATTGTTACATAAAATGTGTACCTTAAACTAAAATATAACATGTCTTTTAGAGATTGTATGTCACCATTGACCTATATGTATTATAAAATGATTGATTATATACCATGACACTCATAGGTTTGTAACCTTTTGTGAATAAAGATTATTATTATTATTTGATAATATGTTAAACTAGTTTAATATAAGTAAGATTCATCGTGTTTTGCAGCGGATATTCATACTAATACCAGGGCCCTGTCCAAATGCATAATAGGTGAATATAAAATCCACGCAAACTGAATTATAAATTCTATAACAAAATATAGAAAAACAATGAAATAAGCTGAAATGAGTTATTTACAATTGTTCGTCAAAGACGACATAGTGTAATAATGAAATCATACACTAAGATACTACAGTTACTATATTAAACGTACACATTGCGTGCAGAATTGATGCTATATTGTAAGTGGTTCAAGGGATGTTAAAATGATGTGTCAATTACAAATAACAAGAAGTATGCGACCCTGTTCAAGCTTACAATTGTCTTTTTATAACTGTCAGATGTCAACTATTTGGTGTTCATCGTCGCTGTCCTAATCTCCTGTACAAAGCCGAAACATCGCCTCTTCAGTTATTTGATTGTCGGAAAAATCTCAAAATCAAAAGGCATGGACGTAGTTAAAGTGAATGGAATTAGTATAGAGATTAAAAAATGTTATAAACGTCTTCGTTCGATCTCGATGCAATAATACAATAAAAGTACATATTCATCAACCTGAAAGTATTCTCTCTTCCGCGCAACAAATACCTGTATTTACTAAACCAATTAAACTTAAAATGACTATTGTATCACTATTACATTTATTTATTAGAAAGACGCTGATACAGATAAAGGAAATTAAAATAGTATTTAGAATACTCTTCTATTCAATTTGGTCAGAATTTAATTGAGTTGGAACAACAGATTGGGAGCTCTGTATTATCGTGGTATTACATTGTTAACTGGCGATTGGAATGCACGTACAGGCAATGGAGACCGCAAGGATTATATTGTTTGTGATCGTACCGTTAGTTTTACAGACTATGAAGATTATTACCCCGACATGCCTATAGAACGTGTGTCCATGGACTGTCTACATAATAACTCGGGTATTAAATTATTAGATGTATGCAAGGCTAGTTCTTTACGTATTGCAAATGGTAGGCTTGGTCGTGACTATAATAATGGAAACTATACTTATATATGCTCATCGGGATCTAGTGTCATTGACTATCTATTGTTGAAAGAGCAATATTTCAGTTTAGTTAGCGATTTCTCTGTACAGAGTTTTAATGAATGGTCTGATCATGCTCCTATATCATTTTCCATTAAATGCCACGTATTGCACGAGGATAATGATATCTATTATGAAAGCATTAGTGTACGATGGAATGACGAGTTACGGAACGAATTCCGTAGAGGTCTTATATCACAACTACCACGTTTAAATACTATTACCGAAAATGTTGATTTTAACGATAGATTACAGTTAAATTCATGTATAGAATCCTTTGTAAATGTTGTGGGAAGCGTGGCAGATCCATTATTTTGTAAACGTAGAATAACATATATTACGCCACGTGCCGATGGTAAACTATGTAAAAAGGCAGAATGGTTTGATGAAGATTGCAAACGTTCAAAAGAGGTATATTTAAATTCTGTATATAAATATAATATGTGTAAAAATGATGTAAATAGAATAGAATTTTGTAATAATAAACTAATTTATAAAAATGTTGTTAAAAAAAAGAAACGTAGTTATGAGTTAAAAAAATTAAGAAAAATTGAACGACTTCGTCACTGTAAACCTAAGGATTTTTTGGAAATTGTTTACTAAAAAGGCGATACATAAGAATAGTGTTTCCATAGAAGATTTTTATGAGCATTTTCTACCCCTAAGTAATGATTTGCCAAATGTTTTGCATGCCGAAAGTGAATTATTTTGTGAAAATTTAGATTTTTTTTTAGTAATGATGTACTGTACGAGGAGCTAGATGAACCTATAACAGTTTGATGAGATAATTGTGTTATTCGTCATTTAAAGAGAAAATAAGGCTTTTGCAGGTGACCAGTTTATTGAATGAGTATTTTATAAATTCGTCCGATATTTTATCATCGCATTTAGTTGATATTTTTAATGGTATTCTGAACTCTGGCTTTTTTCCAGATTCATGGATGGAAAGTATTATTGTACCTCTGTTTAAGAAAAATGACCCTGCACTTGCTAGTAATTATAGAGGAATCAGTCTCGTTAGTTGTTTTTCAAAGATATTTACAGGTGTTCTGAATAACAGATTGACAAAATGGTCTGAAGAAAACGATAAAATTAGTGATGCACAATTTGGTTTCAGGAAGGGTCGCTCCACAGTGGATGCTATTTTTGTTTTAAATGCTGTTGTTAATAAAATTTTAAATGAAAATGGACGTTTAGCATGCGCCTTTATAGATTTTCAAAAGGCTTTTGATAGTGTTTATCGTAATGGTTTATGGTTTAAACTATATAATATTGGTGTACGTGGAAAAACTTTAAGAATCATCCATGATATGTACTCTAAAGTAAAAGCACGAATATGGGGCTGTAAATCATATTCAGATTTCCTGGAATGTTCAATTGGTCTTAAACAAGGGGAGGTAATGTCCCCGATATTGTTTTCTATGTTTTTAGAAGATTTAGAAATGTATTTTATTAAATGATATTAATTCTGGTTTAACATTAGATGATATTACATTTATTCTCATGTTATTTGCTGATGATATTGTTATTTTAAGTAAATCCCCTGAAGACTTACAAAAATAGTTTAAATACATTACATAATTACTGTACTTTATGGGGCCTTAAAGTAAATGAAGGTAAAAGTAAGATTATGGTTTTTAGGAAGAGGGGTCCGATTAGAAATAATGAGTATTGGACATATAATAATATTCCCTTAGAAATAGTCGACACTTTTTAATTATTTAGGTACTGTTTTCAACTATACAGGTAGTTTTACTTTAAATCAAGAGTATTTTAGTAGGGAAAGCCCTAAAGGCGTTAAATGTTTTATTGTTCAATTTAAAACCAGACACCAGTTAAATTTAGTACTTCTTTGCAATTATTTGATGCCTTTGTTGTATCTATTTTAAATTATGCCTGTGAAATATGGGGATTTAGTAAAAGTAAGGAAATCGAACGAGTACATCTAAAATTTTGTAAGTCCATGTTGTGTGTTAAGCAGTCAACTAGCAGCATGGCTATTTATGGTGAGCTGAAAAGGTACCCTTTATATGTAAACAGATATGTACGTATTATCAAATTTTGGTCAAATATTGTTAACAGTAATAATGTTATAGTTAGATACTTATATACATCAATGTTGAATGATATTAATAGAGGAAAAAATAACTGGTTGTCTAACGTGAAATCTTTGTTAGATAATGCAGGTTTGTCATATATATGGTATAATCCAAGTATTTATAACCTTAAAAATGTACATTTATTATTTAAGCAAACTCTTATTGATCAATTCATCCAGTCATGGTATCATAATGTAACAACTAGCCCGAGCCTTTGACTTTTTGTCATTTGTACTGTGCTTATGCAAAAATCACACCAATAGCAATAGAAACTACGGTATGGTAAACACGTGATATATTTCATTTTGTTTGTATTTGTAGTGCTTATAATGATATACGTAAACAGTACTTAAAGAAATATTATTATAATAGACCTAGTGTCCATAAATTCGTTGAACTAATGCAGAATACCAACAACAACATGCAACTTAAATTATGTAAATATATATATGAAGCGTTTGAAAAACGTCAGGGTATTGTTAATATGATATCTGAATAAGCTTATTACTGTATATACCAAAAATATACTTATTGTCCGTGTTATAATTCAATAATTTCATGAAACATTTGACTGATTTTGACTGTTATTTAGCTGTAAGTCATAAATATACAAAATCTCCATTAGTTCAACCTCCTTGTTTTCTCGCTTCCATTTTCTTTCTTGATTTGATTATTTGTATCATATGTTCCGCTAAAAATATAATTGTCTATAAATTTGTGTCATGTTGACAAGTTATATTGTATCATTGTATATATGTATTGTGTAGCAAGAAACGTCATGTTTACGTTACCAAATAAAATATTTTGAATCTTGAATCTTGAATCTTGTATTATCGAAAGTTTCTGTAACGCTTCAGCAATTTAATTAGTTTAAACATAGGTTATTCAAATCAAGTATACACATTTACAATTCACACTTTAGCACCTGATGTTATAAACGTCCCGTGTAAAGAAGAGAATAAAGAGAATAGCATAACAGTTATTTTCTAGATGATAAGATGATAATAGGTATCAATTAACCCACTGGTGTTAACAAATAATTTTATGTTTACAAACATCAAATATTTTTATTCTAGTGGACTTTATTTCATACAAAATATAGAAAATTGACAACGTTTTTGGTGCGTTAATGTAATGACAAAAAACCACACATTTTTGTTTTTCTTGTTTGTCCCATTCCAATATTGTTGTTAATAATTTAATATTATTAAATATCATGCACCCGCTGTATAATGTTTAGATAATGCGTGCAATGAATTTACTTCCTTTTTCTTACATTTCAACCTAGATGGTATTTGAATAATAGGTTACAGATTCACTATTGTTGAATTTAAGAAAGACCTTGATTATTATTCTGAAACGCAAGTGTCATCCAAGCAGAAAACTTCCTGTTAGGTAAGTTGCAAAACATTTTTATTTCAATGTTAATGATTTTTTTATACGGAGCACCACTCTAGCGTTATATTTCTTTACCTGATATATTGTGTAAAAGGAGGATAAAATATTTGTGAAGTGCGTATTTAAATATTTTATCCCGATTATAAAGACATATGATTTGCAAGAATATGGTGTAGCCTGTCCTGTAATAGGTGTATGTGATTTAAAATGAACATGGTAAGATAAACTTATGTACATAAATGTTAATGACAAAAATGTTTCTTTTATAACATATCACAATTTTAATATAACATATTACTTCATATTCTTAATAAGTGAGTCTGCTCCGCTAATAAACAACATTGAGCATAATAAGTTTTAAAGTGAAAGAACTGGTATTTTTTATATTTTGTTGAAGAAACGAAATTTTATTCTTACTTAAAAAGCGATAAATCATTTTATTTTGATACATGACTTGATACATGACTGAAAATCTTGAAACATTATACACACTTGATGATTTGTAATTGTTCGTTTAATGATGAATTTTCGATGAAATGTTCAGAAGTAGATCATTTACATATAGATATGCATGTGTCGCGTAAGACTTGGCATCACAAAGATGAGGATACTTGCCCTACTTTGGATTACATGTTCATTGATTAATGCAGTATATTCGGATAATACTAAAGGTAAGGGCACAATTACCTCTCTATTTTTTCTGCATATTGTTGATCTATAAATTGTGTTAAATTTTATATTAACTGTTCAGTGTTGTGTGAAGCACACAAGTCATCTGCTTTATATCTGAACAACTAAAGGGCGGTTTTCATGTCGGCGGTTTTCATGTCGGCACTCTATTTGCGATGTTTGCAATACCTTTATCAGATCACTGCATATTTCAAAAATCATAAATTCAGAAAATTTAAACAATAAATAACATATTCTGACTTTAGTCCTATTGATACTCTAACTCAAATTACAAACAAGTTGAAGCATTTAAAAAACCGATGTCCCGGGAAATGCGAGTTTTCTAATCTAAGGCCGGAGCACTTTTCTTTGACATGTTTGAGGTGACTTCGTGTGTGGATCGGATTCGATCGAGTGACCTTCTGTAGGAATCGTACTTGCTTCGGCTGTTGATTTGATGTCGACCTTTTCGGGGCTATCTTCGTGCAAAATTCAAAAGTCCATATTCGTATGTCCATCTGGTGTCAATCTCGGGACTGTGTGACGCCTTACAGCCTGACGATGTGCTACCATTTGCAATTGAGTGACCAACGCGTACCGCTAATTATCGATATATAAAACTTGTTACTGTAAAATTTTGTTTTTACCCGGGGATAAGATAACAAGATCCACATTTGCGATATCCGGAGTATCTCTTTAGTGATTTACCTTGTATGTAAAAGAAACAAATGTTTCTCACTGAATCAATAAATTTCTGTATTCATTGGTTCCACAACAATAAATAACTAACAATCCTTAGGAGTATGTTGTCCATATTGGTTCCTGGTGGCGACTATAAATAAACGTATATCTCTGAAAATTCAGGAATAAAGGGGAACAAATAATCTGCTTATTATATATAATAAGATCAACTTATCAACAAAATCACTGAAACGAACGATTTCTTCTTGCCATGAATAAGAATTATTTTAATACAAAAAAAAAGATAAAAATAAGACTTTAGATTAAATATGGTAATATGTTTTTGCCATGCATTTAAACCTGATGTTTTACCTCTCGTTATTTTTTCTATCACCTTGAAAATAAAACGATATGATGAGTTTCTTTACCATTAGATTTAACCCGAACAAATCGTTTGTATTAAAGCACCAATTTTATTATTAATACGAAACTAAACATAAACAAAAGATGGTTTTTGCCATATTTAGCAATTAAATAAAAAAGTAACCTGAATATTTTATCATAAACTAAGACGTATTAAAAGGATATGAACATGTTTTACTTTATTACATGATATGTTTACCATTAATGAATACATTTTAACAGAATAATGTTTATAGATTTTATATAACATAGTTAGGTGTCAGGTGGGTATATTTGTTTGTTTAATTAATTCTATAATCTTAATTATGAAAAACTTTGAAATATTTGACAATGCTAAACATTATTTTATGTTGTAAATTTTTGTCTTTAAATACTAGGTAAGATAGAAATTCTAAATTGTTGCATGTTGTAATAGAATTTGAAAAGTAAGTTAACAGATTTATGAAAATGTGGTTGATGTTGTGAATTTACAGTTTTGCAATTATTTCTTTCATCTGTTTTTTTATTGCCCCTTCCATTTTACCACAGGTGAGGACTTGGTTTTGAATTTCAAACCAGATGAGGTGATGATTAACTCAACAACAAATTTGACTTCATTTACAGTTTCTTGCAGTTTTTCTGGACAAACGTTTTCAGATATCAATTCATTAAAACTGACCTTTGTAAAGGATTCAAGCTCTCTTACAATTGAGACCAATGAAACAGGCCAGATACCATTGATTTCAAAGTCAGGTGAGGATACAAAATGTAATGTGTTTGCTTATTTATTTATTTATTTATTTATTTATTTATTTATTTATTTATTTATTTATTCATCTATTAATTAATTCATTCATTCATTCATTCATTCATTCATTCATTCATTTATTTATATATTTATTTATTTATCATGTAGTAAATCTATTAATTATTGATGTGCATTGAATTTGCATTTCTTATTACAAGCCATTCTTTGAGTAGCAGAACATAATTATGTGATTTTTTGAGAACTGATCAAGACATTTTAGTTAATCAGAATATTGTTCGTCCGTGCAATAACGTATTGGACAACATTTACTTTTATACCAGTTATAAATTTTGCTTATCAAATATGAGCAAATATATATGACGAAGTACACTGGGCAAGGATCAGTATTCGGTGTACTTTGCTAGTCTTGGTAAACTTATGTGCTTCGTATTAACTTTAATACAAGACTCCACATCGAACCGAATTTAAGTACTAGTTCAACTCGCTCTTTTGATGAACATATGAGCCGCGTCACGACAAAACCAACATAATCGATCTGCGACCAGCATGGATCCAGACCAGCCTGCGCATCCGCGCAGTCTGATCAGGATCCATGCTTTTCGCTATCAGTATCTCTACTTGTAATAGGGTTTGTAAGCGAACAGCATGGATCCTGATCAGACTGCGCGGATGCGCAGGCTGGTCTGGATCCATGCTGGTCGCAAACCCATTATGTTGGTTTTGTCGTGACACGGTTCATATTGTTTACTTCCTATGCATGCAGTGTTGCAAAATTTAACTTGTTGTTTACCTTATCTTCTGTAGGTATTTTCAAAAACGCAGAAATAAATGATACTGACACTTTAAATGCCTTTATGAAGGGTGAACCTGTCTTGGCTACATATATTGAGAATGTGCCATTTTCAAGTCATATTGGACTGTACAATTGTGAAGTTAAAGCAAAAACTACAGCTGCCGGAAATGCTTCCATTTTCATGAAGAACGTATCAGCTCTTTTACCTGCGTTCAGTATGTTGTTAATATTTAGCAAGTCATTAAACATTAAAACGTTTCTACAGAGATTGTATGAAGCAAACTATTTGTTAATATTATATTAAGTCTTTGCGTCTATCGATTACCTGAAAAATCTTTAATTGTTTATTTAGTTAAGAATTACTTTCCATAATTTGATTTCTTATTAGTTTACACAGAGGTAAAGGTGCTTCCGAAAGTCGCATAAAACTTATTTCCGCTGCACCCACTGCTCACCTTTCCACATAAACAATTAGAAGCATAGGTTTAGTGCGTGCTATCATCAAAGGCGTCGGTAGGGTTCCTCTCGAGTAACAACTATGTTTCTTAACGTTACATTAGTATAAGTACGTTACATAAGTAATGGTATGTCCAAGGAAGCAAATGTGATATATATAGCTTGCAAGAACCTGATTCACATTCCAGGATAAATGTATACAATCATAAAATATAGGATTGTCACTTAAAATAAGAGGGAAACTTAATCCCTAAAGAAAGTTAAATAACGTACGATCATGTTTCCTTATACCTGTAAAACACTTATTAGTTCCAGGAAGGCAACCCCGAGCATAATTAATAGTGTTACTCTCAAAACCTTGATCCGCAAATGGGTGTAACTTAATATGTAACCTTATCACTTACTGGTGTTTTCCTAAAAATTATGACGAAAAACAACTAATGTAGACTAGTATCAATTTATAAAAAACGATTTGATTTACAGATCCAACATTTAACATGTCGTGCAACAGTTCCAATGATTGCCTACTAGGTTTGGTAGACGCCTGCAAAGATTCAAAATGTTTATGTGGCGAGGAGCATTTCTATAATGGGATTACATGTGTATCTAGTATGTCTATTTATATAACAATCATCAAACGGGTTACTAATACTTTATCACTGTCGGAGTTAGAATTCTTTAATTTCTTTCGTAAGTCATAGCTTTCAATTTAATTGGCATTAACTTTTGACTTGGCATGAAGTTAATTTTGATGATTGGTTGAAAGTTCAATTAATTTTATATGCCATAACCAATCAACTATGAGATAATTTATTATATATAACATTCCTGCTTTGTTACGTGCTGCACTGCGTTCTGTGAGCTTCAACTTCCCACGTTGATCTTGGGCAAGTTTTATTTTCAATTTCTGTCGTTATATGACTAAATTATCATTATAACTCATATCAATACTGCTTTATTTCATTATTATTACTTATTATTATGATAAAAGAAATAATGGTTTTTAGAATTTATTATTTCAAAACTATAAATTTATTTCAGCTAAGTCAAAGGTTCCTTACAATCTAGGTTATATTTGTAACAGAGTAACACACCTGCATCACGATATATACAACTAAGCCAAAATTACTTTAGAATCGAGGTTATATTTGTAACAAAATAACGAAATATCATGATAAAACATCCTATATTTTATAATTATTATCATTAAGTACCGGTTTACCAAAACCTGAAGAGTTGTTGCCTCTTCCGACATACCATTTTATTGCAGTTATAATACTGTCTTCAAAATGAGCTTTATTGCTTTATTGTCTTTTTTGAATATAGCTTGTTTTATATTAATCTGTTTTTTACTTATTTCAGAACAAAAGTTTGAAGGTAAATGTAAAAAAAGCTATGAATGTTCTACATGGTTATCGGTCTGTGATGATCATGTATGCACGTGCCGCCAAGGTTACTTCTACGACAAAGCAAAAGACAGCTGTACAAATATTGGTATTCACTTTTTTCTTGTTATTGAATACCTATTAAAATATATCTTAAAAGCACAGTCATATTTTCATTTAATATGCAACACTATTGCAAGAACCGTTTGCAAGGAAATATTGTATTTTATACTTTTAGTCTTGAAAATGGATCACTGCTCCAGTCCGGTTTTGAGGGGCTTGAGCAAACAATCAACTTAAACCAAGCCTGCGCTTTTCACTTTCAGTTTTTCTTTTCATTTTACTAGTCATATCATTTTGTTTTTGCGTAATAAAAAAAACAGTTTCGTCATCTTAAATTTCAGTAGAAATATAATAATATCTCAAAATATACTAATACAAGGAAAATATTGTATGATGTAGAATGGTACATTACGATTCCTTATGAATATTTCGTATAAATGAAAACGAATTTCTATTAATTGTTTATGACTCAAACCAGTCTTGCCAGCGTTTTACAAGGCAAATTTGATCTCCAATGAAAACATGATCAATCAATGAAGTACAGTTAACACCTATGCAAAGTTCTACTTCTAAAAATCAACAAACAAAATTGAAATACCTTCTGAAATGTCAAAAAGTGTGTAAAGAACGTTTAAGAAAATTAGGATTAAAATCCATACAATATATCAATTTATAAAGTAACTTTTGTAAAATCAACAATCTTCATAAAAAGTTATTTACTACTTCTTTAGAGCTATGCCCACAGGACGCCTCGTATATTTTCTCAAGGAAGGATAACGTGTGTTACGGTGTTAATATGCAATGTGATAATGGTAATTGCTCCTGCCCACAGAATTACACATCTCTGACCTTTGTTGATAATATGCCGAAATATATGAATGAGAGACTGTGGACATATGGTGAGTAGTCATATGAACATATCTTATACACCTAATGGTTTAACAGCAAATATCATTGGACATGAATTAAGCATAACGTTGTATCATTTTTTTAGTAAGTCTTATTGAAGAAAAGCTTCGGAAGAATGCATGCACTGGGTCATACATGTTGGCTTGGTTTAATGTCACGACACTGTAAAGAGACATAATATATATTTTAATATATACAATAAGCTCATTTTGAAAATGTTTGACAATGAAGTTATCATTATATTTGATATCACTTGGCTTTATTTACTGCAGAGTTTTTGTGACCTTTGATGGTAACTTCACGTTTCAGCCCGCTCTCGTTATCAGACGGACTTCACGCGAATACCGCGTGCCAAATTTTTGTTATTCTGTTCCGTATCTGTTCCTTTTTTGGACTCTTCGTTCGGGTTAATTCAATAATTACGAAATTCCGCAGCGGAATAGGTTCTATATCGGGAATAAGAATATATTAGCGATTTTTTGTCCTTTCCAGGATTTTACTCAAGCAGTAGTGCAAAGTTAAGTGAGGACCAGGTTATGTTACTTTTGTCTAGAACGTTCAACTATTCTAATGCAGAGGAAGTCAATCCAACATGGTATTGGCCTAATGGTGAAAAAATAATCATTAAAGATATTGATGATACAGAATGGAGTGCCGGTAACACCGGCTGTCTATATGTGCTCTATGACTCCTGTAATTCTGTTATAAAAGCATCATCACCTTGTCCACTTAAACATGTTTACCAAGGATGTCTTATCAAATGTAAGTTAAAACAATTACTAAATTTTTTTAAAAGAAGCATATAATATAAACATAAAGATTAACACGGTAGATCGACTTTGACATAAGGCAGAAAATATGAAGATCAACAAGGAAGGGCGGCGTTCAATGAACGCAACCCCCACAAGACGAAGAAGCAAGAAGTCTTGCTATTAAGGTATCTCCATACAGAATCGTACATTCATATTGTTTGTCAAAAACATCAGGACATTTAAGTCCGAAACGAAGAATTCATATAAAGGGTTTAAATTGCTTGAATTTCATAGAAAATAATTGAATGTTCTCCTTTTATATGTAATATAATGGTTTTCTTGTAATAGGATATTGCGGAAAAATAGTGTGACTTTACTTTTATAAAGTGTGTCTTAACTTGATCATGCTGCATGTATCACAATTAGGTTAAATCATAACAAGAAAACACTAAAACGCAAAATGAACTTTTAGGGTTATTTTCTAGTCTTACGATTTTGTACGCTTGAGCAGCGAAATATAACATCTTCACCAAACTCATCATGGTGGATTTGAATTATGTTTATTAAGGCAATGCTGATAAACGAAGGATATATTCAATTAGCGGCATTAGATGGTTTATCTTTAAAATTAAATGAAGAAAGGTCATTTTGAGCTAAAAAGAGTAAATATGTTCATGCAGCAACATTTGTTTTGTACGTTTTTTTAGTACCAAAAGCTTATTGCAAAGAAGATATTGACAACAGAAACACAACATGGAATTTCACAGAAGGTGGAACAGTATTGAACAAGACTTGTCCTAAGGGATATGAAGGTGCTATTTTAAAACACATTGTTGTGTATAAATCAACCACACTCATTTTTTTGTGTCGCCTCCTACAAAGTAGCAGCGACATATAGGGATTGCCTATCCGTCGTCTGTCCATCAGTCCGTCCTTCTGTTCATCACAAAGCGTGTCCGGAATATTCTTCAAAAATTACTCGTAAAATTTTATCCAAACTTTACAGGAAAGATAAGTTCCAAGTTGAGTTGTGCATTTCGTCAACATTTTCCAGGTGAATGATTTTTGTGTGGCCTTTTAATCATTTTTATTTTTAAAGATTGTCCGGACTTCTTCTCATACATTAGTAATGTAATCTGAATAAAGTTTACAGGAGAGATCGGTGGGTATATTACAAGGTTTTCTGATGATTTTGGCCGTGTTATGGCCTTTGAATAAAAACGGCCTTTGTCACTTAAAATTTGAATTCCCTGCTAGTGATACACGCTACAAGATAGCCACGACTTATTACGGTTCTTTTTTGCTCTTATATATGTCCGTCTGTCTGTCTGTCTGTCTGTCCGTCTGTCCGCCACAAAACTTGTCCGGACTTCTACTCAAATACTATTGTGTAATTCATCCATTTCTTTCTAGAATGATCAGTACCAAGTCTAGTTGGGCCTATTTTCGGCATTTCCCATTTTGTATGATTTTATTGCATACTCCTCAAAATCTATTTGGTGCAATTTCATCCAAACTTTACAGGAATGACCAGTTCCAAGTCTGGTTGTGCCTATAATCGGCATTTTCCATTTTTATGAATTTATTTCAGACTCGTGCAATTTCATCCAAGGAATGAACAGTTCAAAGTCTAGTTGTACATCTAGTTGTACATCCAAACCTTGTCGTCTATCAGTCCGTCTATCTGTCTGGCACAAAACTAAGGACAGCTTCTCAACACTTACTGGTGCAATTTCATCCATATTTTACTGGAATAATCAGTTCCAAAGCTAGTTTTGTCTATAAGCGGCATTATTCATGTTTATTATATCCCCTTAAAATTTCGGGCGTGTTATGTTATACCCCCTTGCGTACAAACCAGAGCTACATTATGGGGTTTGGTCTATTGTTCTCATAACAATAGATGTCTTTGATGTCATTCATTCCGTTTCTCTTGTGGGGTTATTTTCTGCATTGTAGGGTTAAAAAGAACAAAAGAAATACAAAAAGAAAACCCCATAATGTAGCTCTGGTAAGAACGTCCGTCCGTCTGTTAGCAATTTGGTTTCCGGAGCATAACTTAAGTTCAATTTGGCCCACAAATTCAAACTTCATAGGATGATTGTCCATATTGGGTAGAAGACCCCTATTGATTTTTGCGTCACAAGGTCAAACGTCAATGTCACTATTGCCTTAAAACTGAAAACAGTTTCCGCAGCATAACTTAAGTTCCATTTGGTCCACAATATTCAAACTTTATAAGATGATTGTCCATATTGGGTAAAAGACCCCTATTGATTTTGGGGTCACAAGGTCAAAGATCAAACTCACTTTTTCCTTAAAACTAAAAACATTTTTCAGAGCATAACATAAGTTCCATTTGGCCCACAATATACAAATTTCATAGGATGATTGTCCACATTAGGTAGAAGACCCTAATGATTTATGGTCACAAATTCAAACCGTATAGGATGATTGTCCATATTGGGTAGAAGACCCTTATTAATTTTGGGGTCACAAGGTCAAAGGTCAAGGTCACTATAACCTTAAAACTGTAAACAGTTTCCGGAGCATAACTTTAGTTCCACTTGGCCCACAATATTCAAACTTCAAAGGATGATTGTTTATATTAGGTAACAGACCCCTATTGGTTTTGTGGTCACTATGTCAAAGGTCAAGGTCACTATTACCTTAAAAACTGAAAACAGTTTCCGCTCAATCACTTAAGTATTGATCAACCTACAGTTGTAAAACTTTACAGGATGAACAGCCGTGTCCAATGCATGACCCCTATTGATTTGTTTTGGTTTCAAAAAGTTAAAGGTCAGGGTCACAATGATCTTCACACTGAAAATTGTGCTTTCTGGAGCATAACACAAGTTCCATTTGGCCATCCGTCGTAGCATTTTTACTAACAAGATAACAACTTGATGGTGGTGGTTTATATATATGAAGGTTTATCAGCTATAAAGGAGGATTGCTTTGGAAGGATGTAATACTTTATTTAATTCCCATATATTACAAATGCTTTCGGACATATAATGCTCCGCCTAGCGTTGCTCTTGTTATTTTTGTCAGAGTAATTGCCCTTTAATTTCGTAAAAGCTACGACAAATGTATAGGGAATACACTGGTCAACCACCCCTCAATACAACTGTTTAATTGTCTATCATCAGGCGACACATGTGACCACTGATTGCTCATGTTAAGCTTTTCTCTAGCAGCATTTAATTTAAGTTTAAGAAACCTTACTATTTTAAAACACACAATTCTATTTTTTAAACAATTATTCAAAAAGGATGCTTTTTGCTTATATTGATATATAGTCATTTATGTTTTAACATTAAAAGCTTTCATAAAATCTCTAATGTTTATTACGAATCTTTCAATGACAATTGAGCCGCGTCACGACAAAACCAACATAATGGGTTTGCGACCAGCATGGATCCAGACCAGCCTGCGCATCCGAGCAGTCTGATCAGGATCCATGCTGTTCGTTATCAGTTTCTCTATTTGCAATATAGTTTGTCAGCGAACAACATGGATCCAGATCAGACTGCGCGGATGCGCAGGCTGGTCTGTATCCATGCTGGTCGCAAACCCATTATGTTGGTTTTGTCGTGACGCGGCTCAATTTATGCTGCATATCGTCTCAGTTTTACAAATAATACATATGGCATTTTTCCTTGTTTAGGTGAAAAAAGTTTTGTGTGCATTATCCACCGTGATGTATCCATTACATGTAACACATTGTATCTTGTCATGTGAATAAATCATCTTTTTACTGAAAGTGCATCAACATATTTACACTATTCTCTTTCAACGAACATTGATTTTTTTATCTTCGTTATTTGATACCATATGCTTTACAAGTTGTAATATCTCAGCACAACTACACTGGTATGAACAATTCAGTATTTTACGATTAATGCAGAATTATACGTAACATTTGATGTTTTGTTATAGGTAACGTGACGCGTGAATGCCAAAATAATGGCGTGTTTAAAGCACCACTTTATAACTGCACATCAGTTGTGTTCAAAAACATTTCTAATCTGGTAAGAACTTTTATAATTATTGAAATGAATTAGACGAACGATTTAAAAAATAAAAAGAATAATTACTTTGTTGTTTATCCGTTCAATGGCAATTGATGTCAATGGTATGAAACTACCATATTAATGAGTTGTTTCTGTTTTGGCATTGATCGTTTCAATAATACGTTGTGAAAACTGATAATATTGCATATCATTTAATGAGACTAGAGCTTAAAGAATTCGTCAAATCTTCCGTATATAAAATGTTACCAATCCACCAATACCCAATGATGGAATTTGCGTGAAACACTTAAATCACAAAACTTTTCATTTAGCTTAAAAATGGAAACTTGACTGGCCCGGAGGCCTTGGGGAATGTCAGTTCTGAAATTAAAGACAATGATGGCGTTTATATAGGTGTCCTGATTCAAATCCAAAATATTCTTGGGGAAGTTGTTAACCGGTTTGACAATGAGAATATATCTGTACAGACGACAGAGGTGAGTATTTTTTAAATCGTTAATGGTTTAATTTAATACGAATATTTTATTTATGATTCGAACTAGAAGAATCAATTGACTAAGTCTAGTTATTTAAAATAATACAAAAGTACATTGATTTTATCAAATGTATTGATTTATTAATTCCAGATAAAAATGGTGCAACATAAAACCTTATACTCGTATTAGTCACGTGTACTTATTCCATGTGTATTTTTCCAGGACTTCCTTGAAACAGCTAATTTTCTCCTTGACGACGAAAAGAACGGGAAAGAATGGAAAAGCCGAATTGATAATGTAAACTATACACTATTCAATCAGTATTCTTGTCGATATATGCGCCGCGTCACGACAAAACCAACATAGTGCGTTTGCGACCAGCATGGATCCAGACCAGCCTGTGCATCCGCGCAGTCTGATCAGGATTCCATGCTGTTCGCTATCAGTTTCTTTACTTGTTATAGGGTCTGTAAGCGAACAGCATGGATCCTGATCAGACTGCGCGGATGCGCAGGCTGGTCTGGATCCATGCTGGTCACAAACCCATAATGTTGGTTTTGTCGTGACGCGGCTCAATGATCATTTCTCAGACTCGTATGTTTCAAAGGTTATTAAAATTAAATGATTTAAGCATATATCGTCGCCTAAGTGCAATAACACGGAATAAGTTATTCTAAATTTGATAGCAATTAATCAATCAGTCATTGCTACTGAGGTGACGATATTGTCAAAGTCAGCTTATCGACATTGACAGGTTTTGGTACGATGGGATTTTAAAAATGTGTTTATTTCAGGAAGGAAAAGGAGCCGAAGATTTTCTACCACAAGTTGAAAATTTTGCAAAACAAGTTGCAGAATCGTTATTGAAAAGTAACGATGCTTCACTCAACATTTCGCAACCAAATATAGGTTTGAAATTTTTTTTTTCCTTAAATGTTTATAATAAAATTGGAACCATTATGGGCATAAAAAACGTTTTTATTACGCTAAACTGTAATGTGCTTATTTATCGCAGGTGAAAAGACCTGTGATCTTTCACTGGCGGTATCATTAAATGTTTATCTTTATGATTTGATAGGAATATAAATTTAAGGATATGATCTCCTGCTATATTATGATCTCCTGGTATAATGTATCTCATTATTATCCCCCGCCTATTCAATCGGGATGGGGATATTGTTTGGGCGTTGTCCGTCCGTCTGTCCGTCCATCCGTCCGTCCGAATTTCGTTTCCGCGCTAGATCTCTGGCTGGAGTTCAACAAAACTTTATGGGAACCTTCAATACCAAGAGGAGGTGCGCATATCGTCTGCTTGTTTCGGTCAGTCACTTTAACTCAGAGTTACGGCCCTTGATTAGTTATGCAGTATGCATATACAACAATATTCGTTTCCTCGCTACTTCTTCTGGCTGGAATTCAATAAAACTTTATGGGAACCTTCAATACTAAGAGGAGATGCGCATATCGTCGCTTTGTTCCGGTCAGATACTTTAACTCAGAGTTATGGCCCTTGATTAGTTATGCAGTATGCATATAGAGCAATTAACACAGTTTCCGCGCTACTTTGCAACTTCTGGCTGGAATTTAATTAAACTTTATGGGAACCATTAATACCAAGAGGAGATGTGCATATTGTTGCCTTGTTCAGACCAGACCCTTCATTACAGAGTTATGGCCCATGATTAGTTATGTAGTATGCATATAGAGCAATATTGCTATTTTGATTTCAACAAAATTGCCCTAATATACATGTATCATGTACAAAGAATATTACTGTTTATATCATGATTAATATATAAATAAAGCCTTATGCCTTCAGTTGTTGTGTTAGTAATAACCAGTACTCGGCGGGGGATAAAAATTCAACGAATTTGCTTGTTCTTACAGGATCTGAAGTATACATTTCGTAAAATTATCATTTTACAGTTTCGCTTTTCTTTCCTTAACGGTTTTTGCACATAATACTGTATTACAGACAGTCATGAATAAGTTACATACACAAGCAAGTAAACCTTAATATTGACATATCTTTCGCCAGTTTTTCAATATGCTACCGTAGACACAAACAAGACTAAGGTAGAGGACATTGTGTTTCCAAAAGACCTCCAGGATGATGCTGAATGGAATGCAACAAAAACATTAACATTATCTTTAGATGTTGCTGCATTTTTAGGTTGGTTTTAATAACTCTTTACCTGCATTTCTTAAGTCAGACAGTCTTTAATCATTTTTTTTTTGGTGTCAGAATAAAAGTTTACAGTTAAGAGCCTGATTGGACAACGATGTTGTGCAGACTGACCTGGCTGAATAAGTTGTTTGGTCATGGTACGTTTTTCACTAGGCAAATGACTTAAACAAAGAAAAGAAAATTGTTAATTATTGTTTTGGCAGTCGCATTTAAGTATGTTAATAATTTACCATGTTGATATTGGAACAATTGTAAGTGCATGAATATCCCACATATAGATTAAATGAGCCGCGTCATGACAAAACCAACATAGTGGGCTTGTGACCAGCATGGATCCAAACTAGCCTGCGCCTCCGCGCAGTCTGATCAGGATCCATGCTGTTCGCTATCAGTTTTTCTACTTGTAATAGGGTTTGTAAGCGAACAGCATGGATCCTGATCAGACTGCGCGGATCTGGTCTGGATCCATGCTGGTCGCAAACCCATTATGTTGGTTTTGTCATGGCGCGGCTCAAATGGAGTCTACACAGATTATTTTGAATTTTTATTCATTCAATCAATATGTTAATTTTTATATTCAGGCCAAAGTGTGACAGCTTTCACGTGCCTACTCTTTAGAAATTTGTCTCAATCTGTTCCAAATACACTTCGAGACAGGTTAGTATTTATTCTGCAAGTAACCTTGATTATTATTTTTCTATCATTTGTTTATGGCCTTTAATTTGTGACCGATTGGTAAAGGTTACCGACTTCAGATCACTTGCAGCTCAACGCTGTTGGTTTGAATCCCATCATGGACTTTGGATTATTTCATGTGATGAAGCTATATAGCACGCTTAATGGGGGTTAGTGTTTTTATCTAAAATAATGCACGTAGGGGCACCTGATGTCTGAAAGGTCACCATATGACCATTTAAGTGTCGATGTGACTTAAGATATAACACACTATCATTTGTTCTTAAGTGTCCAGTTTATCCGCTGGTCTCCATGAGGTTATACAATATCTGCTTTATGCAATACTCCAGAAACAGTGTAATATGTGAACCACGTTTATTTTTTCATGCTTGAGCATTTACATAAAACAAAGGCTTCTGTTACAGCACTCATACTAACGGATTTAACCGATAATAAGTGATCATTCTGGATACATTTAAACGATATTACTTTTCTACTAATTTTAATGAAGCTAAAAAGATATATGAATAGAAATATATGGTGTATAAAAATTTTCAGGTCAAATAATGCAACAGTTGATATCAATTCCCAAGTCGTTTCGTTCCAATTACTGCCAGAGGCACCGAAAGTACTGCAACCAGAACTAGAAATAGTATTCCAAGGATTTAAGGTGATAAGCTTACATAGTCCGTGTATGGGAACATGAAATAGATAAAAATTGATTTTCAACAGTAACTATTGATAAACCAATTAATGAATTAATAAAATGCCGACCTTTATTTAAAATAATGTATTACTTGTACAATTTACCTGCACGATAACAATGAAAGAGATTTCCTTTTTATGCCCAAGCCACGCTTTACCTGTTTTCACAGATTGTCCTTAAAATTCAAACTTAACTGAAGCTCCCAAATGCAACGTCAAATGTAATTATAAATAAATATTTTCTCACTTCTGAAGTTAACACCATTGTCTTGCACAATTTCAGGACATGACATCAACAGAACAACATTGCTCATATTTGTCTAAGGATTCAGTGTGAGTTAAAATGTAGTATAACTCTTTACCTAGTATAACTAACAGTGATTATCCATTAACACACGTTTAGAACCAGACGAGTTTTTGCACTTACTTGCAGACTGACCAGACTCTATACTGTTGGTATCTCATCATTTTCTTATTTGATTTTTAAATGCCAAACACTTTTAAATCATAACTGGGCAAATCCATTTTACAATTTCGGCAGACTTCAGTGTTGATTTTTGATATTTTAATTTCAATTTCAGTTAGAACATTGTTTCAATAAACCTTTTTACAAAATATAATATTCTACTATAAACTATTTTACCCTTAAGAACTACTTAAAATAAGAAAAATATTGAAACTGAATGATTTATTGTATTTTTAAAGCGGTGAAGGACTGTGGGCAACTAAAGGATGTAGGAAGGTTTTTGGGAACAGTACAACAGTCAAATGTAAATGTAACCATTTGACAAACTTCGCACTGCTTATAAGTCCATACAAACCAGTAGGTATTTATTGAAAATAACTATAAACAAACTAATCAATCTCCTAAGTGACCGGCTGATTATTTCTTAAAACATGCACTTCGAAACGTTTACTAACAACGATAAACTGGTGTGTCGTTTTGTGTTGATAGTAAGCAAAGATGATGTGCTCTCGTCTGATGGAATATACCTTATATGCATCAATAGTTTCTTTTCTATCGTACAATAAATGAGCCACATCACGACAAAACCAACATAGTGCGTTTGCGACCAGCATGGATCCAGACCAACCTGCGCATCCGCGCAGTCTGATCAGGATCCATGCTGTTCGCTATCAGTTTCTCTACTTGTAATAGAGTTGGTAAGCGAACAGCATGTATCCTGATCAGACTGCGCGGATGCGCAGGCTGGTCTGGATCTATACCCATTATGTTGGTTTTGTCATGACGCGGCTCAAATGTCATACAATAAAACATTTTATAGACTTTCATCATTGCACATTACCCGTGGTTTGTCATCTTTAAAAAAACGTTGTTTTTAGTGTACATTATAAAGTACTCCGGGACTTAATTATTCAATTTTGTATGACCTTGAAATTTAGCAAGTGCTTCGAAGTTATTAATGTGTGTCTTCTCTTATCTTATTTTATTTCTTGATTTATCATTACATTGTAATTGTTTTATAATTTTAATGAAATGGTTATCAATAAAGCATATTTTACTATTTTATAAAACTAGTATGAATATTTGATAATCACGGTAAGGACGTTAAACTAGCGAAATGTTTGTTGAATATAATATAATAATGAGCCGTGTCACAACAAAACCAGCATAATGGGTTTGCGACCAGCATGGATTCAGACCAGCCTGCGCATTTGCGCTGTCTGATCAGGATCCATGCTGTTCGCTAACAAACCGTATAACAAGTAGAGAAACTGAAAGCGAACAGCATGGATCCTGATCAGACTGCGTGGATGCACAGGCTGGTCTGGATCCATGCTGGTCGCAAACCCATTATGTTGGTTTTGTCGTGACACGGCTCCTATGTATTACACGATTGCACATTTTATGTTTTGAGTTTAATTCAATTTTAGCCAGAGAAAGATGCATCAATCCTCGGTATTATAACCATTGTGGGCTGCTCTGTGTCTGGATTTTTCATTTTCATAACTCTGGTCGCTCATATTCGCTATTGGAGGTATGTATCATTCAATTAACTCAGAATTATGATATGATTTCTCATTGGTGTACACCACTGAATATACATGTTCTGTCAATTTTCAAACTGTTTCATGTCTTATTACAATTGATTGCGAAAATATACAAACGACAGTTGCTTCTATCAGTTACATTTGTCACTTGTTAAAGACTGAAATACACAGATTGACTAACCATATGAGCCGCGACACGACAAAACCAACATAATGGGTTTGCGACCAGCATGGATCCAGACCAGCCTGCGCATCCGCGCAGTCTGATCAGAATCCATGCTGTTCGCTTACAAACCCTATAGCAAGTAGAGAAACTGATAGCGAACAGCATGGATCCTGATCAGACTGCGCGGATGCGCAGGCTGGTCTGGATCAATGCTGGTCGCAAACGCACTATGTTGGTTTTGTCGTGACGCGGCTCATATATTTATACTTAGAATAGAGATGAACACCCAAATCCAGAGGTGTTTATGCATAGACTGTGTGAATAAACCTTAAGCTCAGGTATAAATGTGTTATCTACATTTCACACATAATCTTGGCTTAGATGTAGTTTATTCGTCAAATATTTTGCTTTAACATGTTTCATTTATAAGAATTGTATGTTTGAAAAACAGCCCTTATTGAAGCTTTAACACAACCAACACTGTAACACCACTATATATCTATATAAAAAAAAACAGAGAGAAAAATAATCCCTTAAGAAAGCGCAAGACGGCGACATTGAAAATGTTGCAGGTTCGGTTTGAAAAGTGCAAAAATAATCGCCCACGCCCTGGTTTAGGCAGTATTCAACATTTACTCGTGTAATGGTAAAATTTTGAAGAATCAGTGTTGTTACGACAATGATAACGAAACCTTCAATGTGACGTAAAAAAGCGGCGTATTGTTCCCAAGAAATAGAATGCTCATGTCCTAAATGAGGAAACAATTGGTGGAACTAAACAAACTAGAATTTTGAAGTGATATTAGAAGTTATGTAGCCTGTATAACATAGATCAGACATCAAAAGACAAATTCAAAAAGCAAGCAACATACTCTAAGGGGATTAAACATATTCAAATAGAAATACTGGAACCACGCAACTTGAAATATTACATCCTTTATTGAATGTACCTGGTGACTTTTTAGGGCCTCCACAGAACTTGGTGACTATTAACGGCCTCTACTCGGCACAAACAACATTGATGTTACATTAAAAATTATTACACTCGTAGTGATTTTGTCACTATAGACAAAGAAGAAAAACAACCGGTGTTAAACTGCCAATAAACACTGGTTAGGGACTACATGTACTTGTATATACGACTGTTATGTTTTCTCCCTCGATTATATAGTTTCCAAAGCCTTTTATAGCAACACTAAAAAGCATTTTTATTCATATTTTCAGTTCTTATAATGTTTTCTTTTCATACAAATTGAATACCGAAATAATATCTTACATACACTTACGCCACACATTTGATCCATATTAGTGAATAATTATTTTGACAAAACGACGCCAATCCGTAAGCAGCGTAATGACGTCATCATAAGCATAAACGCTGACGTCAATTTTCGTGGTCAATTCCTATGAATCAAATTAAACTCCAAACCGGTGTTAAATAGCCGATAAACACCGCTCAGACCGATATTATTTCATGAATAAGGAAAACAATCACTAAAGAAATATTAATGACATGATATATATAGAATAATATTATATAGTTTAAATTGAACAGAAAAGCAGTGAATTCAATTTTCTTTATACAAGAACAGAGCCATGAAGTTACGTTTTCCCATAAACCGGATGATTGCCATTGGTCATGACATTCTTTTGGTTCGAAAAGTTTAACTGGACAATTATTCCAGAAGGCATTTTTACATTTCAGGTTAATGAAAAGTGACAAAACAACATTAATTACAATCCTGTGTATAATGTTTCTCATATGTTACGTCTTTTTTCTTGCGGGGGTCACACAAACCTCAAATAAGGTAAGATAAGCTACAATAATGCATTATTCTAGTACTTGCAATGCATGAATATGTATAAAGTATCATCTGTGGTCCAATTTATATGATATACAAACAAGTACAGATAAAAATTCTTCAGAATGGTTTCACAATTATACACGAATATCAAGTAATCTTAAGCTAGAAAGGTTATACATGTACGTATTAATTTTGATAAATCAACATCTCTAATAATACAGTCGGTTTTAAATATTTAGATACATATCTAACAAATTGAAAAAAGCCATCATAGTTAATAAAGTAGTTACAAAAATGTGTCAGTGATTGTTTATGACTTCAGGTAAACGTTTAAGGTCAATGTTCACTTCACAATTAATGCTTGTTGAATGTATTTAAGCATGTCGACAGTAAAATATATCAATAGCCCTCAGTATCATGAATAAGTCTATTTATATTTAAAACGAAATTATTTTATTTACATAACATGTAACAAAGTAATTAATGAAACAAGATTTATTTGCTGATAAATTTCAACGTAGGAAAGATTATTTTAACCATTATAATGTGTACGTTTGCTACCATAAACTTTATTGTAAAATTAATGTTTATTTCAGACGATATGCACGGGTATTGCTGTAGTCCTGCATTACGTTTTCTTAGTTTTGTTTTTCCTTATGCTTGCGGAGGGGATGACCGTTTTCATCACAGTCACCTTTCCATTTCATAAAAAATCCCATATCAAAGAACTTCTTATAAGTGCTTTCGGTGAGTAAGATGCATATATTGTTTTGATATCTTTAATTGTACTTAGATTTAATCCACATAATTTGAAAAATACAAGTAAAGAAATAGATTTGGTATATTTATTAAATTAGTTCCCCTCTGTCAACAAATTGAAGTGTTGCCGTATCTTTACCTATGAAATTGATTCCTGTTTTTAAACGAATTGAATTGTTGTTGTTGTTTTTTTTATTTGTTGTTTTTTTTTTGTTTTTTTGTTTTTTTAAATATCTACACTTATTAAAGATATACTATAGTAAATATTAATAATTAATACACGGTCTCTTTGTAAATATTACACAAGCACGTTTTGACTTCACACAAAGTAGATATGTAATGTTTAAAATCCTACAACTAAACGATTTTGACAGAACGTAATAAATTAAAATATGACGATCATTTTAAGTCAATAGGCGTATATTACATTAAAGAGACAGACTGGACGATAATAGGTGAACGCGTTCAAACTAGATCTGTGTAATTTTTTAAATTAAACATATTAAGATAGAAACTTTTGTTTCTAATCAAACTTTATGTGATAAGAAAATATTTTACCAGTGAATATATTTCTGCAAATGTTTCGTTGTCATCTAACGATAAATTGTTCTTTTTACTAAATTTTTTATCTAGCGAAAAGCGCTAAATTTATGGTAAAGCTTCGCCAGCAGAGATTGTTAATATTCATGAACTTGAGACTTAAAGATATGACTGTTCAAATTATGTTTGCGACCAATGGAGTAAACCGCCATCTGCTTAAGACACTTTTATAAATGTAAACAATTTACTTACTTACTTACTTACTTACTTACTAAAGATGATCACAATATAAATATATGGTGTCATTAAAAAAAACTGGCAGTTTTTCTAAGAAAAGACCAACTTTTCGTGACCTGTAATAGGGAACGCAGCTTCCAATACATAGTTTATTCGTGTGCTTTTTATTCAAATTAAACATATTCAGTAGGACTTTCATAGTTTTTATTAAATTGTTGTGATTAAAATATTTTACTCAAAGATGAGCGTAGTATATCTCTAAATTGTTTCCTTTCTCTAAACGAATACAATTGTTTTTTTCTTCCTAACCTCAATAATTTGTTTCCTTTCTGTAAACGAATCAAATTGCTTTCTGTCTCATACATGTCGTTCAATGGCGATCAAAGCTCGCCAGCAGGGAGTGATAACTATGCTTGTACGTTTGACAAACAAATGAGCCGTGTCACGACAAAATCAACATAATGGGTTTGCGACCAGCATGGATCCAGACCAGCCTGCGCATCCGCGCAGTCTGATCAGGATCCATGCTGTTCGCTAATAGTTTCTTTACTTGTTATAGGGTTGGTAAGCGAACAGCATGGATCCAGATCAGACTGCGCGGATGCGCAGGCTGGTCTGGATCCATGCTGGTCGCAAATCCATTATGTTGGTTTTGTCGTGACGCGGCTCAAATGTTGAGACATGTGATCACTAGTAATACACATTAATTTATATGATTTCCAGTGTTACCACTGATACTCGCAGTAACAACTGCAGCTGCTTCTAAGTTTGATGGATATGGAAATGAAAACAAGTAAGTCATGTCACACCTTGAAAATAAAGATAATTGTAATACAATTCTTAAATCATTTACATTTGTAGGAAATTGAAACAAAAAACTTCAGCAACTTTAAGTACATGAAAAATGAGGAAAGTTTTTTTAATGGCGATGAAATTGTTAATAAGATGAAGCAAATGAAGTTGTTATCAAAACTGAACATTCTATTAGTATTATAAATCTTCTTAAGTTTATGACATGTGCTTTATGCGAGCACTTTTATTACCTTGGTTGAGGACTAAATAGATTATTATCTATCATTCCAGAAATTTCGGTCCACTTTTATATTTTGATCGAAAAAATGACACAAAATCTGTAAATGCATATCAAATACATGTACATTACAGTTGCTGGCTAACACCGGACTCCTGGCTTTTCTGGATGTTTGCTGGACCAGCTGCTTTCATTATATTGGTAAAAATGTCGGACAATATTCATAACAAATTCATACCGTTCATTAATTAACATTTCTCTTAATGGCATAGTATACACAATGTTATTTACATTTTAAAGGATGTAATTTGATTGTTAAAAGGACATCATACACTTCAAAAATCAGTGTTAGAATGATTATCACATACAATTTTTAATCGTAAAGTCAACCTTTAACAATCACACTTGTAGTATGTTTTTATTATCATTATTGCATTTTTTTGTATTTTTTTAAAAAATATTTCAACTGCACTTAACTATTTTAATCTTTCAAAAAAAATCGCCATATTGGCAAACTTCTGGTCATAGAAAAGGTGATGTAGATAGTAACTACTGTCCGGTGTCAAAGGGAAAATATCGATATTGTGGTGTGTATCATGTTGTAGTATATATAATTATGTACATACTTTATAACGTTTTATTTGCTACATTTTTAAATCACGTTTGAATTCTCTTTTTTTTCCAGGCAAATATCATAACGATTGTATTGTTCTTTCGTAGACTGTTCGGAACCAAAGCGTCTCATCTAAAATCTTTAAAGGAAAAGGCCAAGTATAAAACAATAGTCTATACGAATATTTATGTATTTTATTTTATACCACATAAAAACATCCATAATATCCTAAAGAGAATCACTAATCATTTCATAACACTAATATATATGAAAAATAAGGGAAAATGTTTAAACTGCTCCAATCTTTGTTTTTATTTTATATACTTGTGTTACTATGTGTTATCTGTCTGTAGTTAATTTTGCATTACATATTCCTCAAACAAATTGAAATGTTATTCTACTACAATTTTTTTTATTTTCGTTTATAATAGGTCCCATGTAGTATCTTTTAATTTTCAGAATGACGTCTGTAGCCATAGGCGTTTTAACACCTGTTATGGGGTTAACCTGGGTATTTGGATTTTTATCTGTTAATGAAGAAACTTTATGGCTGCAATATGTGTTCTGTCTGTTTAACAGCTCACAGGTATATTGATCATAATAAATGTATATTTCGGGTCAAATAATTAAAAGCGCGTCATATCAGCTGATTGTCTGAAAAACTTATGCAAGTTCTAAGTTCCGATAAATATCATTCTTCTTACGTTTACCACAAAGGAAAAGGGGTCTGCTTTGGAATTGTCCCGGATAAGCTTGCGGATTCGAGCGATATAGTTCTTTCATTCACTCTGAGTTTGATGGGTAGTATGGTTTGATGCCAACGTAATGTGATACGTTTGAAGTAAATGACGTCTTTGGGAGGTGGATACTAAACAAATTATGATCATAAGTACAGCTGGAGAATCTGTCTTCAGTTATTTAATTTACAGTATAAAAAAGCCTCACATAGAAATCAAAGAGTCATGGTAACACTTTAACATATCCAATGAAAATTAACCGAAATCAGAACAAATTTTATTTCTATAAATGGCAAAGTAGAAATTTTTGAGTAATAATAGTTCTCTTTATATATAAAACCGTCACTGTTTCTTTTTTTCAGGGCGTTCTCATTTTTCTGTTTCATTGTGTTGGAAATAAACAGGTATGATATATAAAATGTATCTTTGATATGTTTGATTGATGTTTCTTTTCTGTAATCAAAAGTGTGTCGGTTATAATAATGTGACGCTCAGTTAATGTTTACCTAGTCACATTTGAACACAACTTACGAAATTCTAACAATAGCAAAGAGAGGATCAGATCCGACAGTTGAGTATTCTTTTATTGTCACAAAATTTATAAATGAGGAAAATGAACAAAAAGGGACATCTTCATCCAACAATAAATCTTTCTGATTCTGTAGCCAAATGTATAAACGAGCCGCACGAAAGGTTCAAGTTCAAATTTAATGTATTGGCTCCCAAGAAAGACATGACATACATTTAACTAGGCTTTCTAAACATGATGGTACAGTTTCCTTTGTTAACATTTTATAGACGATTTATAAATAATTAAGATGTAAATAAAAGTCCAGTGACACTTATCTTGTAATCGTTATTTCAGTATCCAATGGTATTTAATTTCACGTGAAGACATGTTTGGTATTTGCATCAACTAAATGTAACATTTATCTTTTCACTTGTTATCTTTAGTTAATATTTTTTAATATTTCTTATCACAGTTACGGCAAGCTATGAAGGCAAGTAAAGAACGAAAACGAACAGTTGAAGAGTTTAACTCCGAGCTAAAGGGTAAGATGAAGGTAAGTTGATCACATACTAATTAGAAGTTAATATGTCATGACAAGGCCGTCAAAGCTGATCATTTACTTTTAAATAATAATAATAATAATGATAATAATGATGATGATGACGATGATGATGATGATGATGATGATGATGATGATGATATAGCCACGCGTGTAATAATCACGCTACATGTGTTTCCATCTGATGCACGTATGATATATTCGACAATCTACCCAAGCTTGACAAGTTAACAGAACAGGAGACATTCAAAATGACGTATACTGACTGACCATATTATTTCATAAAGTAATGATATCTTTATTGTAGAAGAAATTTGCCAATCATCCACAAACAACAACAACGACGACAACAGAAAGTAATTTATCCAATACAGAAGATAATACGGAGAGCAATGTTGATCACAGTACCACGGAAATTCATAATGGGTCTGAAGACAAATTGGCAGCTCCCGGGGTAAACAATTACTACAGTGTGCAGAAAAGTGTGCAGTCTGAACTGAAGGAAAAATTATCTGTAGGATATATTGTGTGCATATATATACAATAATATATTTAGTTGAATATAATTTTGGATGAAAGCTTTACCAGGAATTGCAGTTTAAGTTGATATATTTTTTATGAATTATATTTTAAAATATGTCTATAATGTAAGACTTTGGCCGTATAAATTTAAAATCCTTTAAATGAATAAGCAGCATTTTGTTGAGCTTAACGGTACATTTATTTCTTAAATGTTTTTAATACCATGTTTTGTTTTGTGTATAATGGTATATTTGAGATATAACGTATTTCATGTATTTTCCTGTAGGAAATGTTCACAGATCAGAATGATAATAAGAGCAAATCCAGCGAAATTGCGACCGATAATTTAACAGGCAGTACTGCTAGACTAAGTGAAGACTTTACCGGCCTGAAAACAGACAACAGTGATTTAACAACAACTTGCCTTAATCCAGAAAATGCGACAGAGAAAATAGACTCTAAAGCTATCGAAAAGTGCGACACGAACTTAATACCTGAAACAAAACTACCGGTATCACAATCATCAAGCGATGAGGGCCAATGTCTGTTTGACACACCATTCGTTGATGCCATTAATTCCGTAACTAATCAAGATACTGTGTCAAGAAGTGTCAGCAAATCTTCACTAGAAGAAGGACGTAATGTTCTTGTCAAGGATGAACCGTTAATTCAAACACTTGATGATGTTAGATCAAAACAAGAAGGTGAAAGCATAAACACAGATGATGGACAATCGGACGAAATGAGCGTGTCTAATACAAACGAAACTGGTGTACCGGGTGAAAATACCACTAAGACGTGTCCCGATAATAACTTGACAAGTAACATCGGTACAGTGTCCCGAAGTTTGACAGATAATGATTATGAGGTTATTGATGGAGATGGTGATTGTGATGATGATATGTTTGCAGATAAAAAGTCAGAAACCACCACTGATTATGAAGAAGTAACTGAGTGTTCAACGTCATCCGATATGCTGCACAATGAAAATAAGGATCCAAAAGGCTGTAGAAAAGAATTCCTTGAAATCCTTGCATTTGACGAGTAGTTATAAAAGTTTATTAGAAACGATATTTATAGTAATGGATAAATGTCCATAAGTAAACGTGATGGAAAGAGAAATTCAGTATATTTACTGATCACACAACGTTTCTGATAAAATTATTCCTTTTCTATTTTTATTTCTTTATTGTTACTCGTATTATTATTTTTATTATTTTCTTTTATTTTTTATATATTATTTTTGTAATAAACAGATTCGTTTATCTAAAGTATTATAGCATAACACTATTAAAGCAAATTCATGCATAAACAGAAACTTGGTTTAACATTAAAGCAAATTATAACAAGGATACTGATTATGTATGTGAAAACTACATTAGTCATTTCATTTGTGCTGAAGGTTATGAGTAAAATGTTACTCATCTTATAAATGCACTAACCTCATGCATAAGGTACTATTTAATTGGACATACCAACTGAAAACTAATCCAAAGCTGTTTTAATCTTCCTTAAACTATAAACATACCTTCAGTCCTTTGAAATCTTTTTGCGTGTGAAGGAGAACACATACCGGTAAATGATACTTGTTAGTATTCAACTTTAATCAAGTACATTTGAAGTGATGAAAGTATACGAATGTGCGTTTACATTATAAAAACTATTTTGACTGCACATAATTATATTCTTATATATTAATTATGCTTATGATATATATGTATAATAAAAACTAACATGTGGAAAAATTCAAGGTTTATGTTGTTTATTCTTTAAAGTCTGCTCTCTATATCTATGTCTTTCACACACACACACACACACACACCAACACACACACACACACACACACACGCACACACACAAACACACGCGCACACACACACACAAAACTACAGAAAGTGACCAATATTTTCCCTGCATTCAAGCTGTTTATCTACGAGTGTTTCCAAAAGTTTTCATATCGGTTCCTTTGGAAAACGCTTAAACGATTCGTTTTTGTTTCATAATGTTATTATGGCAACTTTCTGGAGAGAAAAAAACGTGGAAAGTCTCTTTGTTTATTCTAGTCGAGGATATATATTCTATTTTTTTAAACATGCTCTTACCCCTTTCAAATAATGTAATAATACAATCAGATGATATAATTTAATACATTATAAAACTGAAGGTCACAAAGGGAATCCAGTATTCATGAACGCAGCGTCCACAATATTCAAGTCTCATCATCATGTAATAAAACTGATAAAATTCTTAAAACATTAGACTACAAGATATAATATTATATAAAATACATAAATGAGTTATCAGAGACTATGCACACTTGAGTATCTGAAAGAACCATCATTGCTATGATATAAAACTACAGTATTCAAATTATATAAATTTCTCGAGATATACTTGCTAAAGGGTCGTGACCAGGGTACGTTGTACCTACATAAAATATGTTTATGTTTAAAATGTCATGTTCTCGTAAATCCTTTTGTTATTTTTTAAAGTTATGGCACGTACAACAATTCGTTGTGGTCATTAAAGAGTGCTCTAACTCGAAAATAACGTATCCTCTGTTGCACTGACAATATTCAAAATTAGTATTGGAACGGATTCAAATAGAGGAAAAACATAATCCCTAAAGAACGCTCACATAGAAAATATTGCAGAATCGGTTTGATTGGGCATGTTTATGTGCGGTGCTGGAAAAAAGGTAATGTCCACGCTCCCTTGCACCGGCTTAAGCAGAATATTCAACATTTAGCATAAACTTGTAAAATTTTGATACATCCGCAGATGTGTCCATATAACGATTATCATGGAACCTTCACGTGACACGTTAGTGTCACTCCATGGAAAGCGGTTTATGGCCCTAAAGTAGAAAAATGCGTGTGCCCTAAACGAGAAGTATATATGTCGGCTAAATTTTATATCCTCGTAACAAGTTGATACCTCTACGCCATTTTTCAGTGCTCTTCAGCCATATAGAAACATTTTTTTTTTCATTTGCATTTTGATAATTATTGAAGATCAAGTTATTAAGTATTCTTGTACGGAAGACAAAATACTACTTTGTTTAAAGTAATAAACGTTAACGACAAATTTGTTCAGCTCCAAAGCTGCATTGAAACATATGATAAAACATATGTTTGCCATTCGACAGACGTTAATATATTTGGTGCAAAGATTTAATGTGTCTTTTATAAAACCCCATTATCTTGTGTGAATTTTTCAGATGATATTTAAATCATTGTTTACTTTTAAATTAAACTGTAAATGAACATTATGTATAAGAATGATCAAAACTGATACTTGTTTGAGGCAAGTACATGGAGGTGTGCAGTGACGACATAGATCTATATTTATAAGTATCATACGAGCATCATCTTATTCCAATAGAATATTGTAGTCAAAAGTTTGAGACAGAAACAAAAGACAAGGCCTTGTAGAGAGTTTAACATTATTTTATAAATAACAAAGGTAATAGATTGAATATATATGACATACATTTGTATATATAGTATCACCATTTCATATACATATAGAGTTACAACGAAAATTACTTGATCGCAAATTTCAGTTTTATATATTAACTATAGTAGAATGCTAATTGAATATATTAAGATGTAGATCTATTCTATAATTAACATTTTCGATGTCAGTTGCATTATATCTTTGAATTGATTTATATTTGGCATATCTTGTTTAATGAAGAGACTTTAATTATAACTCATATTAAAAATGTACAGTTAAAATTGTTCAAATCTTATAAGTGTGCATGTATAAGTGGTTTCATATATGTGTCAATTTTGGTGCGATCGTGCTGAAATTTTCAGTTGAGATGTATTTCTATATAACATTGCGTCTCAATCGTCTCAACTTGAAAGCATTTAGCCTAAAAGTATATGAAGTTTCACTCATTGATCTCTGACAAAGTGAAAAATAAACATTTTATTGAAGATTTAATGTTATGCTAACTATATGACTATATGACGATGAGATGTATATCCAAGTCTATGGACCTTGCTTTTAAGAATAAGACACATTCTTTGAACCAGGACATACTGTCTGCTATGATTATGCAAATGTATATAGAAAACTCTTAATTTTATCATAAAAACTTTTTTAGCGGAAAGGATTGTCGTTTCGGAATAGCAGCCGCTTTTCGCCATTCTTTCATAAATGAATAAAGTGCGAGAGGTTCCGATTGATGCCAAAGTAAACAATAAAAAGTCACAATGAAGTTAGATAAAGATGACATAAGAATATTGCTTAAAGGTCTACTGATTAACACGTTTTCAGTAATGGAATTCAAGGAACCTGAGCTGCGTTTGCCAAAGTATCCAATGAGCTTCAAAGCGCTTGCAGAGTCGCTCGAAATTAAAAGAACAAACGACGCCTTGCAAATGACGGAATTTCTGAAGAAAACGAAAGTAAAAATCTCGATATTCAGTAATGCTTTACATGATATTGATAAAGAAATAGGGGCATAATACCAGTTTAACACCCCTGGGTGTTTTTCTTTTTTTCTGGGGGTGGGGGGGTGTGGGGGTTCCATCTGTCATTTTACAATATAAAAAATCTGTGTCAGTCAGGCGCTTTGTATCAATACGCCTGGGATATTGTATGTCCCAGAATACGTGCAGTACATTTAATGCCAAGGTAGCACTCTACACTAAATTTCAAGTTTCTGCCGTCAATGTCCTACAAGCAATATGTCTGATAAATCTGATCCCAAACTACACAACCTGGAAAAAGAAAACCCATTTTGTTAAGAACATATATGATATATGTCATAACATTGCAAATCTGTAATGAAATCATCCCATGTACAACAGTCAGGCAGTTAAAAAAATTCCAATTCATTCCGTAAAAGCCAAAAATCTATAGTGGCCCGAGACCCAAAACAACATTTTTCGTCCCTCCGGCAAAAAATACCTGCAAATATATGGACTACAGAAACTCTGTCACTGCTTTAGCAACTCCCTATGCATGCAAACTATCACAAAGAAATAGGTGCTTGGCCTTGTAGATTTTTTGCTATTGCTGAAAGTTTGTACCCCCCTGTAAAATTACTTGTTTTCACCGAGCATGCTGTTTAAAAGCAATGTTTACAAACAATGGCGGCCTTGACATCTATAATTAACAGCATGTTATTTCTAACCATGTTTTCGAATTTGCCAATGATCATATTACATGTTACAAAAACAAATTTCAAGCTGAAAATGCATTTTAAAGACAACCAGTCATTTAAATCCACAATATTCACTATATCCATGAAATCCTCCCTGGCCATTCGAAGCTGTGGCTTCATTTAGTGTGGTGTGCTGCCCAATCAATGCCCGTGACCGATTTACTACTTTCTTACGCGTGGGAACTTCCTTTAATACCGTTTTAATACATAATATATTATATTGCCTTATAAAGGAAATACTTTGCCGAGGTGAGGGTTTTCCTGGGGGGTTACAATGCTTTTAAAACTGGGGCTTGGAATTTTTGGGGGAAGCTGTCTTAATGATTTTAGCTTCTACATAACATTTTTTATAAAAGGGTGCTTATATATTAGCACCCGGGTGCTATTCCGTAAGTATATATATATAGAGAGACAATGATGCGATTCATTCCGTTTCAATGCATTATATATTATATTGCCTTATAAAGGAAATACTTTGCCGGGGAGAGGGTTTTCATGGGGGGTTACAATGCTTTTAAAACTGGGGCTTGGAATTTTTTGGGGAAACTGTCTTAATGATTTTAGCTTCTACATAACATTTTTTATAAAAGGGTGCTTATATATTAGCACCCGGGTGCTATTCCGTAAGTATATATATAGAGAGACAATGATGCGATTCATTCCGTTTCAATGCATTATATATAATATAGCCTTATAAAGGAAATACTTTGCCGGGGAGAGGGTTTTCCTGGGGGGTTACAATGCTTTTAAAACTGGGGCTTGGAATTTTTTGGGGAAATTGCCTTAATGATTTCAGTTTCCACATGATATTTTATATAAAAGGGTGCTTATATATTAGCACCCGGGTGCTATCATGTGAGATTGAAGTTCATTTATTATTGCGTTATAGTTTTAAAAGTATAATAAAATCCAAATTTAAACGGAATGAATATAATACAGATTTAATGTAAAATATATACTGTATCAGTTCTTAATTATAAATGTATAATAATATCAAAATTTAAACGGAATGAATCTTATATAGATTTAATGTATTTACTGTACTGATTACCAAATTAACGATTGTGTGCGCTCGAAAAAAGAAGTTCCTACTTACCCATAATTAGTGTGTTACCAACGCAACAGTTACCTATATTTTAAAATTCGTGATCGTCTTGGAAAGGCGGATTGGCTGCACGTAGCAGCTTTTGCAAGTAACTGACTGTTTCGTTGGTAACACAAGAATTATGGGTAAGTAGGAACTACTTTTTTCAAGCGTCTCCATGACACAGATGAATTCAGTCATCTCCGGTACACCAAACATATATTGTAATAAATATAGTGTAAAATTTAAAACACCCCGGGGGTGTTAAACTGGTATTATGCCGAAATAGGTCTCTAAGTTCTAACTTTTTCGGATATTTGAAAATCTGTGAACCCGCTTCCTACCATTAAAACATTTTAAATTTGACACTGCTTTGAAGATTTCAGTTATAATTTCTATTTTGAATGTAAACTGGTAAATACCTTACACTGTATTCAAGTTCAACATAAGAATTTACAAACTAAGTTATAAATGGCATTCAATAAGTTTTGTCCAATATAACGAGACAACCAATAATGTCCAACTCGGCAATGGTCAACTCGGCACAGGTCAACTCAGCCCTCTATTATGAACCAATTGGGATATTGACCTTTTCGAAAACCTAGCTTAATTGTTTTCAGGTATGTTAAGGATTTAGCTCTGGGTAATAATACCAAATGAAGAACATAACACAGTTGCATGATATTTCTATTTTTCTATCATTACTTTACCGTTTAAAGTAAAAATATTGATGTGTTTGAAAATTATCAATATATTTTGCATATTTTTCCAAAAAAAATTGTTTATAATGAAAATCAATAAATTTAAACTGTCATAGTGGCATCTTCCATAATAAATAAAATTTATTATAAATAGAGATATTTTCTGCGTTAACTTGTGTATTTACTTTATTTTTTGCATGGAATATTCATACAATGATATTTAATTATTTTCTTACAAAGAATTATAAAGTTCTGTTTTATTTCACTTTAATTAAAAAAAGGCAAAAAACAAAGAATTCATTACTACACTCCATTAGTCCAAATATTTAGACGTAACCGCGGATTTGAAGCTATTTTTTACATGGGTCAAATCCGCTGTAACTTTTCCAATAATCGTCAAACTGTAAAAACAAGAAAATGCGATGTCTTTCAATGAAGGACTAGGGAATTCCCCAGAGCTATGTCCAGAAAGTAACGGAAACGGCATCTAGCTAGGTTTTCGAATTCGCGAATAGAATAGGTAATAGATATACCATTGCTGCGTTGACGATTTCTGGGTTTGCGTCTCGTGAGGTTAAGGCATAAGAAAGGTCACGTGATTATGGTATAATTTACGCAAACCCAGAAATCGTCAACGCACCAATGGTGTATCTGTTTTAACCTATAGCTCCGCCCAGAAACACTTACTCCTTCGATCTTCAAAACTGAAAATTATACCATAGTCTGGGTATGGTATAATTTACGGTTATTGGAAATTATACTTGGAAGAATTTTACATAAGAAGCGCTGAAGAGCTATAGGTTAATGTTTAGATAGTAAACTTTTTAAGGAGTAAATTACTACAAAAGTATTCAAAAGATATCAAGAAAATATGTTTAATATGGATCCATAAATAAAGCTTTTATATTGAATTTTTATGCCATAATAAATGTCATTGTTTTTAACACTGTTTTTCTGTAATACGACCAATGTTGTTTGAACAATATTTTTTACAAAAGCATCTGAAGTGCTTAGCAAAACATGCATAAAATTTGTAAATTCTTCCTTTCTCTACAAATTCACAAACAAATAATTACTTTGTACTGTCATCAATAAAACTTTTAAATATCATTCAATAGAGGTTTGTTACCATGAAAATGTTAGACAATTAAAGTTATGATGAAAATATACAAAAAGTAATCATTACCTGTAATATGTGGGGCCGAGTTGGTACATGGCCAATATGACTCAGGGGCCAAGGTAGTTGACCCGGATTTGATCAAAATGACCTAATTTGGTCAGAAAAGTTTGAGTGGAATATAAAATTTAACCCCTCCAAGGGTCAAGTTATCCACATCACTAAAAGGAAACATCCTATCCCAACAAAGTACTGCATGTACCTTCATGGAGTACAATTAGAATTGGTTAACTCAGCTAAATATTTAGGTGGGATATATATCAGAAACCCTTATATGGGATGCCCACATGAACAATACATCCAAACCAAACCTTAGCATTTGTATGCAGAAATATAAAGTTTACATCCCAATCCATTAAGTCCGGTGCTTACCAGACGCTAGTCATACCCCAGCTTGATATGGTTCCAAAGTATGGTCTCCCCATATTAAAATACAAATACAAAATACAAATGGATCAAATTGGATATGGTCAGACCTCTAGCATCACAAACATGCTTCACTCCCTTAAGCTTTGAAAACTGAAACTCAGACATATAGATGAGAGATTAGATCTGTCCCTTTTCTACAAGATTCATCATGGTCTGGTTGCAATACCCATTAAAGAATGTGACATCCCTCTCCCGAACATCACTCCATGGCCATTCCCTATGTTATAGGTTATTCAGATTATTATAAATTCTCTTTCTTTTCTAAGACTGTATTCCACTTTAACCACCTACACCCTGCAGTTGTCCTACTCTCTACCCCAGAGCAGTTCAGTGCAGCCATAGCTTGAATTGAACATGACACTATTGCAATGTTTGATACAATGTTTCAGTCAAAATTATAATACCGATATTGGATTGACATTGAATACCTGTACACACCTTTCTGTACATATATGTATATACAGTAACAGTTGGTAACTTGGTGTAGCCAATCAAGACCACCTTTTAAAAAGCTTTTACATTATTGTTTTTTGGTTCAGAACATAAAATTCTAAAGTTCTTTTAAAATTGAATGCCGTCTATATAGTGTTGCAACAAAAATGATTATTTAAATAATGATTAGACTGTACATAACCTTATAGAAATATTTGCACACTGAAACAAATTATCATTACATGTACATTGTACTTTATTTGCAGACTCCAGCACCAGTTGCACAAGTAAAGCTTGGTAGAGATACAGTTGGGATTGAAGCAACTGCTGAATCAGAAATTTTGGTAAATATTTTGTAATTCAAAATTCAAGGCTGAGTTTGATTAGGAAAAATAAATATTTTTCTATGATAGTAATGATTTAACTGAACAATTTATGTCCAAGCAAACTATTTGACAATATGTTTTGAGTGCTTTTTTTTTTTTTTTTTTTAATGCGTTTATTTAAGGTCGCCGCCGGAAAGTCCATATGGGCGACCGTACACTCAAGTCGGGCCATCCTAGAGTGTCCCGTCGAAATTTTTCGTCGTTCTTTTTTCCAGCTTTAATGGTGGAGGAAGACCCCAGGTGCCCCTCCGGGCATTATTTCAGCCACGAGCGGGCACCTGGGTAGAACCACCGACCTTCCGTAAGCCAGCTGGATGGCTTCCTCACATGAAAGATTTCGACCCGAGTGAGGATCGAACCCACAGTGGTGAGGGACCTGTGATCTCAAGTCAGCGACTTTAACCACTCGGCCACGGAGGCCCCTTTTTGAGTGCTTGTTTGCTTAGGTCAATTGATAGAGCATAGAATAAATTATCTAATTATCCAGTGCTGGCTGGTTCCATCATTGGGGCGAGTCGTTCTTTCTTTGTGAAAGTTAATCTGTGACATTTAGTATAATGGTCATGTGTCTCTCACGACTGATTCAAAAATCTTGTGAAATTAATAGTTTGTCACTTGTGTATGAAATTAGTAGTTTGTCACTTGTGTAGAAATTGATGATAATTAATTTTTGATACATGTAAGTAATCCAGGAAAGGAAGTTTACTCTAAGGTGTATTAACTGCCACCATTTCAGTTAGTGTTGCCATCAAAATGACTTTAAAAAAATGACACATGACTATGAGAGGGTAACTGTTTATCACTGCCAAATACCAATAACTTAAGCATAAAAATGACTGAATCATGTGATACTAGAAAATTCCTAGATAAGATTTTGCTTGTAAGATCAATCTCAACAATCAGTAGAGGTATTCATATGCTATAATTCTAAAATTATTCTTCAAGATCCGTTCAAGATCCATTACTTCAGTGAATTAAACTTTTTACTGAATAATTCCTATTTAATGATTTGCTTGCAGATACTTCACACATCTTTAATATCATTAATGTAGGTCATTGATCAAGACCTTCTATTTTCACTAAATTATTTCCCATTATAAACTTAGATTTGTACACTATCATTCTAGGCTCTTGTTTAACTGTAAAGCACTGACAGAAGTCTGACAGTTCTAACTTCATGCATAGTCATGTAATTTCTCTTTGAAATAACTTGGAAATAAGAAATAAACGCCATCTAATTGATAATTTTAAGTTTTATTAATTATAAATGGTACAAATATTATATTTTCAGGAAGTAGCAGATGGAGACACTACTGGGCATAGGAAAAGGAAAATAGATCAAAGTCAAACATCTCTTCAATCTGATTATAAATTTACTGTAAGTAATTAAGGTAAAAAAAGGTAAAAGCATTCCTTCAAAGCTTCATAACAGTGTTCTATTACATTTTTGTAAAGTTTGATAATTAATGTTTTGTATATTATATTGGTAAAAATTGAATTAATGACATAAAGTAGTTCTTGCCTATCAGACTGGGTTTTCCGTTGTTTTTACCTATGCCGGAAATTTCATCTGGCATTCTGGCATGGGAGTTGCCAGATGAGTTGTGTGCCATACAACAACGTCATTTTTGCGCATTTTATGCATTTTAGGCATTTAATAATGTCATTTCATCACATTTTAGAAGGGAACTATGTGCTAAGGATGATGTCATTTCTAATATTCTATATGGTACTTGATATAAGTCAATAGATCAGGTAGTTAAAAACTGCTTTAAAATTGTACAAATCGTTTTCTTTATAAGATAATTTTATTTGCAGTCACCAAGGTCAGAAGGAAGTGCAGGATGTAACAAAAGAAGGAGGGACGAGGAAATGTCACCCGATACATCAGAGCTTAATGTCATTGTAAGTACCTTCTCCAGCTTACCTAAAACCAGTTGTTGCTTACTAATATTTTTCTTAACAACTAAGAATTTGCATTCTGCTTGTTAAAGGCCAACCGCTTAAAGGTTTTTTTTGGAATAACTCTCTTCCAGTCCTAAACATTTGTGTCACTTACACATTGTATTGTACATGAAAGAATGACTGCATCTGTCATCATTTCTAGTTAATTGTTTAGCTCCATTTTTTTCGCCCTAACTGTCTGAATTGACATTTGGTTAATCTTTTTGTTAAGATCCATTTTTTCATAAGAAACTTACATTGATACTCGAAAGCTTGGTTAAAGTGTTTATAAGTAAAATGTGATACCATGTCACAACATCAGTTAATGTTAAGATAAAATTCAAAATGATGCCCTTTCTTTGACATGTTTTAGCTTGGTTAGGTTAACATTTTGTTAAACTATCATAGCTTTCCTTTTAAATCTTAAAACATTTGTTCATGATCTATATTGGAATGCATTTCTAAAAGGCAGATAATCATTTCTTAATTTGTTTGAGTATTTCCCCTTTTTCAACAGAGGATATTTTTCCTTATTTTCTAAAAAAAAAACAACAGATATTCACTTGAGATACTGGTTAACTGTAAATATACCAGTATTATTTTTGCAGAATTATTCCCCCTTTCATACATGCTGCTGTATAGCAATAAGAAAATTGCTTATTTAAAAAAAAAACAAAGTGGCTTAGTCTCTGTATGAACACTACAATTGATTAAAATCTGACATTCTGTCATTTAATCACCTTACTAGCTGGCATTTGGTGTAACATCACTTTACAGGCTGACATTTTGTCATAACATTACTTTACATATTGACATATTGTCTACATTTAAAATCAAGCAAATTTAGAGAAATCCATCATAATTAGAACTAATACTGTAGGGGGGGGGGGGGGGGGTGGCTGCAGTTGGTATAATTTTCATTTCAAAAACATACTGGTATACTTAAGGCACTTGTAGATATCCTTAAAACACCAAATTTCAGCAATATTGAATGAATATTATTAGAGATATCACACTACTATATAAATATTTTGGAAGCCATTGTATAAATCAAATTAACTACATATATTTATCGTTAAGTATTTATGTCTAAGTACATTTTCAGTTGAATATTTGTATTTATTTGTCTTCAAAACTGTGGTTACCTTTGTGAGTAGCCAAAGTGCAGCAAACATTTGTAAGTAACTGAGAATGAAGTTTCTTTACTTAAAAACATATTTCAGAAATAAGTGCAAACAATACTGTACTTTTTACTTTATTATATCTAGTTTAAACATCTAGAATAAATGCTAGCATAATATGATTTTCTGTCTATGTGGTTGACATTGTTTACATCAGATTTTTTTGTGCTATTAAAATGGGTTGTTTTCATTTTGTACAGACTGACTTTTTGAGTGATGAAGATACTGATGTCATGATTGATAATTTAAACAGATGTATGGAGAAAAACAATATTTATCAACTTAAGAAAGTTGTTCAACAGTCTGAGTCTGAAAATGATCTTGCTACTGGGTTTGGAATTCATTTGATTTCAAAGTTAACTGGGAATACTTCAGTAAGCACCGAGCTGTGTGAAGAGATCAGATGTCCCTGTGGATGTAATGAGAAACTTGAAGGAAATTCTAACATGTGGATTGGTAGGATACTGATTATTAATACTAATTAATTAATACTAATTGTTTTACTCTGTTTCTTTCAGTATATACATTTATTAACATTTTTCATAATGGAATATCTTCAAATTACATTTCACAGCGTCCGTGGCTTAGATAGTTGTATTCAAACCACTTGCCCCTCACCACGGTGGGTACAAGTCCGGACAGGGAGATTGGATTCTTTCGTGTGACACTATCCAGCAGCTAGCTTACAGAACATTGGTGGTTCTACTTAAGTGCCTGTTCATGCCTGAAAAAATGCACAGAAGGGCAACTTTATTCTCCACTAGTAAAGCTTTGAAATTGCCATTCAACATATGCCCTGAAAGTGTGTTGGAAGCTAACCAAAATAAAAGCAAAAAACATTTCACAGGAATTTCTAAAAATTGTTTAATTTCATTTGTCTTTCCTGTTTAGGGACAAAAATAGGTAAAATACGGCAAGTATTAGAATTTTGATAATGTGCTGGACTATAATTACTGTTTTAAGTTATTGATGTGAAGAAGTTTTTAAGAAAAGTAAAAAATATTCAAGTGGTAATTAACATCTTATGTATGATTGATAAGTGATTCTGCAGTACTCATGGAATTTCATCACCATATTTTTTTGTACTGAGTTATTGACACAGTAAGGGCTATTTTTGCATATTTTGACCCATTTTCGGTAATTTACTTGGACTTTAAGCACCCTTTGCAGTGTGTAAATTAATTTCTTTGTTCAGTTCACTGTATTTTACATTTAAATACATTTTCAAAATTTGCATGAATCTTGAGGCATGCTGCTTTAAAGCCACTGAGTACCAGATGTAGTACATTTGTAAATGATCTCATCATTTCTTACAGGAAATATTACACACTGAAAACATCTGCTTTGATCATTTAAGATATATTATTGCATGCTTTGACAATAAATGTTTCTTTGTTATGGACTTCTTTTTTTTAATTGACAGAATGATAAGCAGATCAGTGAAAATGAAAACCAAGAAAAAATTAATGTTTCAAAGCCTTATACAGTTTTACCATTTGTGCAAGAGACATAACTCTAGCATAGATTTTTTACTTTTATTACTTAAGAAATTCACAACCATGATGATATTTATCTGAAACCTTAAATTTGTAGGCTACTGCTTATTCTCACAGTGTGAAATTATTGTTTGATATTAGTTTGACTTTATATTAATGTACTATAGTCATGTAAGCTGTCTATCATATACATTTTATGTCTTGAGCAATTGGAGGGTTTCACAGACACAGTCACATGGCTCATGTAGGCAAAACATAAGTTACTGTGATCTAACAAATCTTTATATAGGGCAATTTATCAATACTCTATATTGTATAATTTGAGTTTAATAATATATCATTCTTTTGTTTAATAATAGTGACTTTACCTAGGTAATATCTGCTTGTTTCTAAAATAATGCTTTAAGGTGCACCTGAGATCTATCATCGGGAATGCTGGAAAATTACCATTTATAACTTAAACAGTGGGAATTTAAATCCAACCAAAAAAAAACACCCAAAACCAATCAAATTTGTATAACAGCAATGTTCCTTTAATATATCAGCAGCTTATCATTGATATGACTGTGTGTTCATGTGTATTTTAGGATCTGAAGAAATATGGCACGGGGAGGTAGACATACTTGCTGGAAATAAAGTAAAGGGAGAGAACTTAGTGGCCTGTACTATCCAGATACTAGATGAAACAGACGAAGTTGATCCTGATGAAGATACATTTTTAAACCATAATATCAGTTCTGTGATTGGGGTGACTGAGGAAATGAAATTGTGTTATAGTGCTGACAAAATGAATAGATTTGTTGCACAGTCAGTTGTGTTTGCTTTCACCCAATATAACAGACATAGAGATTTGTGTAGACTTATACCTTCAGTTCTTCTTTCACCAACTTATTTTCAAGTGCTGATATATGATCCGGTTGATGATTTAATGTTCCGGTCTAATAAATTTTATTTCTCATTCAATGAAAACGATTGCAGACCTTGGTTTATTCTATGGATCATACTAAACTACAGAACATTTTTTCAAATGAAGCTAAGCCCTTCCTTAAACATATCTTGCTCAGGATTTGGGAGAACAATGAAAAGTTGTCCAGAAAAATTCAGCATTTTTGAGAAAATGAATTCATATAATGCTCAGATCATAGTGGAAAAAAACCGCAGTGATATGCTGTGTATCCGAATGAAATGATTTATCGAGATTGTTACATTCAAGTAAAAGGGAGATGCTCATCTGAAAGTAATTAAAGAAATGATACTTGTTTTCACATGTTAAGGATATAGGTCATCAGAGATTTATCCTTTTTTTTCTAAAGTTTTAGTTATTTAAGCTACAGGTACATTTACCAACCAATTGTACCTCATTGATGAAGGTTTGAATCTTGCTAGAAACTTGATTCTTTTATGTGAGAAAGCTATTCAGCTAGATTATGGAAGGTTTGACGTTGTCGTTTTACCCACTAGCCTGCTAATGCCTGAAATTATACACAAAGAGGCATATCAGGATTTTCTCCAGCACTAAGCCTAGAATGTCACAATGTGGCCTTTACAAAAGTGTCATTTTACCTTAAAACAAAACAAATGAAAGAACTGTTACTGCAATTGTTTTACAAAGGAACTCTTTAAAATTTATATGATGCTGACAGACCAGTAGTATTTTAATGTAGTGATATGATCCCAGACTTTTCTTCTTCATTTGATTTACCTTTGAAAGTATCATGCCTTCATTTCATGTTAATTGGTAACTTAATGTCAATTGTATATATAAACATTATTTTGTCGTAAGTTTGCTGTGACTGTTTAATAAATATGGAGAGCTAGTATACTTACCTTGGTATCTCCAAAACTACTGAAGCCTGAAGGCCATGAATTGAAACGTCACACACTTGCTCCCTGTGATTATCTCACATGATGAGCACAGGTTCCATAACTCTGAGTTACTTTTTTATAGAGTTATGCCCCTTTTATCATTGTCAAACATTGAGAATAGTCAATCTCACTGTCTTACTGATAGCTCTTGTTTGTAACATTATAGTATCATGCTGTACACAGTATTATTGGATGTACATATTATACATGTTTAATGTAGGCATACCATAATTTCTCTGCATATTTTATATGTATTCATTATTATTATTGATGACTATGTTCATATTTTTTGTCAGTAAAATATTTGATTTGACTTGATATATTTGTGTTGTATTTACTGGCTATTGTTAAGTCAGAATTTTCAAACTTATTCAAATCTTCCATTTTACACTTCCCCTTGTCATTTGCTCAGTACAGTGTAAAGCAAGGGGGAATCAAATGGGGCACATGATTGTTTTCACCACCAGTAAAAGTGTATGTGTTTCTATACGACCTTTTCAGTATTTGGTGACTTTAAACCTCCAGCAAAAAAGAGGCAAGAGTATCTTTTATAATTATTCAGATTTTATAGATCTATAGTAAGTATGAACTTTCTCAACACTGGAATCTGCCAAAGGAGACAATTTGTTTTTATTTGTTGAAGTTGTTTTACCATTTTGATTATATAATGGTATGTTAAAAGTCCTTTGATTTGTCATGTATGCCATTACCTCTGGTAAGAGATCAAGCATTATGTAACATGGCCATCTTATTAGCTTATTAATAAGGTTAGAAAAGTGCTCCAGGGCAATGTAAAATAACCCTTTTGTTTTTAAATCTGATGCAGTATAAATAACATGGCCCTCTTGTTAACTTATTAACTCTGGTAACACATCCAGAGCAATTTATATAACCTGACCCAGTGCTAATTCACTCAATCTAGTAAGGGTTCCAGAAATAAAAAGCATGACGCTCTTGTTTACTCAGTAACACTGGGGATAGAACCAGGGTAATATAACCTGACCCTCTTAGGCCAGTAATATAATCAGGACTTAATAATATGGCCCTTTTAATTAGTTTACCTATACATTTCGTTCTGTTTATCTGACTGTTTATAAAGAGATGCTGTAACACACTAGTTTAGAAAGTACAATAAGAATTGTTGTTCTGGTTCATAAGACAACTGAACTTGTAAAATATACCCTTAATAATACATATGTATATTGCATATTTGACTTTCAATGACAGACTTTGACTGATTAAGAAAATGAGAACATGAGCTTAATTTAGACATTAAAACTTCAATATTGGTGAGTATGTAATTTAATCGATTATTTATTTTCCTTTAAAATATATAAATATAAATAAAAACAAAACAGAGGTAATTCACAGAGCGAGGTCCCCAATAACAAACACACAGAACGTGATACTTTTTGCTCTATCAAGTTTACCATATGACTTTTATAAACTAAAAACAAGATGCAATTTAGTCATCGAACTTTAGTCAAGGTTGTGTTATTTAGACAAAGTGTTTAATTAGAGATTAAAAATCAAATTAGCAGTAAATAATCCTATCTCTAAGATGACCTGAAGTCGTACCACTTTAAATTATTGTATAATGGACCCCTTGTAAAGAGGAAAGTGTAAATGTTGACAAGGCGGTAGGGGGTGAGGGCTCCAATTAGGCTTCGGTTGATTAAATCGTGGGGGTGGGGGGATCTGATACACCATGTACATCGGGGTAAAATGACTTATCAACTGTAGTGATACTAATATAATAATTTTTGATAACGTGTTTCTATATATTTTACACCTACACTAGGGACATTGCATTTAGATATATATTTACCTATGATTGAACATAAGCAATGCACATTTATCCATAATTATGATAATTACGTTGATACTGTTGTGTAGGCATCAATTATAAATGCTGTACGAACATTTGATAAGGTAGTGGAAAAAATGGCACACAAAACATATTTTATGAGAAAAATGCATTTATTTGCAAGGAATTATTTTATAATTTGTTGTGCAGTTGAACAGCAAATGGATAAAACAAGTATGAGTTCTAAAGGAGTTCTACAGATCTGTGTCGTAGTCCGGGTACAATCAGTCGTTGCCATAGCAATTGCGAACCGTTTTATTCCTTTTTATCCGATGGTTTTCTTAGCCCTGCCTTAGGCCTCTCTGGAAATAAATAATAAATAAAAGAAAACATTGACATAGTCCTTGAAGATATTGTATAGAAAATGCAAAAATAAGGAAGTTTTTACTCTGTTTTACCCTTTTTCTTCTGGAACCGCACGTGATTTGCCTTTGCCACAATAGTGAGCCAGGCCTGCCTTCTGACAAGGTACTAGACTGTTGGTAGCTTAATTTTGTTGTTTGATAATTAGATCCCTTTAAGTATGAATAGACCGTTCCAAAGTCAAAGCTGGACAAATCCATTACACTAACTTAGCATGTACAGTACAGCATATTCATACCTGCAATATCTGCAGGTCATTTGTCTACATAATTTTTACAATGCCTTTGAATCTTTTTAAAAAATATTGCATAGAAAATAAAAAGAATTTGTTCTGTTCAAACCGAAAACTAGAATCCCTGCACTGTTTTGTTATACTTTCAACATTTTTTTAAACATAAAATTTTTTTCGCATTTTAGACGCATAATAAGTGGGAAAACACAATGTTTGTAGTAGTGTATTGATTATTTTCGGCTAGTGAATGCTTCCAATATTAACACAAAAAAAAACAAATTCTACATCGGATATTAAGTTTTTAGTATGTACATGTCAGGTACTTGTAAAAATGAGAATGTCCTAACTTTGATATAAAATTATTGCTATCAATCTCACGAGCAATTCATTCATGAATAACATGTAGATATAATATATATGAGCCGTGACATGACAAAACCAACATAATGGGTTTGCGACCAGCATGGATCCAGACCAGCCTGTGCATCCGCGCAGTCTGATCAGGATCCATGCTGTTCGCTTACCAACCCTATTACAAGTAGAGAAACTGATAGCATCCTGATCAGACTGCGCGGATGCGCAGGCTGGTTTGGATTCATGCTGGTCGCAAACGCACTATGTTGGTTTTGTCGTGACGCGGCTCATTTATTTATTATGTGAGAGCATTTTCAGAAAAACAAAATGTAGTCATTCTTTGATTGGCAACGACAAAATCGTAAGGTTAGAAGTTTAAGAAAATTTCTAATCTTAAGAACTTACCAAGAAGCTAACATCGAAGCTAAAACTGCCTCTCTTGTTATCATCGTTTGCTGCTCTTTTGTAATCGTCGGTTGCCCCTCTTTTGTAATCATCGGTTACACCTCTTTTGAAATCGTCGGTTGCACCTCTTTTGTAATCATCAGTTACACCTCTTTTGTAATCGTCGGTTGCACCCCTTTTGTAGTCATCGGTTGCACCTCTTTTGTAATCGTCGGTTGCACCTCTTTTGTAATCGTCGGTTGCACCCCTTTTGTAATCGTCGGTTACACCTCTTTTGTTATCGTCGGTTGCACCTCTTTTGTAATCGTCGGTTGCACCCCTTTTATAATCGTCGGTTACACCTCTTTTGTTATCGTCGGTTGCAACCTCTTTTGTAATCGTCTGTTACACCTTTTTTGTAATCGTCGGTTGCCCCTCTTTGTAGTCATCGGTTGCACCTCTTTTGAAATCGTCGGTTGCACCTCTTTTTGTAATCATCAGTTACACCTCTTTGTAATCGTCGGTTGCACCCCTTTTGTAGTCATCGGTTGCACCTCTTTTGTAATCGTCGGTTGCACCTCTTTTGTAATCGTCGGTTGCACCCCTTTTGTAATCGTCGGTTACACCTCTTTTGTAATCGTCGGTTGCACCTCTTTTGTAATCGATGGTTGCCCCTCTTTTGTAATCGTCGGTTGCACCTCTTTTGTAGTCATCGGTTGCACCTCTTTTGTAATCGTCGGTTGCACCTCTTTTGTAATCGTCGGTTGCGCCTCTTTTGTAGTCATCCGTTGCCCCTCTTTTGTAATCGTCGGTTGCCCCTCTTTTGTAGTCATCGGTTGCACCTCTTTTGTAATCGTCGGTTGCACCTCTTTTGTAATCGTCCGTTGCACCTCTTTTGTAGTCCTCGGTTGCACCTCTTTTGTAATCGTCGGTTGCACCTCTTTTGTAATCGTTGGTTGCCCCTCTTTTATAGTCATCGGTTACACCTCTTTTGTAATCGTCGGTTGCACCCCTTTTGTAATCATCCGTTGCCCCTCTTTTGTAGTCATCAGTTACACCTCTTTTGTAATCGTCGGTTGCACCTCTTTTGTAGTCATCTGTTGCCCCTCTTTTGTAGTCATCGGTTACCCCTCTTTTGTAATCGTCGGTTGCAACTCTTTTGTAGTCATCGGTTACCCCTCTTTTGTAGTCATCGGTTACACCTCTTTTGTAATCGTCGGTTGCACCTCTTTTGTAGTCATCTGTTGCACCTCTTTTGTAATCGTCGGTCACACCTCTCTTGTAATCATCAGTAACTTGGTTATCGCTGCTTACACTGATACTGCTTTCAAACTGTCACAAAAAGCATGAATTATTCAATTTTTATTTTCCAAAATATGAAAACAGTGTGCCATTTAAGTTTTGTGTTTATATATTGGTATCAACTTGTTAACTCAACTTTACTGTCAATGAATTTTAAGTGAAACTCAAGCTAACTTAAAATATTATTTGTCACATATTAAATTCATTTAGAATCAACTATATGAAGCATCAATTCTTTAACAAACTAAAGGCATGATGCCACGTGATTCGATCTGACATAACTACGATGCAGACATTGTCATCATGTCACTGGTTTAATACAGTAAAATACTAGTACTATAAAAAAGTCATACTTCTTCAAGAAGTTCATCACACATCTCTTTAAATGTGCCAGCTGCACTTCTTTTATCCTGTCGTTTATGCTCAAGACATGCCTCAAGCAACTCTAAGTCCTGAAAAGTCATTTAATTCAAATATAAATAGGATAATAGGATAACTGACTCACCCAAACATGATTTTTTCTTCTTCTTTTTTTTTTACTTTTCTTCGATTGTTTTCTTACAGTCAACGTTTGGTTTAGAGATGATATATAATAAAGTGAAACTGGTATATGTGTTTGTGTTTTTATATCAGTAATATATTCAAACAGACATGATCGAATGATTGAATTCAGACTGTGCAACATAAATCAATTTAATAATGATTCTTTCTTTTTAAAACGCAGATAAAAACTATATTTTTGCTTATAGTGATTTGGAAACACAGATATGAAATTTATAACTTTAACCGTGAATAAGAAATAAGCTACAACGACATGATTTGGCAACTTATATTATTATGAGTTTGTAATTTATAGCGTGATTTAGCAATACGTAGATGAAGTTTATATTTTTAGTATGATTTAACAGAACATATATGCAATTTATATTTTGTAGTCTAATTAAGCAGAATAGTTATGACAATTATTTTTATTTTTGTAGTAAAACAGACATATAAAGTATAGAGCATGAAGCATGATTAAGCAACTTAGAGATATAAGTAAAGAATCTGTAGTATGATTTAGCAACTTAGAGATATAAGTATAGAATCTGTAGCATGATTTAGCAACTTAGAGATATAAGTATAGAATCTGTTGCATGATTTAGCAACTTAGAGATATAATTAAGTATAGAATCTGTAGCATGATTTAGCAACTTAGATATATAGAACATGATTAAGAAACTTAGAGATATAAGTAAAGAATCTGTAGTATGATTTAGCAACTTAGAGATATAAGTATAGAATCTGTAGTATGATTTAGCAACTTAGAGATATAAGTATAGAATCTGTAGCATGATTTAGCAACTTAGAGATATAAGTATAGAATCTGTAGCATGATTTAGCAACTTAGAGATATAAGTATAGAATCTGTAGCATAATTTAGCAACTTAGATATATAGAACATGATTAAGAAACTTAGAGATATAAGTAAAGAATCTGTAGTATGACTTAGCAACTTAGAGATATAAGTATAGAATCTGTAGCATGATTTAGCAACTTAGATATATAGAATATGATTAAGCAACTTAGAGATATAAGTATAGAATCTGTAGCATGATTTAGCAACTTAGAGATATAAGTATAGAATCTGTAGCATGATTTAGCAACTTAGAGATATAAGTATAGAATCTGTTGCATGATTTAGCAACTTAGAGATATAAGTATAGAATCTGTGGCATGATTTAGCAACTTATAGATATAATTATAGAATATGTAGCATTCTTAGCAACTTAGAGATATAAGTATATAATCTGTAGCATGATTTAGCAACTTAGAGATTATAAGTATAGAATCTGTAGCATGATTTAGCAACTTAGAGATATAAGTATAGAATCTGTGGTATGATTTAGCAACTTAGAGATATAAGTATAGAATCTGTAGCATGCTTAGCAACTTAAAGATATAAGTATAAAATATGTTGCATGATTAAGCAACTTAGAGACTTAGAGATATAAGTTTAGAATCTGTAGCGTGATTTAGCAACTTAGAGATATAAGTATAGAATCTATAGCATGATTTAGCAACTTAGATGCAAGAATAGAATCTATAGCCTGATTTAGCAATACAGATGTTCAATTTTTAAATGTTAGCGTTGGAAATATGATATAGAGCTCACAATAAATGTCTCACCTTTAGACTCATTTGACGAACTTGTTCTCTCGCCACATTGTTAGGTTTTGCATTACTTATACCTGCTACACCAATGACAAGAGCCAGTAGTACTAAGTGCTTCATCTGTTAAAATACAAGATAAAAGGATATATACGTGAGGCTAAATGCAGATACAAACCTGGTTTCATGCAATGACACCGTACATTATACATAATGTTGACTTATTAAACAATCTAAATATTGAAACTAAAATTGTTTTCATTCAAATATGTGTTCTTTTTGCGTTTTACAAATGGACAGTCAAGTATTGCACTTAAATCTTTCCGACGAGGAAGCAATCCAGTCTCATAGTGTTTGCGAACATTTTTTTTATTTTTGTAATAATTGTGATGTTGTGTTTTAAAAAATAGTAATGTTACACTGTTCATATAATTTTCTCATTCAATAAATGTTATTTTTAGATAACAGTCTACTATGCATTCTCGTTAATTTGCATTTTGGAACAGTTTTAGTTCTTAAAAACACAGTTGCGTTGATCGTTGAAGTATTGAAGTAAATAGGAGGATCAAGTTTATGTAATTATCTTTAATATTGAAATAGGGTACTTTTGTCGTTTATAATTTATTCTCATCTTGGACTATTTTAGCTGTCCATTACAAACTTATTTGAAATATAAATATCAATGTAAACATAACTGTTTTTGACGGCATCACAATGCATATGCGATTAGAGGCTGATTACATTTAGTGTTTTCAGTTTTAGATGTTTTTTAAAGATACATGGTTTAATCAAATTTATGAAGCTATGACTTCAAAATTAACTTTGTCAATATACACACAATCACGATGATTCAATTTGGAATGTCCTTGATAAAAATAATGCCCTAAATAAATATTGTTGAAAGTTCTACATAACGAAAGCACATACCTTACTTTTCTAAGAACAAAACAACCCAATATTATAATCATTCTACATTTAACAGGTTATCATTTTAGACATTTTTCTCATTTCAAAATAAAATTCCATGTCTCACATAAATTTTAACTTACCTTTATCCGCTGTTAGATCCAACCTCTAAAAGAATATGACCATTAAGTATTTCCATTTTATCTTCTTTTAAAGTCAACATTTTGATTAAAAACCAAGCAACTGTTCATTCTTTGTCTTTAAATAGTATAAATACACAAGAAGACTTTATAAATATTTTTTAACTTTAAGCTGATTTTAAAGACTTATCTTTTCATTCTTTTCACTATCTAAAATAATATAGCATACATACGTAATTTCATTATCTGGTCAAAGTTTTGGGACAAAAGAAAAAAAAAGAAATTTAGACAGTGGGGGTGGGAATCATAAAATGACATAAAAGTGTTCTTCTTGTTAGACTCTTATGTCATGAGATGTCCCATTTTCACTTTAGAAATATTAGGTTCAAGTCACATTAGGGATAGAATTCCGACAGAATGCACTGATAAGGAAGAATAACCTGACAGCATGCCGCGTGTTTTTTTTTCCCACGTATATGCTCACATGGCTAAATGAGCCGCGTCACGACAAAACCAACATAATGCGCTTGCGACCAGCATGGATCCAGACCAGCCTGCGCATCCGCGCAGTATGATCAGGATCCATTTTTTTCGCTTACAAACCGTATAACAAGTAGAGGCAGTGATAGCGAACAGAGGCTGGTCTGGATCCATGCTGGTCGCAAACCCATTATGTTGGTTTTGTCATGACGCGGCTCAAATAGTATGTATAAAAAATGGCCAGCACCCCGTGTTGAATTAGGGATGTTGTACTTTATCATTATCTCTCATGTACAGACTCAGTCAAACCGAGTCTGCAACTTTTCTGTAATTTTGTTGAATTTAATGCTTCAGAGGGATCACTTTTTTCCAGATACATGTATTTTAATAACACTTGCACAGTTTTTTCTTGTTGTTGTTGTTTTTCTAATTTTATTTTTTTAAATCGGTCAATATCAATTTTGAGGAAATTAAGATGAAAAATAAGTCATTAGTTATTAGTCAGTATAAGACTTGGCCTGGCTGTAAACCGGCGGCAAAGACAAATTCTTTCGGTTCCAGCAGGGTAAGGCGATATTCCTTTTTATCAGCATTCAAACCACGTTTAAGAGCTGATTAAACCAATATCCTTTAAAAACATTTAGTTTATCTCTTCTTAGAATATTACTGTTTTCATTTTAAATATTGTCTATAATATTCATCATAATCATTAATAATTTTATTGATCATTAAATGTGTTAAATGCCCTTAAACACAATAAAAATGAGCCGTGTCATGACAAAACCAACATAATGGGTTTGCGACCAGCATGGATCCAGACTGATCAGGATCCATGCTGTTCGCTTACAAACCCTATAACAAGTAGATAAACTGATAGCGAAAAGCATGGATCCTGATCAGACTGCGCGGATGCGCAGGCTGGTCTGGATCCATGCTGGTCGCAAACCCATTATGTTGGTTTTGTCGTGACGCGGCTCATATAATCATATACACTGTATGTCAGATATTTCACCATCTTTCGAAATCATTAAACATACTTAATAAAGATATTTTTCGCTTTTTAACATTTTAGATAGGCTTTGAAGATTTATTGCAAAGGATATGAAAGAAAAATCGAGCAGTACAACATTTATCAATTGAGTCAACCACATCGTATAATTATAAAGGTATACTTTTATTTGAAAATAAGATCACTTATTTCCGAAACTTTTGGTTTGATCCCTTTGGATTGGCAGTAAATTTACACCTTTCTAGTCTGGTCCTCTGGAGAAATGTTATCTATCTGCAAAAAAGAATTTTCGACGAGTGCTGCCAACCTGACCTATAGTGCGGTCATGTTTCTCTTAAAATATCCCTGTAATATAATTTCTGTGACTCGATTTCGCCGACATTATCAACGTTTACGTATTCATGTATTTTAGATTTAACAAATTTACAGTTTACAGCTTCTTACTACTGCGACCCTGAAAGAATCGCTTACACTTATACGTAAAACAACACGTTTCACCACTGCTGTATCCAATACATCTCAGCTAAAACAAGTCACGGCCACTCACTTGATAAAATAATAAAATTATAAAATGAAGCGTAATTCGCCTTTTCGTTTGCGAAAAAGGAATAAACCGCAATTGAATATTATCATTAATAATTTCGTTAATAAATCTGGTTATTATTATCTTACAAACGATATAGTATTATCACTATCATCACAACAATCAGCAACATAATTAGTCTGATTTCTATAGCATAGTGTCATTATCATCATTATCGTTTCTATAATAAATTCTCTGATGAAAATGAAGGTGATCATCACCATTACTTACATTATCATCATCATCATCAGTAACATAGCTATCATCGTGCACCATTATTATCATCATCATCATCATAACCATCATTACAACTATCATCATCACAACTTTCATCAATAGAAGTACAATAATCATCATTTTCATTTTAATATCATCACCATAACTACCAGCAGTATTTTCATAGTCACCATCATCACGACGTCTACCACAGCCTGTGATGTTGTTAGTGGTAGCTTCATCATCGTTACATCATTACACGAGCGCTGCCGTTATCAACATCATTATCATCATCATCATCATCATCATTCGCATCATCATCATCATTATCATCAATATCCTTACTATCATTATCATTTACGTTGAAAGTCCTGATAACATTAAAAATTATTTAATACATGTATAATAATGAAACACATGTAGAACATTAATATGCATTTATCATTTAATGAAATGTTAATTTTTTTTAATTCTAAGTCTTAAAAGGAGTTAAAAGATGTTCTATTTTTTTCTTATATAATGTTAAGATACATGTAATAACAAGTTCCTCGTTGACAACGAGTAGATAGATTACAATTATACATGATATTTCTATATATTTGAGGTTAGACACTAGTTTCGTAATCTTCAAATTTACAGGGTAGTTGATCGGAAGCATGCGTACTTAATAAAAAAAAGCTCTACTCGTTGCCATTTCTAGATATATTAAGTGAACCAGTTTTTTTATGATTTTTTTTCGGAGACTAAATAAAGTAATAAAAATGCTACAATATCGTGCGTATGCTAAACTGTAAGATCGGTAACTTTGCAGAATCCCTCCTATATAACGTTGTGGATCTGTAAAAAAATGTACGTAAATGTACATGTAATAGAGTAGTTTTATTGACGTAAATCGTTTATACGAAAAACAAATATTTTCTCTTGCTTCTTATTCAATATTTGTACAGTAGTTGCCTATAAAACCTTTAAAACTTTTGTGCTTGTATAAATATAGTTGTTCTAAATAAAGCCATGTCAAATACAAAACTTTTAACTGTTTACTTTATACCGAAAACACTTGAGGGCATTATCATAAATAAATTGCTTACTTTAAAAGCCGCCTTATAAATTGAGTTTTTGGCTTACATTCATTTCTTTCATAACAGGGTTTCTTTTGCCAAAAAATCGCTATTTAAAATTCAAGTCAGTTTTGTATTTGAATGCGATAGGTCTTTACATTTTAATATTACATTTTGACTTCTTGAAACAGTAACAAAATGAAATGTCATGCCCACATCTAAAGACGAATCTAGATTTCATTTTTATTTTTAAGAAAAAAAAACACATAACTTAAAATATATACGTGAATTGCTGTATAATAATTTGTCAAACTGTAGAAGTTTAAAAGAAGTTTTATTCAGCAAATTGTCAGTTTATGGCCATTTTAACTGTAAATAATCAATCATTGGGTTAGATAGAAGATAGGGAAATCTGTGAAATAAAGAAGCAATGAACCAAGATCAAGCCGAGGTGATATATAATTCAACTTGTCCCTATATCTCATATTATAAAAAATATATAGGAAAATCCAAATTGTCCGCTTTGCATTATATCAAACGAATAGAAGCATATTGAACTTTTAAATATAACAAATATAAAGTATGATTAATTACATTTTAATATTGTGTGCAAATTAAATATTAGTTTGTTAAATAATATTTGAATATTTTTGCATATATTTTCCAATTTATGTATAACAAACTTTAATACATGTATCATTAGTAATGAATTTCAAAAGTGACATTTTATATCGCAAAAGTGTGTTAAAAGCCCTGTTTAAGATCTTATGAATATTTTTGAAAAGGGACATTCATTTTTAAAAACATATGTAACCTATTACAGTTTGCCTTTAGCTAAGCCTCTTATCCTGCCCTGATTGAAACTGATTAATTTCTCGTTTACATGATATGAATTATCGCACTTAACAATTCAAACAGTATTGATCTGTTTCACTTTCTTTCGAACGTACTTAAAGCATTTGCAAACATAGCTATACACTATTGATAATGTAGTCTATAACAGACATTAAATAAACAGCGCTGACATTCTGTTTGTATCACTCGGGGCATTTATGAGTTTTCTAAACATGATTCCCGGTGATTTGTTCAGAACAAAAAAGAAACCACGGGTAAACAGACGCGGAGATAGGGATAAATCGAATGTGAGCGCAGAACAGGAACTATGGCCAATTATATTTACAAGTCATCAAAGAACTGATGATCCGATTGAAACTGGAAATGATAATATCAATAAACGTGTAGATGAATCAACAAATGTATTTGTTAATCAATCATCGACTTCAAAGAAGAGCGAATTAAAACATCCTATTTGGTTGCAAAGTTTAGGCGATGGTGATAAGGATAAAAAGATTGAGGATAATTCATTAAGTAAATTTCATAGTGTTAATGAATTTGATAACTTAAATGTCAGTAATGAGTCAGCCCAAGAAAGCGTTACTAAATCAACACACTGGAGATCTCGATCTAGAGAAAGTTTAATTACAGAAAAGGAAGAAAAACTAGAAAGACTAACTTATCAAGATTTTGATTTCTCTTATATACCTTCTTGGCTGTGCTCGGATGATGAAACAGACATGGAGGTGTCTAGTTTAAAATCGTTTAATCTACTAACATCAAAATATTCTAAAAGCTTATCGGATTTAAGAAACGCGGGAACAGTAAATGTACCTAAAAAGAATAAGGTAGTCAGTGAAAACGGTGATAAATTCAATCATCAAAAGATTGAAAACGAATATTTTAAATTGAAAAAGCGCTTAAGTATAGAAAGTGGCGAGAAACATAGAAACAATGATACCTATGCGGACGTACATGCAAGTCAGCGGACAAACCTTTCGGACACGCACGTGCCTAATTATCGGGAATTACTCGAATCAGACGAACTTGGAATTAATCACTTTAGGAAACATGTAAAAAATGTGAAAGCATCAAGTAAGAAGTTTCGGCGGGCATTGAAGACTAACGACGCAACACGGAGCAGGCCCGCTCCCCCTAGGAGAAAATTGTTTAATATTAAACCTGTGTATGAACGAAGACACTCAGAGGATGCTCTAGGTTTTACACCAACAGGATTGTCGTGATCTATATTCTACACAAGTGTTTAATTTAAATTATATTTATATTATTATACCAGTTCCAAACTACATCGTATATTTATCTAATATGTATTCGTTTTCGTAAATTTTAAAGATTCAGTTATGAAATATATATAAATATCATAAAGATCTATTACTTTCTATTTATTTTATTTATGCTTTTCAAGATACAATCTTACATGTGCTAAGCAAATATAATTCATACTTTTACTAATGTCGAATTTATGTTCCCTTTTCTGTGGCAATAGTGCTTTTTTAACAGTGTGTTTATAATACAAGTACATACAGAGGAACAAAAAAGTGCCATCGCTGACGCTGACCACTTAGCCTTTAGTCAAATGTCAGCAACATATATCAGTACAGACAAAAATCACGGTCTGCTCTATTCACTACTCAGTCAGATCTTGTTTTAAAATTCTCTTTGAAAATGGTGAATGTGAAATATTGGCAAATCCAGTTAAAATATATAGCGCGGTAAAGGTTATGAAAAAGGTTTAAGAGCGACCATTAATCCCTTAAGTTGAATAAACAGAACAGTAAACTTTCTATTTATGGAAAGATTACTTTCTACATAATTTAAACATGAAAGGTCGGACTTTCTTGAGATTATATTTCTTTCTAATTTCATTTTGTTTAATGAAATGTGAAAACTAATAACAAAAATATATCTTCATTTTGTAAAAAAAAATGTTACTTTATAGCTTGAAAGAAAAGAAAAAAACCTGTTAAGAACATTACTTTTCTAATAATGTTGTATATACACTGTGGATCAAAGTTTATATTTTCCTTAAAAATCAATTTCTATGATTTAAAATTCATAAGGAAACTATGCATGGTTTGATTAATTGCTACTTATTGAGTAGGGCAAAGTAACAATTTCTCACGAAAGCTAACTAAGGATGTAAAATATCGACATATAACAACATTGATTAAAGATTGTAATAAGTTAATACATATACTTAATTTTCGAGGGGCAAGTTAAAATCATATAAAAGTTAGACAAAAAAAAGAACTAAAATATTTATCCAATTTAATCAATCAAACAAATAGAATGATCTTTACCAGCAATAACATTTGAACTGTTATAAAAATGAAAGAAAATAATTTACAATGGATAAATACTTCATGTGAATGTTTTATGTTAAAGGTTTATAACAAGTTAACTGTTTATAACATATAACAACCATTAATGCATAGATATAAATTGCGAATGTACACATTACAAAAATATATAAATAGCATACTTGACTTTTTACAGACCAAAATTCAATTTAGATGCAATATCATATTGTAAACTCATTAGAAGTAAACACTATTCTAATACATGTACTTGCATTCCATTTTTTATGCTAATATATAAACTATCGATGAAATTTTAATTACTATCACTATCGATGAAATTTTACTTACTATCAATCTACGACAGAATCATCAACAACTATTTTATATAAAATTTGAATTCATGTCTTGCTGAGTATCAAAGTCAATTTATAAATATATGCAGAACTATTTGATCAAAAGTGTACACGAACTGACATCACAAAATTAGTGTTTCATTATGTAAAACGATTTCATACTAAATTAACACTTTTAGTTGATATTGAGTTATTTTACAAAAGCAATAAACAATAAGAAAAGTGATAATAAACACAATGACACTCATGTATGATTGCATAGATGTGTTGTTTGACAGTCATTCGTCATTTTTTTTTTCTCATTACCTATCTTAGTAAACTGTATATCCTTCGTACAATGAATAAATAAATAAATAAATAAAAACCAGAACATATAAACATTACATAATCTAAACTAGAATGATAATACTGAATAGTTTCAACTGTATAAAGTGGTTAACATTAACAATGAAATGCCATTGCTCGTTTTGTTTTGTGAAAGACGATATTGTCTGAAAACATTAGTCCTTGCGATATAATTAAGTAATTACCCATAACTATGATTAGGTAAATAGTAAATCGATATAAACAATCAATGATCTGTATACCCGACAGTGCTCCATTCTGCACTTAGTTACACTATATGACATTAAACGATTTTCAATCATCTGTCTTGTCAATTTTGTACTGTGCTACATTATATGATGTTTAACGATTTTCAGTCATACTACATGTATTTTGGACTATTTCATAAATTACAGAACAATGCAGAGTCTAATTACAACATAATGCATGCCTAACGACTTGTTTATTCAATACACATCGATCGTGGTGATAGTATGTTAAATGTGCAATCTGTTTTTGGACTTGCGTGCAAGCATTAAAAATTCTTGTGTCTTTGATTCCGTCATTTCCGACTTCCAGAGTTGATATTACATTAAATAATATCAGAGTAAATAATCAGTAATCTTGTGCATAATTAGACAAAAGATGACATTCACTTATTTCTCCTGCAAAAACAAATTATTCCCACGAATCTCCCAAAGACGGAGTAAACTGATCCGCAGCAACCATCCCCGCACACTGGTAATCGTTCAACAACAGTTTGTGCTACTCCACTTTTCCGTTTATCTTTTTTGAAGTATTTCAAAACTTCATACTGTTCTCCTAGTTGGGCAAATTTGTCTGGTGTCTGTCCCAATCCATCGGTTACATTACGAAGGTCAGGATATTCTTGACATAAGAAAATAACCATTTCCAGTTGACCATGATATGAGGCGATATGTAGGAGCGTGTGACCGTCATTCGTCTTCGTCATAGGATCAAGGCCCAATGTACAAAGATATTGCAAGACATCAATGTAACCTCCACACACTGAGTAATGTAAAGCGTTGCAACCAAATTCATCGCAAATTTTGATCATGTCTGGGTACGAGGAACATATGAATTTTACCATTTCTAATTTCCCTGCAACTGCAGCCTTTAACAATAAAGTGCTACCATTAGAGGTAACTGCCAAAGGTTCTAGACCTTGCTCTATGACAAACTTAAGAAGGTCCAGATTTCCACTACCTGCACCATAATGAGCGACATCGTGTCCGGTATTATCAAGTTTATGAAGCAGTTCAGGATATTTATTGCATATATGTTTCACTGCATCTAACTTTCCATCAAATGCAGCAAGATGAAGAATTGTACTTCCTGACGTCGTTGTAGCAAAAGGATCTTGTCCTTTGGACAGTAGATAGTCTAGAACTTCCATGAATCCTCCCCTTGCAGCATAGTGTGTAGCAAGAGCTGCATTTGCGTCCTTCATACACACTATATCAGCATGTTTGTCACAAATGTATTTCACGATGTTCATTCGGCCATTGTAAGCTGCTATATGGAGAATAGTCTGGTTTTCGTTCGTAGTAGGAATAGAACCCTCTCTTATGGATAGAATGTGGATTAAAATATCTAAATGGCCCTCTTGTGCTGCAAAGTGAATAGCCAAATAAGACCGAACGTTTACTATCTCGAACATCTCTGGGCAGTGATCGCTTATATACTTCACCATATTAAGCTTGCCACTAAATGCTGCCTCGTGTAAAATTGTACTTCCGTCTTCAGACAAAGCTGCAGGATCAGCTCCGCTTCGTATCAGAAAATCTAAAATTTCTACAGATCCACCCAGGGCAGCAGCATGGCAGCATGAGTAGCCATTATTACTTCGGGAATGAAGCATTTTTGGAAAATTAGTAGCAAGATATTTCATTACTTCATTTCGGCAGTAGTAGCAAGCTTCATGCAGAAGTGTACAACCATCTCTGCTGCAAATATGTGGATCGATATGATTGTCTAATAGATATTCCAACGTCTTGATATTTCCACTAGCTGCAGCATCGTGTGCAGGGGTATTACCATCATTATCTACATACTTAATACATTCCGGATACTTAGTACAAAGATGACGAACAAGTTGAAAATTGCCATTAAACGCGGCAATATGCAACAAAGATCGCCCATCGATTGTTCGGATATTTTTATCTGTACCTCTCCTGAAGAAGAAATCAACTGTTTCCGTTTGTCCACTCTTTGCAGAGAGGTGAACTGGTAAAAACGAATCGTCATTTTGTATAGTAATAATTCCTGGGTAGGTGTCCATTAGGTAGTCAAGAATCGAAACGTGGCCATTGAAGGCAGCCAAATGAAATATTGTATTTCCACCCTGCACCTTTAATGTGGCACTTGCTCCGTGTGTAACAACATGTTTTAGGATGTCAAAATTTCCTTCTCTAGCTGCATAATGTGCAACAGTGAATCCATGGTGGTCGGTTACCTCAACCATGTCTGGAACAAGTGAAACTATATGTTTCACAAGGTTTAATCTTCCGTGGATTGCTGCTATGTCTAAAACTGTCACGTCTAGTTTTGTCTGAGCCTTAAGATCAAGACCTAGGTCAAGTAGAAAATCAAATATTTCTACACTTCCACCTTTGGCCGCAAAATGTAGTAAAGTACGTCCTTCCGAATCTTTCTTACGAAGTAATGCTGTGACAAGGTCTTGGCCCAACTGAGTCAGCAGATACTTAACTATATCGGTGTTAGCAGAAGCACACGCTGACGGCACAATAGCTGCCATTGAGTTTCGAAACGGACCAGCTGGATTTAAAACTATTGTAAATAGTTCTGTGTCCCCAGTATCGATGGCGGCTTGAACAATACTACTTTCGTTTCCGGCATACAGTTTTGAATACCTTGTCAATAAAGACTTGTTTCTATCACGAATTGCCTCTTCAATCGTTCTAGCTAATTGGCTTTGAAACTCCATAGCAATACCAGTTTGTGTGACAGCTGTGTATACGTTGCACAGCAGATCATATTGTCCACATCTTATCAGATAAACTGATAGAGGAGTCGTTGTCATGTCTTCTTGGAAGAAAAACTGGGGACCAATCGTTGACATCACTTTTTCTGCAAACTGCTCATTTCTCCACATATGAGATGACGCAACATCTTTAAAGACAGATGCCTTTTTTGATTCTATTGCTGAACTGAATTTTGATGCTATTACATTAAGGTGAGACTGCAATAGATTAATTGTTACTTTAATATCGTTGTGAGCATTTCTATCCTCCTCTGTTTGTTCGTGGTTTGGTACCTTAAACGTGATAGAGTTAACTGCATGGACAGGAAGAAGATCTAAGATGTCATCAAATTTACAACGAGTTATGTCACGTAAAACTGCCATATAAACAAGACGGTGTTTGAATGTATAGTACAATCTACTTGCATCCTTTACAACCAAATTCAATTCAGCCAGTGTTTCAAATGAATCTAAAACGTCTGCATAAGTGCATTTTGCATGTTTGAAAAGTTCCAAAAGTTTCAAAAACACTGTTTTATCAGTGTTGGGAAGGCCAGCAATTTTAAATCCATTTTCAAGTAATAACATGAGCAACAGACCAGTATATGCAGCGAAATTGTTTTCACGTATCTCCGAAATTAACTCTGATATATTCTTAAAGGGATCTTTAAACAATGTTTCTATATCTCTAGATCCCATAAAACTACAAACAATTGGAAATCCAACAAACTGGTTATCAAACTCTGAACATATATCATACAGACTGTCTTTAATGCTATATAGTTTTTGCTTATTTTGGCTAATATTTGGTATCAGGCTAACTTGTTCCTTTGCCGTTAGTCTAAACGCATCTGATTCCAAGTCAATGCGAGTTATTCCCCTTATGAATGGGATGCCTGGACCATTTTCTACGTCCATTGCACAATCGAAAACACAGTTTTCAGCTGTTAGAATGAAGAATGCCTGTTTTCTTTCTAGTAACGCCTTCGTCAATTTTTCAGTTCGTCTCCACCCGCCAACATGGTTGTTGTTCAAACCTAGGCAGTCGTCTAGCAAAACGACAACGTCTGTTGAACTGTTTTCCAGCACTGTTATATCATATGGAGAACAAGCAATAACTGGGTGGAAGTTTGGGTGTGCATCAATGAGATTATTCATTATGTTAAGGGCAGTATGGGTTTTACCACTACCTAGTTTTCCTGTAAGTAACACTGTCTTGTGCGCCTGTACAACTTGCATAGCAGCATCAAATGCGCGTGACTTTCTTTCTTTCTCGTACGACGAAACTTTTTCTCTGTGACTGTTTAATACTTTTCTAGCATATTCTGCAAATGATATATTTTTAGGAATGGCATTCAGAATATAGGCAATTTCCTTAATATCTAAAATATCCCTCAAATTAATTAATAAAATAAACGGTTTATTTTATAAAAAATCAGTACATTTATAAGTGTGTTTGAATGTGTCATAATTGAAAATGATTTATTACTTAATATAAAAAGATAGACATACCTATCATGTCCCGTAATGTTGAAACATCATTGTCGTTTTGTATCTGACCTGTGGAAAAAGGTATAGCAAATTATAGGTACAAAGTGAGAGCCAAACTTTTAATTGGCAATTTTAAAGGAATCACAAGGCTATAAAAACTAACCTTCATTAGAGGCTTTCCAAATCTAAAAAGCGGTGAAAACAAAAGGTTTAAGACACAAAATCATCCAAAACTGAAACAGAAGTAACATAATAAATTTGTTTAAATTCCTTCTTTAGAAATGCAGACATAAGTTTTAAAAGTTTAAATAATGGCGTTTGATCATGATAAATGATGTGACAGATAGTTCACCAATTAGTAAGATTTTGGATAAAAACAAATAACTTTTGCGAAATATTTTGTAAGCATATATATATAAGGCATAATGGGCCTTTGATTTATCTGTAAATATGGAATGAATGATAAATGTCACTATAATCCTGATATCTTACTTTTCAGAACGTTTTTTGTTGTATATATTTCTTCTTCTTCCAAGATTTGCATTCTAGATCCTTGTTGTATTCTTGATCCCTCTGAAATGTTGTAATGAATAAGATATTACATGTACTTCGAAATTACAATTATAATTATATACATTTTTCAGTCGTGTTGGTACATGTTCATGGAAATAGAAAAGCAAACATCACAGTGAACATCTAACGTGGAATGACAAATAATATTAGATCAATAAAGGGACTAAGAATTATTACAAATGAGGAAGCACTCTTAGCCAAAGGTAACTGGTTCTACTACTTGGATGTCCGCCAGTGGCTGAATTAATTAACCCCACTGGGTGACCCTGGCGTCGCCCGCTAAATGATTACCTATCAATTAAACCGAACATCTTTGGCGGCCTTAAAAGTGTTTCATTCTTTTAATTTTCTATGTCATATATTACATTAATGGCTTAAATATAGTATGAACAATATTATTATATTATAAATTGTATAAATTAATACACATGTAGTTCATTTATTAGATAATAAAATATAATATTACGCCTGGAAACCAATGGTCTAGTGGTCTTTCCTTCTTCACTGTTACTTTGTAGACTGAGCGCACTTGCAGGTCGTTTAGTCAATAACTCAGTTTTATCTAAAAGAGGATCATTTTATATACAGTGCAAATTATGTTTCTTTTGGTTTACATACCTTTATTTATATATAAAAATAAACAGTTATGATTATGTAATAGGGAGTTTGGATATACCTTCATTATTCAAAATAAATTTCTAATAACATAAGTCTGAAGCATGCATTCTTAACAGTGCTTACGTACATGCACATGTTTACAAGATTGAAACTTGTCTAGGGGAGATAACTAGAGGCAGAATTAAAGCAGCGTTTAATGTACCTTAGATTCCCTTCAAAGTTAATCAGAAAACGTGCATAGGAAGTTAACAATCAAAAAGGTTTTCAACATTCCTCTTAACATTTTTAACAAAATCTTTATAATCACTGGATATATCATTTTCTTTAGTACCATTTACGGCAATATTTTTATAAGAACATGTAAGGAAGGTTTTTGTGTCAAGTTGTGTTACGAAAAACTTACTTCTTGTCACAAGGACACTTTTCTTTGTCGGTTTCTGCTTTATTGGAGACTCCATTCTTGTATTACTGGTGTCTTCTTCTGCTATAACATCAGTATCCAGTAGAGGTTTCGTAGAATATGTGACTACATCTGAGTTTGCTGCAACTGATAAAAATAATGCAAATAATATGTATTTATATAACACTTGTACAGGACAAACATATAGGTGCGGCTAATTTTAAAAGCGTGTACATTTTTTCTGCAATGAAAGAAGGAAAAAGACATTTTAATGAACAACTATGTATTTTTCCAACCAAAATTACGGTTCTTTTATGAACTATTATCATGAAACCTATTTCGTTATATTTGAATTGACAAGTTAATAGTTCAAATTTAAATTGTGGTAAAATGCATGAATGGTTTAGAAAAAAGAAATGACCGCTGTTTTTCAATGTAAAGCAATGTAAAAAGAATTTCATATTTAAAGGTGAGGCCACAAAAAACACACTGAACAATAATGCTTACGTTTCTGATCTCCATGTCTAGTATCAGATAGCTCATACGGCGAAGGACCGCGGTTTCCCTGTGCAATATTATCCATTTTGCGAATTCTTAAAGAATCCAACCTCCTTTACATTTATGAAAGACAACAAAACAGCATTTCTTTAAGTTTAGCGTAAAACGATAAAAGGATTGAATTGTTTGATTTTATAATCTCACAGTTAATGAAATGTCGGGAATGACTGCTCTTTCATTTTCGCTGGAAAGAAATTATTTATGAATCTTAAATAAACTCAGTGTTAAAAAAAACATCGTGTTACAAACCCTATAACAAGTAGAGAAATTGACAGCGAACAGCATGGATCCTAATCAGACTGCGCAGATGCGCAGGCTGGTCTGGATCCATGCTGGTCGCAAATGCATTATGCATTATGACACGGCTCAAATTATTTATGAATCTTAAATAAACAGAGTGTTTGCATTCATAAAATGGTTAAATGATATAATACGTAAACTATCTAGACCATCAATGCCTTGGGTTCGAATACTGCTAGAGATATTGGATTCTTTCATATGAGAAAACTATTCAGCTAACTTACTGAAGGTCAAAAGTTCTCCACAGATACCTATATCGGGCCTGGAATAATCTAGGGAGGGGTACACGAGGCCTTCCTCCACCAGAAAATAATTTTTGAAAGCTACCATATGACCTTAAAACTGCCTGTGTGACTTTTAAACCCAATCAAAACATTAAAAAAATATTTAAGAAAATGAATAAAAAACATGTCATCGTGTTTTAGATAAAATATATGAAAAAATAAACCTACTTGTGATTAGGTTAACATGTCCTTCCATACTACGTGAAAGTTTTAACTCTTCCTAATAGCTTCTAAAATATTGGAACCGATAGAGCAAGTTAACCCTACAAAGATTTTTTAATAATTGTTTTGTTTTTGGTCTTTCACATGAATAGATCATGCATTTTATATCAGATTAAACAGTATTATGATACAATTGATTTTTATTCCGTTTTTGCATTTGTTTAACAGACACCAATATCTGCTATTTAAAGACTAATCAAATCATATTGTCCGACTGACTGAATTACAAAAGGATTGCGCGCCGCCCTATTGGCAGTGAAAGAAAGTAATATTTTACTTCATTGTTTAAACTTAATTGTGCTTAATCAGATCATTCCCACTACAGCCAGGTTCAGTTAGTGCAGGGAAAACTATTATCTTAAAAGCTACACATTGACAATCTCTACGCAAATCTTTAAAATGTAAAGGATTTTATATTCATTTATTAATTCTTATAGCTTCACAACATCGAATGTCTACTTGATTTCGATAAGCTATGAGTGCGCACGCGTGTAGTTAGTTCAATTTGTATCTTAGCCTATTGTAAACAATGTAAATAATATTTAATTATGGACATATGTATAGAGACAAACATGAGTGTTTGTAAAACTATTAACCACTTATAACCACTGAAATAACAGCTACAGTTCTAAGGTTGCTTTGGAAACTCTTTTCCGACACAATAACTCTTTAACCACAATTGCAAACATGCCTTAAAAGTATCAACCAACTGAACCCTACACTTTACAGAAGGAAATGTGCACCGTCTGAAAAATAATACAATAACAATTCAGATCAAATTTCAATAATTTGCGTCATTTTTTTTCTCTTTTGTGCGAAAGTTTTTGTTTAACCTATTTAATTTCAAAATAATTACTTCTTACGAAAATATCCAATTTGTTTCGATATTAAAACAAAGCTCAATAATTGGCATGATTAAAGACATGGTAATTAAGTTGATGACTCCGGAGATACGGATTTGGTCTCGTATTTTCAACGGGCTTAGATGGCATCTGGTAAAACGGGTGGAATAAACGTTCACAACTGTTCTAGTTTCCAAGTTATAAGGTTGCTTATATAAATGTATATAGTGGTGGTTTTTGTAGTTTACCATTCTGATCACGACCACCTTTAATAAAACAGAGCACAGTTCCGCCACCACGTCGTTCAAGGATAGCTGTCAAGAGGTTTACCAGTACTTAGACTAAGTGAGTTCACTTTGGCAATGAACAGAGGTACATTGGAAATGACTAAATGACCGTTCAAAGGATCACAACGAAAGTGACATGTCCCGCTCGGCAATTGAACACGGGTCGCTTGATTCACAGACCAACGATCTATCATTTGAGTCAACCGGACGAGTCAAATACTGGTTTCTTAAGTACCCACCAATATGGTAAGAAAGAAAGAAAGAAAGAAAGAAAGAAAAGAAAAGAAAAGAAAGAAAATAAGAAATTTACTGATAAAAATTCATCATAATATTGAATAAATAGTTAAAAAATGGGTGAGTGCGTTATAGTGATCAGTGATTGATTGAGTGAGTGAGTGATTGATTGATTGATTGATTGATTGAGTGAGTGAGTGAGTGGGTGGGTGTTTGATTTGGTGAGTGAGTGAGTGAGTGGTGAGTGAGTTGGTGAGTGAGTGAGTGAGTGAGTGAGTTGGTGAGTGAGTGAGTGAGTGAGTGAGTGAGTGAATGAGTGAGTGAGTGAGTGAGTGAGTGAGTGAGTGAGTGAGTGAGTGAGAATACTAAAAAGTCATTTGACGGATCTACTACTTTACAAAATTAATTATGTTAACCTTAATATTTAGATTGCACCATGTTTGGATTCTAGAAACATTATCACCCCACGAAGCTTTCTTTTTTATAAGACAAGTGTATAAAAGTTTAGAATACACCTGGGACCAAAAATATTTTTTTTTATCCCTGAATACACTAACGCACAGAGAAGTCTGTATTTCAAGTACAGTGTATATACACTTAACAAATCTTATAACTGTGCACGTATAAAAATCAAATTTTCTCAGATACTAATAAAGATAGGTCTCTGAAATTTTAACCAAATATAGTACAGATATGTGCAATGTTGGGTATCGATTTTTATAAAATGCGTGTTTATAATGGGTGCAAAAAGGTCTAAATATCTTGATTTCACTAAAATACAAACATAAAACATAGGATCACCGATAGGGTATAATACTACAATGAATTCCAGGGCATTATGTCACTGTGATTTTAATATTTGTTTATTGAATTTAAGTAAAGACTGGTTTATGTCGATCTCCGTTACGCGTTGTACCCAGTTACTAAAAGCAATGCAAACACGATATTTTCATTAATATGAAAGTACCAAGAAAGTTTGTTTTTAGTTTTAAAGTAAAATCTTAGTCAATATGTTTATTTGAGAAAATATTATGCAAATTTATTTTCAAAATGGGCGCCCGAAATGCAAATTCCCTTGCGTAAAACTTCTAGACGGCCATTTTTCTTTCAATTGCAAAAATTCTGCATTAAATTTATGTTTTTTGGATTCTTTATTTTAATAGAATCCTTGATGGTCAATAATAACTTCATTTAGCGCCAACCTGTCATCCTCGCGTGCACTTTGTTGTTTATGTACATGTCACGGATGAACGCACACAACAAAAATAACAGTTATTTCTGAATATAGCATTTTAAAAATAAACCATTCAAACGATGAATTCCAAAATTTGGGTAAAAAATGTCAAGTAATAACAAGAGGGCCATGATGGCCCTGAGGTCGCTCACCTGTATATAGGCCCCCCCACCCCCGGGCCAATTTTTACCCAAGGGCTTTTATTTGTTTATTTGAACAGACTTGGTAGACACCCATAAGAAGATGTTTCATGCTAAACATCTAAGTTCTAGCTCATTGGCTTTTTTAAAAGAAGATTTTTAAAGTTTTTACTATACACATATAGTTAAAAACAATGTCACCCCTGGGGCAGGGCCAGTTTTGACCCCCGGGTGTTTATTTGAACAAACTTTGTAGATATTTACTAAAAGATGTTTCATGCTTAATATCTAAACTCTAGCTATTTGGGTTTTTCCAAAGAAGATTTTTAAGTTTTTGCTATACACATATAAGGAAAATCAATGACCCCCCCCCCCCGGGCGGGGCCAGTTTTGACCCCAGGGCTTTTATTTGAACATACTTGGTAGACACCCATTAGAACATGTTTCATGCTAAATATCTAAGCTCTAGCTCTTTGAGTTCTTTAATAGAAGATTTTTTAAGTTTTTACTATATGCATATAGGGAAAATCAATGACCCCCTGGGGCGGGGCCAATTTTGACCCCAGAGCTTTTATTTGAACAAACTTGGTAGACACTCATTAGAAGATGTTTCATGCTAAATATCTTAGCTCTAGCTCTTTGGGTTCTTTAAAAGAAGATTTTTTAAGTTTTTTACTATATGCATATAGGGAAAATCTATGACCCCCTGGGGCAGGGTCAACTTTGACCCCAGGGCTTTTATTTGAACAAACTTGGTAGACATTCACTAGAAGATGTTTCATGCCAAATATCTAAGCTCTAGCTCTTATGGTTCTTTAAAAGAAGATTTTTTTAAGTTTTTACCATATGCATATAGGGAAAATCAATGACCCCTGGGGCGGGGCCAATTTTGACCCCAGGGCTTTAATTTGAACAAACTTGGTAGACACTCACTAGAAGATGTTTCATGCTTAATATCTTAGCTCTAGCTCTTTGGGTTCTTTAAAAGAAGATTTTTTAAGTTTTTACTATATGCATATTGGGAAAATCAATGACCCCCTGGGTCGGGGCCAATTTTGACCCCAGGGCTTTTATTTGAACAAACTTGGTAGACATCCACTAGAAGATGTTTCATGCCAAATATCTAAGCTCTAGCTCTTACGGTTCTTTAAAAGAAGATTTTTTAAGTTTTTACTATATGCATATAGGGAAAATCAATGACCCCTGGGGCGGGGCCAATTTTGACCCCAGGGCTTTTATTTGAACAAACTTGGTAGACACTCACTAGAAGATGTTTCATGCCAAATATCTAAGCTCTAGCTCTTATGGTTTTTTAAAAGAAGATATTTAAAGTTTTTTCTTTTGGTTGCCATGGCAACCAGAGTTCTGCATGGAATTAAATTCTTTGAACAATTTTTAAAGGTGACCACCAAAGGAACATTCCTGTGAAGTTTGGATGAAATTGGCTCAGTGGTTTATGAGGAGATGTCATTTAAAGCAAAAGTTTACGGACGGACGGACGACGGACGGACGGACGGACGACGGACGGACGCCGGACGAAAAGCGATCACAAAAGCTCATCCTGTCACTTTGTGACAGGTGAGCTAAAAAAGTTATTCACATTTAAAAACTGCACAGTTATAAGTTTTGTTAAGTGTACATGTGTCCTCTATTTATAATGCCAGTAATGTGGCAATTCATGACGTAAGAAATTTAGAATACACCATGGCCAGATTGTACAGTCAACACTCCCAAGCAAAACATAAGCCCTCTTATGAAATAGTCATCTTTGATTAAAATCCTGATACAAACGTCAAATTGACACTTAAAAATTAACGCAATAAACATGACGACAACGATATGAATATTGATTCGTTAACTTACAGGGGAAGTAACTCCCAAAAATTCACGAGGATGAATTTTAAGACTAGAAAAAATGACCAATTTAAAGGTCACAAAGGCAAGATTTTCCGGAAGAAATTGTATAGCTCGAAGCGAAATAATCGGAACATCATCGATGAGGAAATCGAACAGCTTCAGGAAAAGTTAAACGCGGTAAATTTTCTTTTACTTAAGTGAACTGTTTTCGGATATTGTCTTATTGATTTTTCCGGATAAGATAAAATTAAGATAGACGAGCAGACTGTATTTGGATGAATTTAAGAAAGAAGGAAAAAAATCATTCAGTATATGAATATAGTAAATCTATAATGGTATAACAAACTTACATAGATGTTCAAGTTCTTTGGATACTTTGACACACGGATGTATTAAATCAGATAGATTAATCTGAGCAGTTTATTGCTTGTCCATTCAACAGGAGACCAGGATGTGGACTGAGGGAATACTGGGACGTCCCATCTCACCAAGGTCAAACACCACTATATTTCGGTTAGGTCAGTGACCACCACACTCCTCCCCGTCCTATTTGAAAAGGCTGGCTGCCAGATAAGACCTTTTTAGTATCTAATCCAGCACTCAATACGAGCCTATTGAATGATTTCCTGGATCCTTACCAGTACTGGTACTGTACCCTGCTCTGGTACAAGTACCAAATAGGTGATTATCATAAACCAATCACCTGAGCAGCTCAGCTATGACTTGATCAGCTGAGCAGCCCCACTAGGACTTACTCAATTACCTGAGCAGCCGACTATGCAGAATTCTACGACTCACTCAATCACCTTAGCAGCCCACGATGCAGAATTCTACGACTCACTCATTAACCTGAGCAGCCCACTGGAATTTATTAGAATGAATTGTCACCAGTAGCACCCTGGGAAGAATTAACCAACATCAGTCTCTAACAATCACCAACAAACATAAAACCTCCTTCAGGTCTAATTGATTCACTGAAGACTTATCTCTTACTACTGTCAAAACACTCTAACCCACTCATGCACTGGTTCACACTCAGATGCAAGGATATGCAGCTTATATCTAGAGACTACCGCAACACCTATCACATATACCAGCTTAACAGCATGAGCATCCTGAGGATTATACCCCAATCCTCAATATAAGACCTTATCTGGAAAATAAACGATCCAAACTCAGATTTATATTCAATAACCAACAAGAAGTAATCTTCACCCACAAGCTGTGAAACCACATTAAATAACCACACTGAATCATAAATCTCCAGTCTTATATTCTTATACCTCCCAAAAAGACAACACATTTCCTTTGATAACTGTTATAACTCTGACATTATTTCAAGAGCTCAACCTAACAGATAGCATCATGACAATTACTACTTCAGTTCTGCAAGATGCTCATTCTATTTCTGCCATAAGAAACCCCCAACCACGCAATCCAATATTGTACTAACATTTGTAATGATCACTATTAATAGACGCCTGCATCCAAATAGATCCCATACAAACTGTCATATAAATTGCTTGTCGGCCTAACAAGCAACCTACCAAATGACATTATAGGTCATCTAGCTTAGTAGAGACGGGAACTGCGTGCTTGAAGACCCCCTACATAGCAGTGAACTTAACTGACCAGATGCATCTTGCTTGTCTATATGGGAGCTAACCCTCTCTTAATGGTGACTATATTGTTACCAAACATCTCAGTTCTGGGACTTAGATTTCTGAAAATAACACCAGAATGGACTCTAGGGCCTTTTGAAACATAATCACCAATAAGCACGCAACTCATTATTACTAAGATGATTCCTAGATAATGAGCTTACACTCCTTGGATTCGTTCCCAAGGTTCCTAATTACCAAGACTGATTGTAACACACTCAATGACAGATGCGATTTTAACCTGAAACCCGTAGATTTTGGTTCCTTCCCTGGCAGGCTTCCCAAGACCCTTAGTGACCCAAGTGATCTTTTACTTGCCAATAGCACCACATCTACATCGTCAATAAAGGATCCCCCAATTCATGGGCCATCATATACTAATTGACACCTACCGCAAGGCAATTTACCCCAAATCGATTTCCCACATGGTAGTACCAGACATTACACCATTTTACCATGATTACGATTTGTTCTGGGCCCCAAATCGATTTCCCACATGGTACTAGACATTACATCATTTTACCATGATTACGATTTGATCTGTGCTGCAGCAACTTACACCGGGATAGATCCTTCAACCATCCCGCCAAATTACCTTGTGGCTCCCAAAACCAATAAACCACCTTATATGAGTGATCAGTCTATGGTATGCAATCAGCTAAACTACCAGATAAATTAAATTACCCCATGGTAGTTCTTCTCTGATTAACCACCAGATAAATTTAATTACCCCAATGACGGTTCCTATCTGCAGCTACCCTCACCCCAACCAGTACTAACTGGTAAGAGGCAGGCTTTTATTCCCCAAGACTTATTCCAACTACAAGGAATTTCCCTCAAGTTGATTTCCTACATGGCACCCTGGATCCAAACACTATGTTTACAACCTGATTTTCCTCAGATCGATATCCTACATTTTATTCTATCCAATTCCCTTCCCCCCTTTGAGATTAGAAGAACCACATATCAGAATAAACATGATATCGACCCAACCTTGTAGCCTTAAAACACCTAAAAGCATTTTATAAACTTTTAGGGCTACCCTTTGACCTTAGCCTAATCAACTGTGAAAGCCTTCTCAAACTTATCTTCAAGTTCCTCAATAGCCTCTATCACAGTTTCCCAAGTCACAGAAGAGTTATCTTCATCAGAATGAACTTCATAACTATCAGTACTGACTGAAGAAACCCTCTTTCCTTCACACCTTTCACTGCGTTTGCTCCTACCAAAAATGGCCTCATGGCTCTGTTGGTACTTATGGACCAATAATTTGGCTTGTTCGACCGTGGATGGATCATGCATGTAAACATGGAACCCAGCTTGTTGGTCTAATAAACCATGGCAAAACCTACTTATAACCTGACTTGTTATAAATTGGGCACATACCCCCCTGAAAGGCTTTATCGGCTAAGGCACGTAACCTGTCTGCAAAATCATCAAGAGATTCGCCCGGGTTTTGAAAAGCTTGATAAAATTGCCCTTGAGCTGCCTCTGGTGAGATTTGGTCACCAAACCGAGCCTCCAGTTTATCGTATAAAGAAGCATACGATTGCACTTCACCACTATTATGTAAAATTACATAATAATCTAAAGCTTTGCCCTCTAACGTCAAGCACAACGCACACAGTTTATCCTCATTTGACCACTGGCACATCTCAGCATATCTGGAAAACTTAAAAATGAAAGCTTCCCAACTGCCATTGCCATCAAATGTTAAATTCGTGGGCATTTTATCTAACGATAGTCTTGACCTGGCTGTTACAGGATAAACTGGTTCCCATCCCCCATGAGATAATGGCTCAAACTCATTATCCCCCAATGAGGTGGTCCCCTGTTCTTTCCATAGAGACCGCTCAAGCCCAAAATCAGCAGGAATAGCCTGGGGAACCCTAGGTGTGGTAAACATATGCCCATTATACCCCATGCTATCCCCACCCATCACAGGTCTACCTTCTCTACGCCCAAATACTGAAGTGCTTTTCACCCCAGCTGACCCTCTGGCCACATCAGGCTTTACTGCCCCAGGCTTTGGTTCTGAAAAGTCTAAAAATGACTGATCCAAGGACCTAAATGACTTATCCAAGGACCTAAATGACTTATCCAAGGACCTAAATGACTTATCCAAGGACCCTTCCCCTTTAAAAGCTTCAGTATGATGCTCTAAAGCCTCCTTTTTCCTAGGGAATTCTTCCAAAACCTCATTTGGTGAAAAATCTATCATATCTAATTCCTCACCCGTAAACTTTTTACAACATATTGCAGACAATATGTCGCCTGTGATATCACCGCCAGCCCCCCTTATAGATAGGAGAATAGCAGCAACCTTCTTACTAACCCCCGGAATTTTAACCAACTCGTCCTCAGAAGCAAAATTAATCGCAACCTTAGATTTATTGGTGTGGGGGCCTTTTGTGTCTGACCTATCCATCGCCATTGCCATATTAATAATTACTTATTACAATATTTTTATTACAAATAATTAAAAATATCAGGCAATTACAGGTCATGCAAAGTACCACTTACCGTTACTGTAAACCAATTTCCGAAATAAAATTTATTTTATTCCACACACCTGCACAATACTACAATATTGTGCCTTACAGTAACTATAATAAGCAATATTAAAAAAAAAAATATCGCTCTTTGAATTATGCAATATAAAAAATATCACACCTCTTTCTGTCTGAAAATAAGCAATATTATGAAAATATCACTCTTAAAAATTCCTCTGCAATTTCCTTTCAAATTGCTAGGCTTTGGGGACAACAATAGAAGAAAAAAAAAAATATGATACCGGTATCAAATATCCTAACTAGAAACCACAATGGTACAAAAACCTAAGTGGGTCCGAAGACTGGTAGCGTCTTAAAAATACAGGCCGCAGCTAGAATTGAATCACCGCTGCCACCATTATAGTAAATCTATAATGGTATAACAAACTTACATAGATGTTCAAGTTCTTTGGATACTTTGACACACGGATGTAATCAGATAGATTAATCTGAGCAGTTTATTGCTTGTCCATTCAACAGGAGACCAGGATGTGAACTGAGGGAATACTGGGACGTCCCATCTCACCAAGGTCAAACACCACTATATTTCGGTTAGGTCAGTGACCACCACATGAATATATATCCAATTCAAAATATTCAGATTTTCCATTTTCATGTCACATTTTTAACAGTTTAGAAGTGCATTGCCATTGACTAACAGAAATTTCACACATATAGTATTTACCTGTACAATTATGTTGAATAATGTTTGTTGTTAAACTTGTTTTTTGGACTTATTTTCTGAACACTGATAAATTAGATATTAAAAACATGAGACGCTGATGTATTTTATATTGAACACATATCGAGATTCTTCCCTCATTAGGCATCGATGTAAGACGAGAAGCTATTAAATCCAGTGTGCAGGCAACATTTTTCTACTTGTCCTGCATCAGGTTCTCTTAAATTCTACTTGTACAATGTTGAATTTTCGAACTCTTCTCATGATCCCATGTACTCGCATACAATACACTTCAAGTTAGCTGTTTAATAGCAGAATACTTGTTTGGTTTTAATGAAATCTGTTGCCCAAAATGTTACAACTTCATTAGTTAAGTATCTATACCATAATAAATACCTCAAAACAAATTAATAATCATTTAGTAGTTCTTGAATTTATTGTTAACAAAACATGTATTTGTTATTTTTCAGTTTGAAGTTTCAAAAAGTAGCCTATTCACTGACTTTCCATTATCAAAGAAAACATTAAAAGGTTAGTAAATATGTTTTATGCCTTTGTTATTGTCGGTAAATAGCTTATTAGCTAATGTTTCTTGTAATATGTAAACCGACTTAAAATAAAGTTTCTTGTATCTTGTAGGTTTGGTATATCATATGTATAATTTTTCACCTTATATAACTGAGGCCTATAAAAGGTTTTCCCAATGAAACTTTTCTTTTGAATTGTGCAGTGTTCCCAAAAATAAAGAGTTCACTCCAAAAGTAATCAATTTCTGTGATAACTTTTCCCCATATAGGCTAAGGCCTCTTCCCAAATAAGTGAGAAAAACCACTGATAGCCTTACGGGTGCCAAGCCTTAAGATTCAGCTTTCTCTGGATTTGTTTTTCTCAATAATTGCTTTGGAATTTAATTGATTTCGATCAGATAAACTCAGGCTACGTTAACATTAATTTTTTTACAGGAAATACTTTAAAAAAAATATTTAGCTACACTGAAAGACAACCAATTCCGATGACTCAAGACTGCCAAAAATTTGTGTTTTGTTTTCCATTTTTTAATGACACGTTTAATATTTAGTGTTTACATTACACACACATGGATTGGTTAAGGCAGAACACATAACCAATGAAAGAAACGCTTGCTTAGAAAATGTTGTTTAATATCAGAAAGGACATGTATTTTTGCAAAAAATGGTCAACAGATCAAATCAAAATATGGCAATGACTAATTGAGCTCTGAGTCGCGGTTTGGCATAATCACAAGTAATCATTTCACTCCTATTTTAACCAAAGTTAGACAAATTGTATGTTATCTTGTTCATCTTCCTAATGCCTAATAGCACATGTTTAATACAAGTAATCATAACTTACATTGAAAGACTAGAAATTATGGCAAGATTGAAACATCATTTTCTCTTTTTTACTTGCATTTTGCAAGCCCTATATTGCAAACTCATTAAAAGTCTATTAATAGGGTTTTGTTTTGCATTGTCTTTGGGAAATAATTGCTACAAATTGTTTGTTTCACTTACTTGTAAATGTCGAAAGATGAATGGTCATATCAAGCCATGATTTTGATTCATTAAATTAATTATTTAGGTTTCCAAGCTGTCATATATTATATAGTATTAAAAGATCAAAATGTTTTGGAATTTCATGCACCTTTTTATGTAATGTTTTATTCTGTATAGGATTATGGGCATGTAATTTTGAGAAACCAACAGACATACAGAGAGAGTCCATAGGTCTGGCATTAAATGGAAATGATATTCTTGGTGCAGCAAAGACAGGATCAGGGAAAACATTGGCTTTTATTATACCAGTAAGTGACCCGAAACTGCTTTTTATTTGGTATTCACTATTATTATTAATGACACAATATGGAAATAAAATCTCTATAAAGTCAGACAGCCAATATTATTCCTCTTTGTATTGATTATTAAACCTTAGTTATTGGTATTTGTTTCCAGCAGATACTTATTTGATGGCATACCTTAAGAAATCAGATAGCTTCTTTGAAATATAATGAATACTTTAATCTTAATGGGGACAAAAATTGGAAATGATTGGTAAACATACTTATGTTGGATTAAAGCTGCATATAGAAATGTTAATCTGGTAGAGTCAGATATCAATTTGTTTATTAAGGCAATTTATTTTGAAGACCAATCAGCTTTGTACCATGATTCATTATTTTATATTCAGTTCATGGGCCAGTCAAAATAGTGTAATGTTACATGTCTAAGTTAAGGAAAGCCATAAGTTACATGTTAAAGATGTCATATCTAGGATTTTTAGCTCACCTGAGCTTGCTCAGGGTGAGCTTTTAGGATCGATGAATGTCCGTCGTCCGTCCGGCCGTCCACAATTGCTTGTGAACACTCTAGCGGTCTCATTTTTGCCTCAATCATCATCAAACTTGGTCAGGATGCTTATCTAGTTGATAGCTCGGATGAGTTCGAACATGGGTCATCTCGGATGAAAAACTAGGTCACAAGAGCTAAAAATAAAAAAAACCTTGTTAACACTCTAGATGTCACATTTTTGCCTTAATCATCATCAAGCTTGGTCAGGATGTTTGTCTAGGTGATAGCTCGGATGAGTTCGAACATGGGTCATCTCGGATGAAAAAGTAGGTCACAGGAGCTATAAATAGAAAAACCTTGTGAACACTCTAGTGGTCACATTTTTGAACCAATCATCATCAAACTTGGTCAGAATGCTTGTCTAGTCAATTGCTTGGATGAGTTCGAACATGGGTCATCTCTGATGAAAAACTAGGTCACAGGAGCTAAAAATAGAAAAACCTTGTGACCACTCTAGTGGTCACATTTTTGACCCAATCATCATCAAACTTTGTCAGGATGCTTGTTTAGATAATAGCTCGGATGAGTTCGAATATGGGTCATCTCGGATGAAAAACTAGGTCACCGGAGCTATAAATAGAAAAACCTTGTTAACACTCTAGCGGTCACATTTTTGCATCAATCATCATCAAACTTGGTCAGGATGCTTATCTAGTTGATAGCTTGGATGAGTTCGAACATGGGTCATCTCGGATGAAAAAGTAGGTCACCGGAGCTAAAAATAGAAAAACCTTGTTAACACTTTAGCGGTCACATTTTTGCATCAATCATCATCAAACTTGATCAAGATGCTTGTCTAGGTAATAACTCGGATGAGTTCGAACATGGGTCATCTCGGATGAAAAACTAGGTCACAGGAGCTAAAAATAGAAAAACCTTGTTAACACTCTAGTGGTCACAATTTTGACTCAATTGTCATCAAACTTGGTCAGGAAACTTGTCTAGGTCATTGCTGGGAATAAATCGAACATGGGACATCTCGGATGAAAAACTAGGTCACAGGAGCTAAAAATAGAAAAATCTTGTTAACACTCTAGTGGCTACTGTTGTGATCCAAATATTCTGTTAATTGGTCTGAAAGTTTGTTTTGATGATTTCTAAGTCAAGATCGAACATGGGTCATCTTGGATGAAAAACTAGGTCACACCGCCCAAATATGGAAAAACCTTGTTAACATTCTAGTGGTCACATTTTCGACTCCATTATCATCAAACTTGGTCAGAATGCTTGTCTAGGTAATTGCTTGGATGAGTTCGAAATCGCATGTGAAACTAGGTCACCGGAGCTAAAAATAGAAAAATCTTGTTAACACTCTAGTTGCTACTGTTTTGATCCAAGTATCCTGGAAATTGGTCTGAAAGTTTGTTTTGATGATTTCTAGGTCAAGTTTGAATATGTGTCACCTGGGTAAAAAACTAGGTCGCACTGCTCAAATATGGATAATCCTTGTTAACACTGTAGTGGTCACATTTTTGACTCACCTGTCATGAGACTTGGTCAGAATGCTTGTCTAGGTAATTGTTTGGATGAGTTTGATAATTCAGGTGAGCGATCTAGGGCCATCATGGCCCTCTTGTTTATTGTGTCTTTGCATGGAAAAAGTTTTGATATTTTTTTACTTGGGCAATATTGTTGGCAAACTTTCATACTAGGATGATAAGTTTAAATTTGACTAACAGATCTATGATGTTTAAATTAAGAGTACACATTAAAATGATATTTTTAGAAAAAATGTGAACATATTATTTAAAGTTTGAACATTTTTCAACAGGTTTTAGAGTGCCTATACAAACTAAAATGGTCAAACTATGATGGACTTGGTGCTTTAATTATATCCCCTACCAGAGAACTTGCCTTCCAGACATTTGAAGTGCTGAAAAAACTTGGCAAGTTTCATGATTTCTCGGCTGGTCTTGTGATCGGAGGCAAGGTAAGAGTGAAGCATGCCATGCAAATATTTGAGTTTAGTTTAATTAAATATAAATTAATAAATTTAATATAGAAATAGTCTCCGTTCGTCCGTCCGTCCTTCCGTCCGACATTTTTGTCCGGAGCATATCTCTAAAAGTATTTGAGTAATCAACTTGAAACTTCATAGGTGGATAGACCTCATTGAGGAGGAGTGCAGTGCACAAGAATGATAACTCTACCCTGCATAATTTTTGAGTTATTGCCCTTTGTTATTTTTCAAAATTGATTTTTGTCCAAAGCATAACTCCAAAAGCGTATGAGGTATCAACATGAAACTTCATAGGTGCATAGATCTCACTCAGGAGGTGTGCAGTGCACAAGAATGATAACTCTACCTTTCATAATTTTTGAGTTATTGCCCTTTGTTATTTTTCATACTTAATTTTTCACCTGAGTGGAGCATAACTCAAAAAGTGTTTGACATATCAACATGAAATGTCAGAGGTGGATAGATCTTATTGAGGAGGAATGTTGTGCACAAGAATGATAACTCTTCCTTATACAATTTTTGAGTTATTGCCCTTTGTTCTTTTTCATGCTATTTTGTCCAGAGCTTATCACAAAAAGTATTTGAGGTATCAACTTGAAACTTCAAAGGTGGATGGATCTCATTGAGGAGGAATGCTGTACACAAGAATGATAACTCTTCCCTGTACAATTTTTGAGTTATTGCCCTTTGTTCTTTTTCATACTATTTTGTCCGGAGCTTATCTCAAAAAGTATTTGAGGTATCAACTTGAAACTTCATAGGTGGATGGTTCTCATTGAGGCAGAGTGCAGTGCACAAGAATGATAACTCTGCCCTGCATAATTTTTTAGTTATTGCCCTTTTTTTATTTTTATGTCACCGCAGCATCTGCGATGCAGTGGCATATAGCGATTCACCTGTGTGTGTGTTTGTTTGTGTGTGTGTGTGTTATATAGATTATATAGTGAACTTAAAAAATCTTCTTGTGAAAAACCACTAGTCCAATTTCAACCAAACTTGGCAGGATTGATCCTTGGGTGAAGGGCTTCCAAAGTTGTTCAAAGAATTTAATTCCATACAGAAATCTGGTTGCCATGGCAACCAAAAGGAATTATAAGAATAAATTTAAAAAAATCTTCTTGTAAAGACCCAAAAGGCCTAGAGCTTAGATATTTTGCATAAGGCATTGTCTGGTAGACCTCTACCAAGATTGTTCAAATTATAGCCCTGGGGTCAAAATCGGCCCCGCCCCGGGGGTCATTGATTTTCACTATAGATCTATGTACATATAGTAAAAACTTAAAATACCTTTTGTAAAGACCCATAGGCCTAGAGCTTAGATATTTTGCATAAGGCATTGTCTGGTAGACCTCTACCAATATTGTTCAAATTATAGCCCTGGGGTCAAAATCAGCCCTGCCCCAGGGGTCATGGATTTTCACTATATGTACATATAGTAAAAATTTAAAATACCTTCTTGTAAAGACCCAAAAGGCCTAGAGCTTAGATATTTTGCATAAGGCATTGTCTGATAGACTTCTACCCAGATAGTTCAAATTATAGCCCTGGGGTCAAAATCGGCCCGGCCCCGGGGGTCATATTTACATAGTAAAAACTTATAGTAAAACTTTTAAAAAAATTTCTTCTAGCAATTGACAAATGCTAGAGGTTAGATACTTTGCATGAAACATTGTGAAGTGAACCTCTAGCAAGAATGTTCAAATAATAGCCCTGGGGTCAAAATTGCCCCCGCCCCGGAGTCATTGATTTTCAATATATACATATAGTAAAAAATAAAAAATATCTTATTGTCTGAAGGTACAAGGCTTAGAGCTTTAATATTTGTTAAATGATATCATCTATAGGTACTCTATCAAAGTTGTTCAAATTTTGCCTCTAGTGTCAAAATTAAGTGAACTTTGATATCAGCTGACCTAGATTTTGACAAAGTGTATTACATGTTGTCCTTTGATGCAGTCATGAAATTTTAGGCTGTGTGAAATATGACCTTCACCACCAAATTCACTAGACTCAAGTGCATTGATATATTCCTACTCTGATCTTTTATTGAGTTAACAATAGATTTAACCACTAATCTGATAATAAGAATTAGATAGGTCAGGGATCTATGCATTATGACAATCTTCAATTGTATAGAAACAAAAAAATCTGTTCCTACACTACTATTTAGTGTTGTATTATTGCGGTGGCATAGCATTTTTCTCAAATGCAATCTTGTTCAAAATTAATTTTTGTCCAGAGCATAACTCAAAGGCCTTTGAGATATCATTATGAAACTTCATAGGTGCATAGATCTAACTCAGGAGGTGTGCAGTGCACAAGAATGATAACTCTACCTTTTATAATTTTTGAGTTATTGCCCTTTGTTATTTTTCATACTTAATTTTTCAATTCAATTTTTTTCTCAAAAGTATTTGAGGTATCAACTTGAAACTTCATAGGTGGAATGATTTTACTGAGGAGGGATGCAGCACACAAGAATGATAACCTACCCTGCATTATTTTTCAGTTGTTGCCCTTTGTTATTTTCAACAATCAGTATTCACATAGGTTTCAAATCTGTAATCACTATAGCCATCAGTTTTCATTACCAAAAGACCTATTAAAATGGAATTATTCTGCTGTACTACATATACATTCTTCCAATGAGCAAACACATTCGGCGGGGGATGGCCATGTTGCTCTTGTTTATACAAAGTCATTTTATTTTCATTGTGTTGGAAGCTATAAACTTATTGAAACACTCTCAAATCCGTTCCTGGGACCAACTAATACTAAAAAGCAATGATTGTAAAGTTTCTTGCTGAAGGAAATAACAGCTTGCCCTAGATGGGGTTTGAATTTGATGTGTAATCATGTGAAGTTTCTTTGAATATTGTGATAAGTAATAAGAATTATTGTCAAGTTGCTTCATATGCCAATCGAAGTTTACATATTTATATTTATAAGTAAAGGGGTCAGTGTTGCGGCATATTTTCCTAAGTTTTCATTGATGTTATTTTCAGCCGCTGAAGGAAGAAGCTGGCCGGATAAATCGTACAAACATTGTTGTATGTACTCCTGGTAGATTGTTACAACATATGGATGAAACTACCTACTTCTCAGCAGATAATCTAAAAATACTTGGTATGTCAACATTTATGTCAGCATTCTATATATTTGATTTGAATTTAATATAAAGTTTCAAATAAAATCGGTAAACCTGTCATAAAGTCAATTGTATGCACATATAAATTAAATTTAATTATATAAGATACATGTAAGTAAAGATTAGCATGCTCGAAGATATCTGAGATTAATTTCTGTTTTATAATAGTTATGAAAAATGATTCTCATATGTTTTTAGTTTTTTTAGGGTTTATTTATATACATGTATATATATAATCTGTTTTTGTCTATGTTAGTTTTGGATGAGGCAGACAGAATACTGGATCTTGGTTTTGCACAGACTATGAATGCTATAATAGAAAACCTCCCTTCAGAAAGACAAACATTACTGTTTTCAGCTACACAGACTAGGTATATTTTTATGTCTAATTTGCATAGGAACACATTTATTTTGCTAATAGAAAGTAAATTGTCATGTGTGAGTGCACATGTACCTGAATTATTGATACAACCTATTACAACTGCAGGAAATCATTTTTTATATCAGTTGTGTGATTGTTTGGTAGATGATGTGAATAAAATCCTTGCAGATTTTTTTCTGTCACACATTTGCATCTTTGTTTGATTACTTCGAGAGGTTTGTAAGATGAAGTTGTACATTCTTTGATGCAGTAACATTGCATGAATACTTAAAGGTCAGTGGAGTTCACATTCATGTGCCAATTTTAATATCTGATCATGTAGAACAAACTTAAATTAGTTTATGCATCTCCTGTAGTAATATTTTAGATGTTGGTTGTATTATGCCATGTCATGCAAGTACTTCTATGTTTATTATAGGTCGGTGAAGGATTTAGCTCGGCTCAGTTTACAGGATCCGATGTATGTGTCTGTACATGAGAATGCCACAGAGAGTACACCAGCACAGCTAGAGCAGGTATGTAGTGTTTGAAGTTGAATGATTTGTTGTGTAACTTTCAAATTGGCTAGTATCATGGATGATGATATTCAGTGCTACAAGCCTAAGGGTCAAACTTTATACCACTGAAATCTTATCAAGCTCTTTTTTTTTAAATGAGGAGATCGTGGCCTTGTGGTTAAGATGTCTGCCTCTCAACCTAGGGATCATGGGTTTGAGCCTTACTCAGTTCCTAAGCATTTTCCTCATATGACACCAGTACTGGTGAGTGCCAGGAAGCAGGCTGGAAAATGATAAATATAAGTGGCAAGAAGTTGTTATTGCAATCGCGACTAAATAAATATTGTTTTAAATGCTAAAACTTTATATCTTACTATTTTGATATTGAAATCTTACATTAACAATGGACAGTTTGACTCTTAAAGCTGTGGTAGTCCAAACATTTTGGTGATAGTATGTTGTCAATAACGCAAAATTGATGTTTGGTTTAACATACACAAGAACAAATCTTACATGATATTTACAATCAACACAAAAAAGAATTAGACTGGAAGAAACCTTATGCTTATTGTTGAAGTCTTTTCACAATGTATATATATATATATAGTAATATACATGTATATATAGTAATAGTAAAGATAAGGCGGGTAATTTTGATGTTTGAGTTTTAAATGTCTTTTACAAAACCTAAAAAGCGTGATAATATAGAGCCATAAAAAAAAATCCGCAAAAAGGGTGAAAAATGTGAAATTTAAAAAGTAGATATCGCAATCAACAAACTCTTAATCAAGTTATTAATTGCTGCTTTATAGAAGATTAGGTTAGACTGTTTTAAATATTTCTCATTTTGTGTTTTAGAAATAGTCTCCTACGCTTTTGTTGCAAAGAATATATACATAAAAAAATAATGTTTTGTGAAAATTGAAATTGTTAAATAAGGTTAGACAAGATAGCATCAGTTTGGGAGGATATGTTTAATATTTCCAATTGTGTATTTACAAAAAATATCATCTATAACTTTGACTAAAAAAGGAATATTTTGTGAAAAATAAATTGTTGATATAAACATTTTATGTACTTCTTAAGAATGATCATAATAGACTTGAATAAACAAATAGTTGTATACATGTATAGTGTTACATATTAATCAATATTATTTTCCTAATTTCAGAGTTATATTGTGTGTGAGCTACATGATAAACTGAATTTGCTGTGGTCATTCCTGAAGAATCATCTCAAATCAAAGATATTAGTGTTTCTTACCAGTTGTAAACAGGTTACTACAAACATTCTTTCTTTATTTTGTGCAGGGCTATTTTCCCTATTGCTAGGTGTCATAAGGTCACATTTTCAGTCAGAATTAATCTTCTTTTCTAGTTTAAACGGTCTGATCAGGTGCAACCCCCTCCCCTCCTCAACCCCCCCCCCCCCCACCCTTTAACTTTTGAGAATCATTTTACTGTTTTGTCTTGTTTAAAAAAGTAAATAGAATATGATGCTGCACATGAAAACTTGAGCCAAATGTGATATCACCTACTTTTCTCTATTTTCCTTCACTTTTTATACGCCCGTTTGAAAAACGGGACGTATTATGGGAACGCCCCTGGCGGGCGGGCGGTCAGGCGGGCGGGCGGGCGGCGTCCAATTTTGTCCGGAGCATATCTCCTACATGTATGGAGCGATTTTAATGAAACTTCATAGAAATGTTCACCACTATGAGGAGCAGTGTCGTGCACATGAACCAGGTCTCTAGGTCAAAGGTCAAGGTCACACTTAGAGCTCATTGAAAAATGCTTGTCCGGAGCAAAACTTCCACATGTATAGAGGGATTTCAATATTACTTGGCACAAATGTTCACCATTGTGAGGCGGAGTGTCGCGCGCAAGATTCAGGTCCCTGCAGCCAAGGTCAAGGTCACACATAGAGGTCAAAGTTTAGATAAAAATATGAAGATGTGTATAGGGACGATTTAATCATCATTTATTGAGGGATTGTAACACAAATGGTCATTATCATGACTACGGCTGTGATACATGTACTTTAGGTCAATATATGCAAGGTCAAGGTCACTACAGATGGTGAAATATCCAGATTTTGTCTGGAGCATATCTCCTACATGTATGGAAGAATTTTTATAATACTTTATGGAAATGTTCACCACCATGATATGTATTGCTCCATGCATGATCCAGGTCTCCAGGTCAAAGGTCAAGGTCACATTTAGAGCTCATTGAAAAACGCTTGTCCGGAGCAAAACTTCTACATTCAATGGGGGATTTCAATATAACTTGGCACAAATGTTCACCATTGTGAGGCTGAGTGTCACACGCAAAATTCAGATCCTTGCGACCAAAGTCAAGGTTTCACATAGAGGTCAAAGTTCAGATAAAAATTTGAAGATGTGTATAGGGACCATTTAGTCATCATTTATTGATGGATTGTAGCACAAATGGTAACTAGCATGACAACGTGTGTGACACATTTAATTTAGGTTAATATTTGCAAGGTCAAGGTCACTGGAGATGATTAGATATCCAGATGTTGTCCGGAGCATATTTTCTACATGCATGGAGGAATTTTAATGTTACTTTATAGAATTGTTCACCACCATGAGACGTAGTGCCCTGCACATGAACCAAGTCACTAGGTCAAAGGTGACGGTCACAGTTAGAGCTCATAGAAAAACGCTTGTCTGGAGCAAAACTTCTACATGCATAGAGGGATTTCAATATAATTTGGCACAAATGTTCATCATTGTGAGGCTGAGTGCCGTGCATAAAATTCAGGTCCCTGCGACCAAGGTCAAGGTCACACATCCTGTGCATATCTTCCCTACTGATTTGTTTTAAGGTTCATTTAACAACACAGTTGCCAAGAATAAAAACTTGCTTGCTAGATAACACTTATCCATAATGCCCCCATCTCCATCTAAAGCTTTCGTAAACGGGCGTATTTTGTAACTATGGCACCCCTGTTGTGATATGATAATGTAAAGAACTAGTTTTTGAATATCATTTTACATGTACTTCTATGAAAGTTTCTGGCAAAATTCTTTTGTTAAAAAACATTGAATGTCAAATGTGAACAAATAGGTGTATCATTTCAATTTATCTGATGTAAAAGATGTTCTTTTTCCTTGCCTTCTTTAAGTTTTTATTCAAAAAAGGAACCATTTTCTGTGCCACAAAGAATGTTTCGTTTTTCCTCTTATTGCTGATTTGTTAGATTTAATTTTGCATTGACTTTTTTTTTGAAAAACAAAAGACAAAATATAGGCTTTTGAAAATTATTTTTTAACTGCTCAGGTATGTATACTAGAAATTTTGATACTATGTAACTCGTTTTTTCCCAACATTCCTATTGTTGGTTATCAGTAGACAAAATGAAAATTAAAAAATCTGTGACACTAAATGCTTGGTAATGAAATGTGGTTAATTATAAATGAGGGACACAACTGCTTTACAGATTAAAACATAGAAGTTTTGTTTTTAACAGGTAAAATATATACATGAAGCAATGAGACATTTAAAGCCAGGGATACCAATATTTGCCCTACATGGAGGCATGCCACAGCTGAGACGCGTGGAGGTATATAACCAATTTATGTGGAAGCAGAGGGTCTGTCTGTTTGCCACTGATATAGCAGCTAGAGGACTTGGTAATATATGTTTATTTGATTTTATATATTACAGTGCTATAGTTTATACTAGGTTAAGAAAGTCCAGTGATTGGGTTTTTACCTATTCACCAGGCAGTAAAATTTGAAAATAGTTAAATATCCATTTATTATTTGATATGATTTCTAAGCCAACATAAAAACAGTATTGTTTGACATAGAGAATTATATCTCTGCAATGGCAAAAAAAATGTATTTGCTTTATTCCCATATAATTGAAATTGTAGACTGAAATATTAATATCAAACTGATTATCAAACTTTCAGATTTTCCAGCTGTTAACTGGGTTGTACAGTTAGACTGTCCGGAGGATGCCAACACATACATACATCGTGTAGGCCGTACTGCCAGGTATGAGAAGGATGGGGAATCATTGCTTGTGTTGCTGCCTTCTGAGGAGGAGTTTATGATTAAACAACTAACAGATAAAAAGATTCCTATAGAGAAAATCAAGTAAAGTTTCTTTTAGTTATTCTGTAGTTTGTTAGTTTTGGCGTTGTCCGTCCTTCCATCCGTCCGTCTGTCCGTCCGAATTGCGTTTCCGGAGTAGTTCTCTGCAACTACCGGCTGGAATTCAACAAAACTTTATGGGGATCATCAATATCAAGAGGAGATGCGCATATCGTCGGCTTGTTCCGGTCCGACACTTTAACTCAGAGTTATGGCCCTTGATTAGTTATGCAGTATGCATATAGAGTAAAAATCGTGTCCGCGCTATTTCTCTGCAACTACTGACTGGAATTCAACGAAATTTTATGGGAACCTTCAATATCAAGAGGGGATGCGCATATCGCCGGCTTGTTCCGGTCCAACACTTTAACTCAGAGTTATGGCCCTTGATTAGTTATGCAGTATGCATATAGAGTAAAAATCGTTTCCGCGCTACTTCTCTGCTACTACTGGCTGGAATTCAACGAAACTTTATGGGAACCTTCATTACCAAGGGGAGATGTGCATATTGTCGCCTTGTTCCGGTCAGACACTTTATCTCAGAGTTATGGCCCTTGATTAGTTATGCAGTATGCATATAGAGCAAAAATCGTTTCCGCGCTACTTCTCTGCAACTACTGGCTGGAATTCAACAAAACTTTATGGGAACCTTCAATACTAAGAGAAGATGCGCATATCATTGCCTTGTTGGGGTCAGACATTTTAACTCAGAGTTATGGCCCTTGATTGCATGTAGAAAAATATTTGTTTCTGGGCTACTTCTCTGCAACTACTGGCTGGAATTCAATGAAACTTATTGGAACCTTCAATACCAAGAGGAGATGGGCATATCGTTGCCTTGTTTGGGTCAGACATTTTAACTTTGAGTTATGGCCCTTGATATTTTATGCAGTATACAACCAGAGCAATAATCGTTTCCGTGCTACTTCTCTGTAACTACTGGCTGGAATTCAATGAAACTTTATGGGATACAAAGAGGAGATGTGCATATAGTCGCCTTGTTCCGGTCAGACACTTATAACTCAGATTTATGGCCCTTGATTAGTTATGCAGTATGCATACATCTCATTGGCATTTCCAGATATTACTATTTAACACAGATTTATGGCTCTGTTATTGCCCTGAATATTTAATAAGTTCAAAGAATATTACTGTTTATGCCATGATAAATATATAAATAAAGCCTTATGTCTTCAGTTGTTGTGTTAGTAATAACCAGTACTCGGCGGGGGATATAAATTCAACGAATTTGCTTGTTGTAACTATTGTCCCCATCCCCTAATTGGAATAGTTGGAACTTTGGATTTAGGATTATCAAGTTCTTGGTTCGTGCTCCATTCTTTGGGAATGCACTTATTAAGCTATATGTCCTGGCACTACCTGTTGGACATTTCTTCTGTATTTTGGCTCTACCATTGAGTGTTTGACATGACACTGCCTGGACATGCAAATTGTAAAACTTGGCTAATTTCCTGGTTAAAGAGGGAGGTTTGGTAGTAGCACTTGACTGGTGTATTAAAATTCTAAGTGTCCTTTAAAACAATAATTTTGGCATTTGTCACCTTTGGTTGTTATGTGGATTATTTGGTTCATTTTAGTCTAACATTTAAATGTTGATATATGCCATCATGACAATCACTAACATTTAGAAAAAATATGCATGATTGCAGTATGTCAATCTCAACAAGATTGAGATCTTATGATCCTATTCATCATTTAAGTTGTAAATGTTTTGCATTCTTATTTTGAACTAATATAGGTTAATGTATCTGCTAGAAATATATTTCAATTTCATGGCACATGTATTCTCTGCAAATGTACCCATTTTCAAATGAAGCAAAATAAATTTAATTGAATTTTCATTCACAGTTGATTCGTATCCTGCTGAATGTGTATTGTAAGCATGTCATACTTTGAATTTATTACAGTCCATTAGTAGTTTTTAGACATTTCAGTGTCATTTACAATTTAGTAAAATTAAGTAGTCTTGTCATACTGCATAAATATTCAGACTGTTCTGGCTGTATACTGGTGTCTTTTGTATGTTATTATTACCACTCATGGTCAATGGTTTAGTTAACAAGTAAGTTAAATAATAAAAGTTACAGTGGTTTAATTAACAAACAAGTAAAAAGTTCATTATTATATTACAGGGTGAATCAACAACGGTTATACCCTATACAATCAAAACTGGAGGCCAATTGTGCTGCTGATCCAGAACTCAAGGCATCAGCTCAAAGGGTAAGAGTTGAACTTACTCTTTTCGTCATGTGGTTTATAATCCCCCGCTGAAAGGTGGCGGGGGAATCGGATATAGAAATAGTCTTTGTCTGTCAGTCTGTCCGTCCTTCCGTCCTTCTGTCTGACATTTTTGTCTGGAGCATACCTCAAAAAGTGTTAGAGATATCAACTTGAAACTTCATAGGTGGATAGATCTCATTGAGGAGGAGTGCAGCACACAAGAATGATAACTCTACCCCGCATAATTTTTCAGTTATTGCCCTTTGTTATTTTTCATGCTTATTGTCCAGAGCATAACTTAAGAAGCCTTTGAGTTATCAACTTGAAACTTCATAGGTGGATAGATCTTGAGGAGTGCAGCGCACAAGAATGATAACTCTACCCTACATAATTTTTCAGTTATTGCCCTTTATTTTTCATGCTTATTTTTTGTGCACACAGTGACTCATTAAGTATTTACTATATAAGGTATTCACTTGAAACTCAAAATACAACTTAGTCTCCGTCCATCTGTCTGTTCATCTGTCCATCCATCCTTCCGTCTGACATTTTTGTCGGGAGCATATCTCAAAAGTATTTGAGATATCAACTTGAAACTTCATAGGTGGATAGATCTCATTGAGGAGGAGTGCAGCACACAAGAATGATAACCTACCCTGCATAATTTATCAGTTATTGCCCTTTGTTATTTTCAGCCATCAGTATTCACATAGGTTTCAAATCTGTAATCACTTCAGCCATCAGTTTTCATTACCAAAAGACCTCTTAAAATTGAATTATTTTGCTCTACTTCATAAACATTCTTCCAATGAGAAAACACATTTGGCAGGGGGTGGCCATGTTAACATGAAGTTGATATATTCATTTTCTAATTTCATTATATTTAAACTTAAAATAATGAAACAATTTCATTTGATCATTTTCATTTATAGACTTGCCTTTTGTTTCATGCAAGTAAATAAGAAGATTGTATTTGCAAAAATATTTATATCTTGTTATTAAATAAAAGACTCTTTATCTAAAAATGAGATTACAGAGGAATATTTCTTTATAAAATGTCTCAACCTGAGTTAAGGATGCAGAATTCAGTCAAAAAAATGCATTGGGTTCTTCTGTATTGATATTAAGCTCTTTACATGTTTTACAGGCATTTGTGACATATTTACGATCAATATTCTTGATGAAGAACAAGAAAGTATTTGATGTTCATGCTCTAGACATTGAAAAATATGCTAGGTAAGTTTATACAGTTGGTCTGGTTTTCCTCAGCCAAACATTATCAGTTTGTGTTAACTTGTGAAGAAAATGTTAAAATTCATTTTGCAATTATTTGCTTAGAAAATGAAAATATAATAAGGAAACAACAACTGCTTGTATATATATAAATTGAAAGGAAAAAGTCTTCATTTGATATTGGAAAACACAATTATTAATCATGCCTTAATTAGGAACTTTACAGCTACATTAAATAAATATGGAAAAATATTTTTGCCGTCGGTCTAAAAACCAAGCATTCTACAGATTCATTAACCTTTTTAACAGTCTTGTTGTAAATCTCAACAAATATTATTCATAAATTAGGATTTTAAACGGAAAACCCCTAAGTAACACTAAAGTTCGTATACGAATTTTAACATGCAAATGAAAATTATAATCAGCTTGTGTATGCGCTACATCACAGTGTTATAGCTGCTATCCGGAACACAACAAATATGACATTTTCTTGTGCAAACACATTTTAACCGTTTAACTTTACGGTGCACTAGGCCTGAGGTTCAGTAAAAAGTAATCATCTCATAAAAAAGTATTAAATTTGTATGGAAACATCCGTTACAATGGGGAAATATACCGTTAAATTAGGACTGCTACTTATAGTCATGTTTGTTGATTTAATATTGATGTATGGATGATCTGAAGGCGGAGTTTCTCATGCAAAGAGATATTGTACTTCCGATTTGGACACAATGAGGTTGTCCATTTTTTATGCATATAAAACTCATTTTGGTTGTCAAAACAAGATCTGGAGTCGATATAAAACCCAATTTATTTATGAAATGTCACTATTTCTGTTTTTATGAAATTTATTAAATGTAACTTTAAATAATAGTGTATGATATTGACAGACAGAAAAAAAACCCTTAAAGCTTAGTTTTGTTGCAAATGCATGTCATTTGTTTTGATTTTACTTATGTTCATATTTTCCAGCTCACTAGGGTTGGCTATCGCACCAAATGTAAGATTCTTGAAAAAAGATCAGAAAAGAAAAGAAGAAAAAGAATCCAAGAAAATAAAAAAGCCAGTTGATTTATCAAAACTGAATAAACTGGAATCTAGTAGTGAAGAAAGTGACAGTGGCAATTCTAGTGAAAGCGATGATGATGATACTGATGATGATACTGATGATGATGAAAGTGAAAATGAAAGTAAAACTGGTATTAAAAGTGTAGAAAATTCAAATTCAGTGTCATCAAACACTTCATCTCTTTTAAAATCAGGGAAAATAACAAAGTCTGAAATGGAAGTAACTAGTAGAAATAAATTGTTAGGAAAAGATGTGCCAACAGTAGAAAACTCAGAAAGTTCTGAAAGTGATGATTCAGACAGTGATGAGTTAGTAGATAATGAAGATATAGATGACAGTGAATTTAGTGATAGTTCTGAAAGTGGGGAATCTAGTGATGATAGTGATAATGAAAGTGAAACTGGCTTAAAGCAGGAAAAAACGGATGATAATTCAGGATTTCGGTTTGACAATGATGATGATGACGATGATGAGTTATTTAAAGTGAAGCCAAATGTGGATATTGATGATATATTAGCTAAAAAAGGGATAGATGTAAGTGTTGAATTTGGACATACATGTGCTCTCAAATTAATCTTTTCAAAGAGAGTATTAAGTTAATTTTTCTATAACAATCCAATGTCAAAAACACTGTGTTCTTACTCTTTTTTTAGCTCACCTGTCACAAAGTGACAGGGTGAGCTTTTGTGATCGCTTTTCGTCCGGCGTCCGTCGTCCGTCCGTCCGTCGTCCGTCCGTAAACTTTTGCTTTAAATGACATCTCCTCATAAACCGCTGAGCCAATTTCATCCAAACTTCACAGGAATGTTCCTTTGGGGGTCACCTTTAAAAATTGTTCAAAGAATTTAATTCCATGCAGAACTCTGGTTGCCATGGCAACCGAAAGAAAAATCTTTAAATATCTTCTTTTAAACAACCCTAAGAGCTAGAGCTTAGATATTTGGCATGAAACATCTTCTAATGAGTGTCTACCAAGTTTGTTCAAATAAAAGCCCTGGGGTCAAAATTGGCCCCGCCCCAGGGGGTCATAGATTTTCCCTATATGCATATAGTAAAAACTTAAAGAATCTTCTTTTAAAGAACCCAAAGAGCTAGAGCTAAGATATTTGGCATGAAACATCTTCTAGTGAGTGTCTACCAAGTTTGTTCAAATAAAAGCCCTGGGGTCAAAATTGGCCCCGCCCCGGGGGGTTATTAATTTTCCCTATATGCATATAGTAAAAACTTAAAAAATCTTCTTTTAAAGAACTGTAATAGCTAGAGCTTAGATATTTGGCATGAAACATCTTCTAGTGAATGTCTACCAAGTTTGTTCAAATAAAATCCTTGGGGTCAAAATTGGCTCCGCCCCAGGGGGTCATTGATTTTCCCTATATACATATAGTAAAAACTTAAAAAATCTTCTTTTAAAGAACACAAAAAGCTAGAGCTAAGATGTTTAGCATGAAACATGTTCTAATGAGTGTCTACCAAGTTTGTTCAAATAAAAGCCCTGAGGTCAAAATTGGCCCTGCCCCAGGGGGTCATAGATTTTCCCTATATGCATATAGTAAAAACTAAAAAAATCTTCTTTTAAAGAACCGTAAGAGCTAGAGCTTAGATATTAAGCATGAAACATCTTCTTATGAATGTCTACCAAGTTTGTTCAAATAAAAGCCCTGGGGTCAAAATTGGCCCCGCCCTAGGGGGTAATTGATTTTCCCTATATGCATATAGTAAAAACTTAAAAAAATCTACTTATAAAGAACCCAAAGAGCTAGAGCTAAGATATTTAGCATGAAACATGTTCTAATGGGTGTCTACCAAGTATGTTCAAATAAAAGCCCTGGGGTCAAAACTGGCCCGCCCGGGGGTCATTGATTTTCCTTATATGTGTATAGCAAAAACTTAAAAATCTTCTTTGAAAAAACCCAAAAAGCTAGAGTTTAGATATTAAGCATGAAACATCTTTAAGTAAATATCTACAAAGTTTGTTCAAATAAAAGTCCGGGGGTCAAAACTGGCCCTGCCCCAGGGGTGTCATTGTTTTTAACTATATGTGTATAGTAAAAACTTAAAAAATATTCTTTTAAAAAACCCAATGAGCTAGAACTTAGATGTTTAGAATGAAACATCTTCTTATGGGTGTCTACCAAGTCTGTTCAAATAAACAAATAAAAGCCCTTGGGTAAAAATTGGCGGGGGGGCTATATACAGGTGAGCGACCTCAGGGCCATCATGGCCCCTCTTGTTTCCGTAGCACCCCATTTTCATTTAAGTTATTGATATATGTCTTTGAGTATCAGATTTACTGAAGCTTTTGAAAAGTGATGTTCTTCTGTATTGATAAGATTTAAGAAGAAGCTATTTATGGTGAAAATTAAATTTGCACAGTATTAAGCACATATGAATGGATGTTATCATCTACGTAAGGGGCCTGCATAGCACAATGCTCAAAGTTGGTGACTGCACTTACCTGTCTTAGATGTTTGTTCTAATCTTTCCACAGAAATTAAATTCTTTCATGTATACATCCATTCATGGAAGTTTTTCAGATAACTAACTCTACTTATCAGTACTAGTTTGTGCCTAAGATAATACTTGACTATTTTTCCCCTGAATAATAAATAGAAAATTTTGATAATAGATCAACCATTACTCTTAGACTCATAGCCTGTTTGTGGCAACAGATTAGATAATGCCAACAGTTCAAAACACATTTGTGGCGTCTGCTTATGGTCTGCACTGTTCGCTATTAAGTCAGTACATATTTTGAAATTTAACTTCCCTTAAAGATAACGAATTGTTTGTCGAAATAGAAATACTGACAAGTTCATATAAGATATTAAGCATGTTGAGGACACAATATGTTAATCATAATCATAATATGTGATTTAAACATTAACCTAGAAAGGTCTTTTATCATATTTATACTTCTTTAGATTGTTGAAGCTAGTTAATTATACAAATATATCTCTTGGCTTATTAGGTAGAGGATGTGACAGAACCTGAGGAGAGTAAGTCACAGAAGAGAAAGAAAGCTCTCAAACAGAACAAGGAACTACAGGCACTTAAACTGTGGAGGAAAAACATCAAAATCAATACCAAGGTCACCTTTGATGAGGAGGGACAGGTAGATTATATCATAGCATTATAATTAAATGACTTATAAAGCATTTTTCAGCTGTTTTACAATTATCTAACAATTCTGTCTAGATGCTGTATTAATGATAGCATGTTCTTATTTTGAGAAAATACACAATACAACATAAAAATCCACTTTAAACCCAAATCTCAATTGCTTGACTTTCATTGGAAGATAATCTGCATATTGTCAATTAAAATGGTATGGGCTAAGCAAGTTTTGCACTCAGAATATACATTATTGTAATTTTGAAAAAAAAATCATTCATGTTTTTGTGCCCTATGACCTAAATTATGTTGGTTTTTGTTAATGCATTTTACTACCACATTTAACCTGTGTATTTGTAAGAAAATGTTAAAATTATATGTTTGATGATATATATTATGTAAATTGAGATAGTAAGTCAGTAAATTCGTAACATGATTATAATCATTTTGTCATAGCTGTATATAAGAAACATTTGTGTACATGAAATCTTTATTTTTCAGTTGAATTTATTTGTTTTTATTGTTTATTTCAAGGTTGAAGTAGATCCTCATAAGATTCCTCAAGTTGATGTGGATATAGAAAGACCTGATGATGTTGGTGGTATAGATATAGCAAAGGCAAGAGAGAAAATGAAAGCTGAAGATGAAATAGATAAACAGATTTACAGAGAGAAAATAAAACAGAGACATAGAGTAAGTCTAAAAAATGTTACATAGATAGAGACATATAAGGGCATTATAAAACAGAGACATAGAGTAAGTCTAAAAAATGTTACATAGATAGAGACATATAAGGGCATTATAAAACAGAGACATAGAGTAAGTCTAAAAAATGTTTCATAGATAGAGAAATATAAGGGCATTATAAAACAGAGACATAGAGTAAGTCTAAAAAATGTTTCATAGATAGAGACATATAAGGGCATTATAAAACAGAGACATAGAGTAAGTCTAAAGATTTGACATAGATATAGAGAAAAAAATCTGAAAAAAAATACCAGTAAAAAAAGGGAAGAAAAGACATGTATTCTACAATCAGATGAATATTGAAATTCAGTTGTAGATTGTTAAGACACATTTTAAGCACACAGTCACAGAGGTGATTTGACTGGTGAATAAAAGATACTTAGGTAATCAATGATGCCCATACTTCACAGACAATGGAAAGATAAGTGCAAAGAAAGGAGCCATTTTAGTATCTACAGTTTTTTTTAATGGCAGCTTAATAATATTTTTGTATTCATTTGCTTTACAATGTCTAATAAATTTCACCGTACATCAATTATTCTTTGATAATACACAAGAAAAAACATGCATTAAATGAACATGTATATTACATATATTTCAGGAGCAAAGATTGAAAAGAAAGGAAGAAAACAGGGCTCAAAAACAGAGAGGAGTAAAACAAGATGAAGAGGTTTGTAACTACCTAGTAGTATCATACCCCCTAGCCTGTTGACCGCTACTGAATTTATCTATACAACCAGTGCCAGCACAGTTGTGCCATCTGATCATAGTCTGTACTGATTGTTGTTTGGTCAGTTTTTATTTTGAAATTTTCCCTTAAATGATAAATGGTTTTATCCAGATTGAAAGATGGACAAGTCCATTCTAGATATTTAGTGTGGTAAGGGTTAATGGTTGTGAAGGTGTGTCTGTTTGCATATTGTCATGGTTAAACCTTGAGACAGTTTTACATTAGGTGGCTGGCTCTGTTATTCAATATGCATGTATTAAATTAATATGAAAACAAAAATATATATTTTTTTTATAAAATACATGAAGGTTGAGTCATGATTTTATACAAAGGCCAGACCCTTAATTGGTAATTTACAAACATTGTTCATTGTTCTTTCAATTTTGATATTTTTGTGCAGTTTTCATCAAGATACAAATAAACATTAAACTCATTATTGACAGCCCAATATAGCAGAACATCTTTAGTTTTATTGTTACGGACAAAGATGACATTATAATACTGCACATTTGTAACATCGCTTTTCATTGGATTACCGACTGATAATTGACTGACCATTTTATAAACAGATCAAACTATTAAGAGATTTTAAACAAGATGACAAGGGAAATAATTGAATTTTATTTTTCAAAATTCCATTCATTTCAATGATACTGAAGAATTTACCGAAAATCCATTTCATTGTTTTTTATATAGATATATATTATGTTTTATTAATTCAGGAAGAAGAAATGGAGGCGAGATTACCATCAGATGATGATGATGAAAAAGCTGATCCGCTTTCATTTTTACCTGACCCAGATAAAGTGTACGGCAGTACACAATCAGACAGTGACTCGGATAGTGACGGGTAAAGTTTCTTATAACATGGTGTAATACAGAGTCTTATTCAATGTCATTTGTCTTCAGTGTTATACATTAGCTAAGTTGATGAACTTAGTCTATATAATAGTTTAATGATAGCTAACATAACTTTGAATGCAAGTCCCTACAGGTACTTTGAATTCTAAGTACATCTTTGTATATGTTACATGTCAATAGATAGGTTTTGGAAGGTTGTTGGTTCTACTCTGGAGCACATCTAGCTATTCTCCACCAGTAAAGCTTATAATTTGTCATATTACATTATCTTTTTATGAGTGAAACACTATCCTCAACCCAACACTTAGTCTTTTAATGTTACTGACAGATGATTCAGTTTTTTTTGAAACTTTAAGTAATTCTTAATTAAAATTTTGTTGCTAATAATCATGCGCTCGGAATTATGTGTTTTTGTCTGCTTATTGAAAATATGAACACCATCACTTGGTTGTATTGTAAACAATTGGTCACTTACGCTATATCACACTCAGATTTGAATCTACATGTATGTTATTATTCAAAAAAGTTGTAAGAATGTACTTGGTCTTCAAGATAAATTTACGTTGATTATTTTCTAGGCTGGCATGTGGCTAATCATTATCACTCTATCATTATTTGGTTATTATATAAATATGTTTTTTTGAACTTTACTCTGTCTTCTTGTGAAGATTTTGTGTGAAGTTAATGTATTTTAGTATTTTAATTAATTTTATTATTATCTCTCTCATTTATTTTCAGTCCTTCATCGTCAAAGAGAGCAAAATTATCCAATAAGTCTCAAAAGATGGGATTTAATGCAAATGTCAGTAATGATGAATCAGATGATGATGAAGATGATGACGATGATGATTCCGGTGATTCTGACTCTGGAAATGTGATGGACACTGAACTTTCTCTACAAGATGATGAAGAAATAGCATTGAGACTGTTACAAGGGAAGTAATCCAAGTTTACAACAGAAAAAAAGAAGTTGTGAGAATACTTATGCTGAAACCGTGATACGAACAATAAGGAATATTTTCAACTGTTATATACCACATAGAAGGCAGACAAGTTATACTGGTAGACTAGTTGTTAAATCATGAACCTATCAGAGTTGAGGTCAGACCATGTTTTGTCATATGACACTATATGTAATGGAGTAGACATAGTTGCTGGAGAAGATGACTACTGCTGCAGAATACAGGAATGATATTTTTAGAAGAAAGGGAAGGGTTCAAGTGTGATATATTTTATCTATATACATGTATCCAGTTTGGATGACTGTGTCATGACACTGCTTGTTGGCATTGTGGCAGAAATATTTTAGAGGAGTGCATCTGAGGTCATTCTGCACCATTGAAACTAGAAATGTTATTTTGTGGTAGTATGACTTAAAAGGCCATCATGACTTAAGATTCAACCTAAAGCAGTTGAGCGTTTCATATTGTGGTCTCTAATTTGTGAAATGTTCAAAAGAAAAACAAGACTTTTGAATGATATTTAATAGAAATTACAAAATTTTATTCATGGAAATACACAATTATATGTAAATATATATTCATGATGAATCAACATGAGAACAAGATCTATATTGTTATCAAAATAGATTAATCCTGCTATGTGAAACTGGGCAAGAAACAGTTATTATACATGTATAGAGTTATGACAGATCAGCGTTAAATGTTCGGAGTACATCTTACCCATATAACCACTATAGGGCAAGATCAGCCTAAAGTCTCATCAGGCTGATATTAAAAGACCCTATATTAAAAATGGACAGGTACAAATTAAGAGCTGGGTAAGTCCATCACACAAATTTATCTGGGTCAAGCTTAAATAATATCAGGAAATGATTGTTTTGCTACAAGAAATACGTTTTGTTACAAGAAATATTATGTATACATTCTTGATTATCAAATAAATGGGAAATGGTATACAAAGTTGTTTAGTTTTTTTTTGTGTTTGTGTATCAAACACACAGCTATTATGTGTATGATATCAAGTGAGTATGTTAAATTTATATTTGTGTGTGTTTGTAATAATATTGAAAGGGATAAATAAAAAAAAGAAGACTATCAATTTTTTTACACAGTGATTGGCAGCTTTTCTAACCTGACTTGGAAAAACAAAACAAACAAAAAAACATGCATACGTTAATGCTTCTTTCTTATTTCTGTGGCAAAGAAACAGAAACTGTCCAATTTAAACTTTAAATAGAACAAAAATAGCGAAACTAATTTAACCTATTGGAATAACAAATTGTTATTCTTCAATAAAAGGAACTATTACAAAACATTGACATTAGTAAACATAGTTGCATATGAAAACATCTTATCTTTCCATAATTTGATACAGTGTGTTATTATCATTAAATGATACCTATTTTACATTTGAGGGTTTTGAGAAAATATACACAAAGAACAATGTCTAAAACTAAGTAAATGTGTACAATGAAAATAGAATCAAAACAGAATGTATATGACTAATGATCACATATTTGAATAACATACTTGTGTACATGTATATTCATACTTGAGCTGAACAATTCCTGTTTGGCTATTTGTAAAGCAGTATCTAAAAACAAGCCACTAGCATGATTTTTTTATTAAAATATTGCTGTATTAAACCTTTATTAATCGTAAGGGCTTTAACAGATATTGTTAAAAGACTGTCGCATCAATTAATTAATTATATAGCTAAATGAGTACTACTGACAATCCGTCATTGAATTTCAGGAAAAAGATTTTTGATTTTTCCTTGAATTAAACGCATGCTCATCAAAAAAGTAAATGGTATTTGTACAAAATGTCCTTTTTTGTCCTTTGTATGACTCTGACTGTAAGGCTGGTTTTCCACATTAGATAATGTTTCAGATGAAAATTTAAAACTTACGATTAAACCTTTCAAAAAAATTCCTTTGGATTTAAACAATAGATTTTAGGTTTTATATACAAAATGCTCCACCATAAATTTGTTAAAGGTATTTGCTGTCATAATGACAGTCTTGTTTTTGTTCCTTTTTTATTGATATACAACTTGCTGTACACCTTTACACCATAACTCGGGACAAAAAAATCACCAACAAAATTTAGTGGTGTGACGTCACATGATGATAGTGCAGGCAGTATAGAAGTATTCTAGACATTTTAATATTGTTCCGCCATTTTTTACAGTTCTTTATGTCACCACCATATGACAAACATCACTGACCGGCGGCTTTCGGAACTCGTTCTGGCAGTAAATAGACATAGGGGATGTCGAGGTCAAGGTTCCGTTTATGAATAGACTGTGAAATCTTTTCCATCTCGTCTGAGAACCAATCTAATATTTCACGTACTTCCGTTTCCGTGAAATGGCTGTCTTGATAATCACCAAGATATCTCTGAAATTAAATTATTTACAGATAAATAAACACACACAAAAATATATACTTTTCAATTAAATTTGTTAACCTTATTTACAGGTTTTAGTACCAGACACACGCATGCATTAGTTATTTTTAATATCTGTCTTCAGTGAGATGCCTCAGGTTTATAAATTAGTAGATAAAGCAAGCTCCGAAAGAAAATATGCAGAAACGCTATTGATGCTTAAGTTGTTTGGTTTTAGTTATTTAAAAGGTATAACTTTAGGACACCCCTTTGTTGCGCTTCTTAATAATAATATAATATAATATTAAGATTTGTATATATACATGTGACATGAGAAATTTCAAAATTAAAAACATCTTTTTTCCCCACAGTAAAAACGAAAAGAACACAAGTGCATATATATACAAGTTCATCTGTATAAAAAAATAGACTTTTACGTGAAATAACATCCCTGTTTCATTTTATCTAAGTTGTTGTTATGTTTAACTTAAGGGATGCGCTCAACCCTTTCCTTTTCGTTTTTATCAGACACAAAATGAATTTCAAGTCGGGAAATATAGTACATAAAACAAGTATTATCCATTGATTATAATTATATGATTTACGTCTCGTTATTTTACAAGAAAGCCTACCGATTGTGTCAACATTTGCTCAAAATTCACTTTCATTTGGAATAGTATATATAGTGTTTCACCCAAGTACTAAACGAATGGGCTAAAATTGCAAGATGTAATCATTATTTATGCAAATTTGACCAACCAAGTCGAGGTACTTATATTCTGAAGTGATCCGGCACGTAAAGTTTGATGCGCTTTTTGTTTTTACAACATAAGTGAAATTAGACCAAAGTTCATGTAACATAATAAATTGCTTACCTCGTCGCTCAAAGGTTCACTGAGATAACTTGAAAAAGCAATACACACAGCTTGTATTGACTTGTTAGGTAGACTGTCTATTACATCTTGCATTGTCGTAACCCCTTTCTCACTGGGTGGCATTCGTCTCATGCAACTTGGATAATTTGGACCAAAACTGAAGTAATCCAACTGAGTAAAGTTCAGAGCTGCGTGGTAACAACTGGAATGGAATATTATCATAGTAGTGACCTCAACTAACTCCGGAAGTGACGCAAACTTATCCGGAAGTCCATTTGGTGGCCCCGCCGATTTTCGTAAACCATGTTCTCGGAGATCTGTTAGGAACGCTTGCAATTCCGTGTCGTCTGCTACGTCTTTATCACATTTGTAAAACAGTGATAAGATCTTTGTGACATACTCGGTTAACTTGTTCCAAATAAGCATTGCATCATCCCGGAAATGGTAATTTGGCAGCAACTTTTCATCGTCAACGCCTCGTTCGGCAAAGGCCCTTGGCATGATAAGTTCATTCACAGTGAAATCTTTAAATCTTTTTCTCATTAAATCACATTCATGTCCAGGAATGGCTAATATTTTGCTAAACACAGAATCTTCACCGTTTACTAGAAGGTCACGACCCATTTGACCGGAAGCCACAGTAAACAGGCAGTGCTGAATGAGCAGTTTATATAGCGGGTGGTTTGGTGGAAGTTGGCGGTGCATCGACAATGTTATTGCCTCCATTAAAAAGTGTGTCTGTACTAAATGCGAATAAATGCTTTGATAATGTGAATCTGTCGCTTTAACAAACATTTTTGCAAGCAACCAGTCCAATTCAGAATCATTGGCTGTCCATACAGGATTATTCGGTCCGGGTTCCTGGCTTAGTTGAATTGCAATGGGAACCAAAACTCCCGATTCACGAACATAGAACATAACAATCGGATCGGTTACGTATAACTGGCCATTTCTAGGTATCCCTGCCATGTGAGGGTAATCAACATAATAAATGTGACCAGCCTGAAAAAAAATCACATTATTTATTTATATATAGGAAAACATTTTGAAAATTAGTTATACAACATTTCAATGACTATATTTGCTTCATCAGGCACAGAACATTGTAATTTAAAAGACTCGTCAGCATCTGATTGTCTAGAAGTCATGTACTAATCTATTACCAATATCCTATCAACAGTAATGGTTCAAACCTTATTCGCATCTTAAACCACGTGATCAGACATTTAAAACCCGGAGGATGGCACTCATAGGTAAAACTAAATGATTAAAGTAGCTCTAAAACTTGACAGTTTAAGATAAGGCCTTTACAAGTAGCTCGGCATGCCACATTTGTAAGATTATATTATACTAGTATTACTATAATCTACCTTCATCTCTTCTTCTAACGTCTTTCCCCTGTCCAGTAGACCTCCCACCATATCGTTAGTTACAGGGAATTTTTGTATCGGTTCCTTGCATCGTCTGATCATAACTGGATTGACGCCCGCCAAAAATTCACGCCCAAATTCTTCGTCAGTGCGCCACCTATCGCTCTCTTTAATAGCATTAGACGTTTCAGAGCTAGGAACCACTTCTGACATTGTTTTGAAATCTTCAAATGAGTCGAATGATTGGAAAACAGTAGTGTATTTGTGAAGTTTTAATTTGATCAGGACGTCTGCAAGAATCTTCTTCTTTTCGATTTGCCTCTCTGTGGAATATTTGAGCTCGACCGGAAGTCCGTCGTATGTTTCAATGTCTGAAATTTGGTTCCGAGTGAAATTAGTTTAAATGAATGTATCAACGAAAATAAAACTAAGGATTAATGACATAACAAATTTAAAAAAGATATAGAAAGTTGTCAAACTGTACACTTAAAACAAGGTAGGTCATTGAATGTAATTTGCAGTTGCCAATTCAACATCAAACAGAATAAACTCGTTTAAAACGTATAAAATGTTTGCAAAATGCGAATTTTATAGATACACACCTATACACCCTGGCAAACCATCCTGGCGACACCATGGGTAGATTTTAGACCGTTCATCCAACCATATCTGACGTATATATTTTCTGTCCGAATTTCTCTCCTTTTGCAACAACATTGCTGCAAACAAGATAAACAAATGAAAATTCTTAATCAAGAGCAATTAAGCTGAATATTTACATGAATATTATGAGTCATGTAGTACCCTAACTCTTAATATTGTACTGATGTCAATATAATCCACGACACGGGAAGCTAGCAAGTTAAGTTTGTCATAAGCAGTATGCTTAGGCCACTGAGACAGAGTTGTTATTTTCGCCAACACCGATATGTTATACATGTACATGAATATCGAATGTCGACAGGGACCTTGGATTCTTATACGTGGCGAAGGATTTCAAATAACCTTAATTAAAGTATCGTATTTGTTCATAATCAGGCACATTCTATGCCTGAAATAAAGCATGGAGGGACACGTGCAACAGATCTTTGAAAATTGCTATTTGGTATTAGCAATTTATTACATTTCAACTCGTTGTAGTTTATACTTGTGTTATAAGTCTTGTATATGAACATGAATGCAACGGAAAACTTTTATTATGAATTAAAGAAAACTATATGATGTGCATAACGGAAAACTATAATGACGAATTAGGGAAAACTATATGATGTGTGTAACGGAAAACTATAATGACGAATTAGGGAAAACTATATATGATGTGTGTAACGGAAAACTATAATAATGAATTAGGGAAAACTGTAATGATTTACCTTCTCCAGTAGGTATCGTAATTTTGTCATTTATCCATCGGTAGACTGGCACCTCAAATAGTTTACGTGTTGTCAAATCCATTAAGACAATATTGTTCAGGAACCATTCTCTTTTGAAGGTATACTTTCCTCCAATCAAAAACACTTGTAGAAACTTGACGTCGCCAATCACAGGGACTGTTATATAATATGACTCTTTGCTCCCTCTTTCAAAATCATTATGAAAAAGTTTATCCAGAAGAATCTTCTTTGTTCGACCTTTTGTTCCTGAAAAAACAACAACAACAGATAAATGCAAAGTTTATGACATTTAAATTTGCAAATTTATTGAAATGCAATTCACTGTATGCATACCAATTATTAGAAAAGCTTAATGACATGAGCTGCCCGTACACTCGACTGTTGTCTGTGCTTGATAGTAAGAAAAGGGGCATGGCTCTGTAAAAAGGAAATCAGAGTTATGGGACCTACGGTATGTACATCATTTTACAAATTCACAGGGAACATATGTGTGAAGTTTCAAACCGTTTCCCTAGGTACGTTTAAAGATACCAACTTGCACGCAAAAACTTAATCAAAGTGTGACGACGATGCCGAAATTTGGGTGAGTACAATAGCTCTTCCTATTAATGGAACAGGTGAGCTAAAAAAAAAGTTCAGGGTTGCATTATATCCAAGAGAAGGAACATATACTGTAAATAGCTTGACTGTGTATTGCGGTATATATTAAGCGGAAAATTAATGCAAACTGTTTAATTGTAAAATAATCTAAGAAACTTATTTACCGTATAAAGCTATATAGACACCGGCATCTGTCCCTGAAAAGAGATGGTTTCCTGTTTCAACATGAACAAGAAAGGTTGTTTCCTTGTGACCTGTTGGTAATTCACCCTCTTTGTGTTTCTTTCTCGTACTTGAGGTTAGAACTTTTTCCTGAATGTGAACCAGACTACCAAAATTATCTTTTCCTTCCGGTGTAACCATTTCGATGTGTGCTGGAAAACTGCAGAAGTCATATTTGGCCCTCTCTGTTGAAACTTTAGGCACAGAATATGACAAGATAATATCAGCTAGATCATGCCACGGGAAGTCTGTCTCCTCCCACTCAGTTGACGGATCAAACACTGATTCTACATTTTCGTTTTCGTCTCGGATCTGAACTTGCAGTTTCATAGAAAGGTTTTCTTTTGCAATGTCCCGCAGTCTCTGTTGAAGGTATGTGTCCATGGGTAGCTCAATGTCTGGTCTCTGTATTATCCTACACGAACGAGATAACATGACTGAGTTTGAGATATTTTATGCAGCATTCTAGATGTTTTGATGTAAAAATGTTTTGAGCATGCACATCGTTTAAACACTGCGTACATATACATGTATCTCCATTCAAAAATTTCCGAAGAAAAAAAATCTCATTAATTTTTTGAAATTTGCACATAGAATATAATTAACCCTTTATTAAGACTGTACCTTAAGGTACTGTATCTCTCACAAAATTAATGATCTGTTTTTTGAAATTGATGTTACTGAGTACAAGCTATAAACAAATCTGTTGCAGTTGATTTAATGGAATTATTCAAATATTTTTTTTTCAATTTGAAAACTTTTAAAATACTTTATGCCCATGCAAATTGTATGTGTTATTAAATCCTTTCTATATTTGGACTGTCTGAAATTACCAAGCTTCTTCCTGTTCCTGTTTTGACAGACGACTACCAACATCATTCTTGCCATGTAGACGGAATCTGACAAGCTTGTTGCCATTTTCTGTTTTCACGGTAAACGTTGCGTAGTTGTGGTAATCTAGCTCCGTCCTACATTTCGGATACCTTCTGATCCCATCCGCCAACGCATAGTAACTTAAAAGAATTAGAGCAGTTGATAACATCTGTTTTACAAAATAAACTGTTTTGATAGAAGTTAACATTGCCTGAGGAAGAAAAAAGACTTGAATTACATAAAAAAAAACACATTAAAGAATTGCGTTTGAAAGAAAATATGATTAAAGGCAGGTGTTTATATCAAATATATATACATGTATACAAAAATATTGTAGAACTTTGCACATAACAGATGACTTTTGTTATATTTGAAAAAAGTACTTAATTGGAGTGTTTGATTACATTAATTCTGTGAGGCAGACACACGATAATGTCTAAAACTTAATAAAAACGTAAAAGAAACTTTTTTCGTATTTCAGCGATCCACTGCTTTGTTTGCTATAAACCTAAAGAGCATTTAGGCTTAAGACTCGAAATTCGACACATTTGACGTGTCTTTATTGAAACGTTTCTTTATTTAAAAAGTAATGAATTCTTTCTACCCATACCACGTTCAAAAGGAAACAGTATATGAGCCACGTCACGACAAAACCAACATAATGTGTTTGCGACCAGCATGGATCCAGACCAGCCTGCGCATCTGCGCACTCTGATCAGGATCCATGCTGTTCGCTTTCAAACCCTATAACAAGTAGAGAAACCGATAGCGAACAGCATGGATCCTGATCAGACTGCGCGGATAAAATTGAATATAAAAAATAACATAGTCAAATATAAAGACAGGGGACAGATAGCCGAAAACATCCAAGGAACTCACGGTACACATTCCGTATAGTACTACATTAATACTGGTATACGGTATATAGCCTGGGTCACCGAGGATGATGCATAAAACTCAAGCCCCCCCAGCTTTGAGATACATGTGTTATTAGTTGTTATAATGCATGTAGATAATCAGTTAAATTAAGATATTGATTCAATTAAATATAAGTGTTTTGTGAATAAAGTGAAAAGTTAGTTTTGTCTGATGCCCGATGTACTGATAGCCTTGCATGATTTCGAAACAGAAAGCAATTACTAAATGTATAAAGAGAGCATTTCCTTCGCAATGACAATAATATTTAATAATAATAATAAACTTCATACATAATTAATTAAAACCGGAATGCACTTGAAAAGAACTAAAGTTACAGTTGTCAAATATTCCGCGTTTCAGTTATGGCCCATTTCCCATAAAGATCTAAACAGTGAATTTAGTATTTTACTCTTTGGGTTAAATATATTTATTTTTATCAAGTTACAATGTTACACAACATACAGATGTATTAAATGCAATATCATGATAAAGTGAATTCAACTGAAAGCTAAAATCTTTTTTTAAATTCTCACCACTTCTAGCTAGACATCGGTACAGATTGTATACTCTTTTATATAAAATAACGTACTTGTTTGGCATACGGAGAGCCCAGTCTCGAGTACAATCCTCATCCCCGTCCAGTGCTGTCAGGAAGTCCTGAAGGGACGCTGTGCTGTGGTAACATGATACCCTACCAGTTGAAAATGCTAGGTCTAATGGGCCTTCACTCTCTGATTCACCGAACTGTGAAAAAAATAAGAAAAATAAAACCGCATACATTAAACAATAATGGAGTTTAGTGCTGAGACATCGCCTGGTTCAATTTTTGAAGAACAATTTTTTATTTATTTATTTTCATACGACATGCAGCTGCTATTTAGTATAGCAATGAATATATTGTGTGTTGGATGTCAATATACAAGCTTATATTATTGTTTGATTATAGTATTGCTTCCTTTAATACAATTCTTTTGATGTCACAATCCCCTCTAATTAACAATGAACAGTTCCAAATTCAAAACAGGACACGTTTATTGTATAAATTTAGGTAGATAAGGGTTAATAACGCAAGATATGATACAAGTACTTAGTCAATAATGTTTTATTATTAAAGTAGACATAAAACTATTTGATGACAACACGTCATAGTACACTTATTTAAACATTATTGACCATTCCGATATTAAATCAGATTAGTGAAAGTTTGATTCACCCATGATAACCTAGGAAAAACAAATATTCTTTTTCTTTTTACCATTTACAGTAACATTATGCCAATCCATAGGTACTTAGTGAGTAAACAGGTGAAAGTCAAAATAAGTTTACATTTTGCCATATTTCCTTTCAATTTTATAACTTACTTGCAGGCATGAACGATAAATAAGTCACGTGGCACAAGGAAATGTTTGTAACAAATCATCAAACTTTACAATAATGACAGCCAATCTTTTGAAACATATAGTCAATTCAGCTTAAGTTGACAATGAAAAAAATATGAACATTATGTGACTTATGTCACTTTTTTATAGCTTACATAGTAATCGAATTGCTGTATAATAGCTTGACCTCTAAATGTAGTATGTTACCTCAGGTTACTTTGCTTTTAAATGTCATTGCACTCAGGTATAAGCAATGTCAACAAAGTTACTGCTTAAAACCGTTTATGAATAAAAAATAATTCCGACGTTTTGCAACAAATCTTTACTTCAATACTTAAGTCTTTTTTGTTATTCTACTACAGATCAATATTTATTGGATTAACGTTATAAAACAGATTCGACAAAATAACCACACGTAAAAGCACAAACATTATTTTAAAAACAGTGGGAATGTCACAAAACAAGGTTTTCAATAATGACCAATAACCATACAAGAACGTTTTGGTCTTGTTGAAAAAACGACATCACACCGATGTTCCATGTGATATAAAGGATAAATCTATATGTAGAAATAAAAGTAATAAATATGTGTTTGGTTTTTTTTCAATTTCAGCAGGTAATTTGAAGAAAAAATAGTTTTGATTAAGCAGTTACAGTGATTGGCAAGAAAACATGCATATGAAATAAAGAAACTGCCGTATTTCTAGCTTTCTTTTCTTTAGGGAAGCTTTACGCCGAGTTACTTTTGGCTTTAACAGAAATACAATTAGTGCAGTTGCGTATAGCCTGCATTTGATATTTAGCTCTACGGTAACCACTGATTTACTATATGATTGCACACATATTTAGGTACATATCCTGTACTTATAATGGCTTTCTCTCGTGTGAGAAATAGATTAAAGATACTATAGTCAGATATGAGGTAAATCCATTATTTGTACTATATCTTCTATAATTAAAACAGGACAAAATCACCTGGGGCACATTTGACATTGATGCAAGATAACTCCTAAATATTGACATGTTAAACGGGTCAGATGTTGTCGCCATATTATTCGCATGACTTGATACTCAAATTTGCATATGTAAATTTTGATATTAAATGTAGGTAATAACTCGCGATGGTAAATTGGTAATTACTTGTTTACAGCGTATGTATTTTACATAAATTGTTTCATTCTCTATGTTACTTTCCAATAAGGAAATATAATGCTCTTATTGCACTTGTAGACTAAATTGCTCTTAACAAGATAGAGCAAATGTTTAGTGAGGCTTTTAAACGTTTCAATTGAAACTCTTATCAGAAATTGTTGGACAAGTTAAAGCTAAAATAAGACATTCCAGCATAGCTACATATATATGTGTTCATATAGTTTTATTTAATGACTGTGTAAATAATACAGTTAATCTTAATTGCAAAGCAAGCAGACAGATCCGTTGAGTCAGAAAAATCTACAATTACATAACAAAAAGGCATTAAATCCATAACAGTACTAAACTGATGAAATGCCGAAAATCATAGCTATACAAATTATATATATTTTTTTTTTGTTTGTGTGTCAAGGAACACTACTGCCCTTTGATAGAAAAACATTGAAAGATCATAAAAACTCTATTTTCTTCCACATAATTTAGCTAAGACTTCAGGCGTCATTGATTCAGCTTTCTCACAAAAGTTATCTCGGCATGCATATAGAGGCTCGAACCCCTGACCTTATACATTTATTATATGTCTATGTCATAACATTAGGTATGTATATGTATTTACACTTTTTACTGTAATTGCACTTTATTAAATTAACCATGCCTAATGTATTTAACCCCATACTTTAATTTAGTTGATTTATCTAAGATTGTGTTAGTTGGATCACTTGTACAGGCTACTGGTATATATTTTTGTAAAGATATACAAAATGTCCTGCTGCGTTATATAAGTTTATAGGTTGCTCTCCCGGGGATTGTAAGGAATAAGGGTTGAAGGTAGAAATTTGCTGGTAAGCTATTATACAAAATTAGTGAATGATTGATCCCAGCGTATCAGTAAATAGAAATTCGAGAATTTGTTATGCATGATCATAATAATAATAAAACATACTGTTCACAGAGAGTAACTGTTGCTTTTAAATATTCAAGAAATAAATATTAGTTTTGCTTTTAAAATGTGATAATGTTCACGGGTGTACGAGTATATGTGTATATAAACAGTTTTCTATAATCATAAACTTGAACTGGATAGTTCATAAATGTCATCCTAGGCTATGCATTTAGTCATGAAATATATCCCCTTGTCAGTAATGATTATCGGAAATACCTATTTATATATTAGCGGATGCATAAAATTTTCCATTCATTTGTATGTCACTTTGAACTATTCATGCCGAACACTCTAACTATTAAAGCGTAATAACAATATATTATCAAAAAACGACTATTTTTTTTGTGAAATGTGTCGCCATCACATAACGACACAAATGAAATAAATAAAATATCGTATCTTCTTTCCGTCAGTGTTCGGACCAGGACATCGAATACAGTATTTAACATAATTATACACATTATCAAAGATTAACTCTCTCTTTTTGTTTACAACTAAAACCACGTGGAACTACTTTCAATTCGTATTACGTCCGAGGTTATTATGAATAATAGCCGAGGTGTGCCGGTTGGTAAATGATGTAAAGAATTCGTGTTGGCATGATAAAATTGTATATACTTTTACTGAAAATAAATATGACATTTGACATCTGTTGAAAAGAGATGCCAGTTCTTTATTAACATATTTTAAATATATTCTCGAAATGGTATTTAATTGTATATAATAGAAGAAATGGTATCATTGATAGATAAAGGACGTAAAGCTCATTTTACGCACTTCACAAAAGGATTTACACAATACTAAGATACTGTGATATCTTACTCTGATTCAAACTTGTAAAGAAATTTATACAAGAGAAAAATATATTCAAACTCTCAACATTTCAAGGATCTTTTTGAAAATGGTCGACTGTTGATAAATTTGAGGGAAAATAAAAATGAATTTATAAATAAATGCTGACATTATGATGTATACATGCAGAGACTGATATGCTGTAAGAAACAATGCAATTATGATAATATGCAAATATTGTGCATTTAGACAATCCATTATGTAAATTGAAACATTTAAAGGCACATAAAGCCTACAAAATGTTAGAATTATGTTTCTGTAGAAAGGACAATCATGGGTTTTATAAGGTTGAGATACAAGATTTAGAACATATGGGGTGCATATAACGTAAGAGAAAAAGCGCTGATTGTGAAATGATTTTAAAAGGTATCAAAATGTAAACAAAATAGTATTTTGACTTTCATATAGAATACTAAATAACTGTACTGTTTGCCGAAAGATAAAAGAAAAAGATGGTTTAATATTTTTGGCAATAGTATCTATTTAGAAACTGTTACAGGATATTAAAAATGAAGAAAAAAAAACAACAACAAAAATTTGAATTTCAAATAGCAAACAATAGTAAGGATAGTGATAAAAATGGGGTTACAGTACCTTAAGGAATGCGCACCGGAAGTCATCAGAAGCGTCATCTCCTCGTGACAGATTGAAAAATCTCACTCGTATCTGATTCACCTTCCCCGGTCTGAAAAATTCCAAAGGTCCCTGTAGCGGAGATTTTGCATCAATAACAGCATAACCTTGGACCTCCTCGCCCCAAAGATCGTTCGCACTTCCTGTTAATTGCCATTTCATCTTATACCACTGCACCGACGCTTTCCTAATCGTGTCCGCAGTGAAACTTTGTGAACGCAGTAGTTGCTAGAACGGTAAAGAAAATACAAAGATGATAAATGATGTAAAGGGAAACATTTTATACAGCTGATAACAACCGTGAAATATTTATGACATAGCTTTACAAACTTAAAATACCATAATACCTATGATTATGTTATCAGTATTTTTCAGTTTATTTGACAGTAAATGCACTGACCTTATAAATGATGCGTTAAAAGCAGCATTCGACGAAGTTTACTGTATATAGATTGCGAAATTAAAACAATGGCTTCAACTCATATCCAATATAAAGATATACAAACCGGTTTTCCAGGTTCTGTCCCATCTTTCCTCTTCAGTGATCTGTATATTTGAAAACCACAGTTTTTCCATCCGTCTTCCATCTTTACCTGGAATATCACATATATAACTCTACGTTATACAACAAAGACAGGTGTATTATTGTACGTAGTTCCTAGAAAGTTATGGAACTTGTCTTGCATTAAATTATTCAGAACACGTCTACACTTCACGGGACATTGTCATACGTATTCTCATCGTTCATTAAATTTTCAGGGAGTCATTCCGTACTTTCATGTGCGATATTTGTGAGTCAATGACAAATATAGTAGTAACATACACGATCCTGATCAAATACGGACTACAAACTTCCTTATAGCTCCAGAACTGAACCATCAAGAGTTCGTGATCTTGTCTGACTGCATGTTCGAGCATATAAGTACATAATATGTTAATATATTACAATATAACTGCAACTAATACAATATTTATGTAGAACATAAAGCCACAGTGATACCGTAACTGTAGCCGATCTTGCATAGAAGATCAATTAAAAAAAGCAGGCGGCATATATTAAAGTGAATGAGATATGTTGTGCCTTATATTATCAATACCCTTATATACTATTCAGTTGTAACGACGGTCCCTGCATCCAGGGGCATAGATAGGACTTTGACCTCCGTATTGCAGGGGCAAACAGAAGGTAAAACCGGCATATTTCCCTGCTATACCCCCTTTCCCTAGGACAAGTGGGTCGTGGTAACAACTGATCAGTGCATAAAGTGTTTAAATACCCTGGTTGAGATATTTGCTTCTATTAGAGTGAATATTGTCATATACATTTGATGTTCATTCTTTTACATAACGTATATACTTTTGAAATGATTCACTAACACAACATACATCAGTTTGACGGCAACATTGTCATATCATGCCTTAGCAATTATGAACCCCAGCGAGACTTTAAATTGAAACAGTGTCACAGATATTGACTTTATTTGGTTGAGTGCGACCTCCTATCATTTGATCATTTTACTTTACTGTAAAGTTTTAATGTGTTGTAATTTGCTAAAAACTAAATAGATGATTTTTGTAAACGTGCAAAATATTTTCTTTAATACAAAATAGTGTACACACGGAAAGATCCAAACTACTAATGAACTCTACATAACGAGAGCGCCAACGTTGCCATTTTCTTTTTCTCATTTATTTTGAAAGCGTCGACATGACAAGATATTTTACTTCTGTATGCCCTTCGTTAAAACATTGAAAATTTATTATATCAACAATGTCACCTATAGAATTAATTGGTTTAAGGAAATACGTTTATTTTGGACTTCACAATAGGAACAGAATTTAATTTCATCGCTTCCCATGCTAATCTTTTTTAGTATTTTCTTGTATTTGAACTTTTTACATTATTTCAAGTATGGTCATAAGGTTGTAACATTTATGCAAATGAAATGTTCTTGTTGGTGTATAAAGCGGAAATTAACGAAATATACCGAACTTTAACGAGGTTATGATAGATGTATTTCCCGTCAGCTACCTTATCAATTAATAATGTAAATATAATAATCAATGCATGAAGTTTAAATATGATGGTAAAATGATGTAAATGTTTGTGAGATAATTAACACACGTACACGAGATTTAATAGGACTAGCTTATTGAATTTGATTAAGTTCTGTTCCCTTAAGATAATTATATGGCAATGACATTAACACAGAAAGTATTGAAATATTTATGAAAACCGGAGTACGATCATTGTACCTTATCATGTTAATTATCATGATCGTGTACGATATTGGCTTTATCCACAATATATGCACTACAACATCTAAATTATTTCTCATTTATATTGATGGTTCAAAGCAAATAGGGGAAGCAGGAAGTGTTGGCTGTATTTCGATTTAAATTTATATCATTATCTGTCTTTTAAAAAGTGCGGACCACCGACATACCATAAATTATGTTAATGTAATGGCATGTAAATAAACAGTCATGTAGAAATACCTTTAAATCTGATAACGTATACCTTTTATGATCCACTATGTACATAAACAGCAATACGTTATTATAACGATAGAAAATATGGGCCCTTGATCTTTTGTTCATAGAGATTTGTTTAAATTGATTTATCCGAGAACAGACAATAATCTTCAGGAAAAGAGCGGCAGTTAAAAAGGCTGCAGTCTCCATCACAGCCTTACTGAATACTTAATAAAACATTTCTAGATAAATCATGCCAAGTTTGATCAAATGTTTTCCCACTCTTTTTGCACTCTCTAAGTGCTATTATCACACCATATTATCGTATTATTGTGCTATTTCATCCCTCGTTTATTGGTGCAAATTACAAAAATAGTCCCCGCCCTGTAAGCATGTGCATTACTAAGAGAAAAAGGTCATATCAAATTTGTCATGTTTATATTCTAATTGTACGTTTTTGATACAATGATCATTTACACTTACCATTATATAATTTAGTATTTTCACGTACAAATTACAAATAGGAGCCTGCTTTTCGTACGTTTTCTTTTCAATTATCGTTTAGTTTATGTGCTTATTTTGTTTTCTTTTTTTCCTTTCTGTGGGCGGGTTCAAGTTACGGATTTTTAGCTCATTGCAGCAGAGGAAACCTCAAGTGGACCCTTCTTGCATTAAATCCTGCCCAGACCGGATACCTGGATAGAACCAACAACTTTTACAGTATTCTAGAATGCGCATTTTCTGCATGGCCTCAAGTCTTTGAGTGAGCTTTTATACAAGTCAAATACCACAAAACATATTAGGTTGCTGGTATCAATGTCGTGTTTAAAGTACAATGTAGATGCAAAAAAATGACTTTGCTATAGGAAAACCGAAGCAACAAAAGCGATAAATATCTCCCTCAAGCTACATATAGATATACAACGATAACCTGTAGATATCGATATTGATTATACACGTCATTAATTCAAAACATTACACAGACGTTGGATAATTTTATCTTACAAAAAGTCTGTCCTTTCATAAAGCAAGTATGTGATATATATTGGGAGAGGACATTATTAATACGATTAATTACTTCATCTGGCTAACATAAATTTGAAATAACAGACCTTTTACCGCACTATTTATCAGATCATCTTTCCAACCATTTCTGTAACAGGGCTTTAATGCAAATATATTTTAATACAGTGCCAATATCAGTGGAAACTGGGGCGAAAACGGAACAGCCGGTTGGTTAAGAAGCACGACTGATATATTACGTAATAGGTACCAGGGAAATACTGTATAATTACTTAATTTATCAAACGTGTACATTATAAAGTAACTAAGAAATTTTATTTAAACATTTACTGATATTCAATGTGACAATTTTATAATAATATAATTGTGAAGTAAATGACCTTCAAAATGAATGTTAAAAACTTAATACATGTATAACTGCAGGCAAACCTTTGCTAAACAGACCACGTCAAAATAAACAGAACAGAACAGAACAGAACATATATTTTATTTTGAATTAAGCATATACAGCTCATCTTCATATACAACAAATATATACATGCATGAATATGAAAAATGGTAAACGCATATCAATAAATGAAATAAACTAGTGAGAGTGTAATACAACACATGTAATATTTACAATCCTTATATAACTTTAAACAATACAACAAGGTGGTCTTATATAGCATTATCCGGCATTCAATGAATCAAATCTCAATTTAAAAGCTTTATTACAATATATAGCTAATTTTGTTAACACTGACTTCCTTTCTGAATTCAGCAATTCTAAAAATTTAAACATACTAGGGTTTCTTGTAAAATAGTTGGATATATACTGTTTTCTAAGAGAATCATACAAAGTACAAATCAATACAAAGTGATATTCATCTTCGATGTCATTATTGTTGCAAATAGTACATTTCCGGTCATTTCTATCAATATTATTGTGTCTACCTGTTTCTATTAATAAATTGTGAGATGATAATCTAAGTTTAGCTAATATATTTCTTAATTTCATAGAGTCAACAATATCCAGGTATTTAGACCTGCTAAAATCGGTTTTGATATGTTTATACAAATACAAAGAAGAACAAATATGTACACTAGAATGCCAATTTGTGATATAAATATCTTTTAAACGACCATGTAGGACTGGTATTAATATATTTAGCTTAACTGATTCTGGATACATCCACACATCATTAAATCCAGCACTTTGCAAAAGTGTTTTTACTTTAGACAACCAATTTACAGTATTAGACTTTGACTCTATCTCCAATCTCTGACAATTAACAATATAATTTAATATACAATTGCTTGTTTTATTTTGGTATAATTTTATAAAATATTTAACAATTCTTACATGACGTGAAATATATAATGGAAATCGGCCTACTTCTGCAAACAGTGAAAGAGTATTTGTTGACATTTTCACATTAAGCAACCATTTACAGAACTTCCTATGTACAATTTCCAAATTTTCCGATGGTAGGCTACCCCATACCTCGCAACTATAATTTAGAATTGGTAGAACATATGCATCAAACAAGTTGAACATAATATCAATGGGAACTTGCTTATCTCGTGTTACATTAAATAATGAGCTCATAGCCCGTAGTGCTTTGCCTTTTAGTGTGTTGGTCGCTGGTATGAACGAACTTCCGCTAGACAAAACAATACCTAGGTAATTAAACGTTTTTACAATTTCTATATTTAACCCCCCCCCATATATCCACTTATAACTTTTATTTAAAACTCCGCCCTTTCTAAAAACAACAATCTTAGTCTTATCTACGTTAACAGTAAGATGCCATTTGTTACAATATTTTTCTAAACTATTTAAGGAATTTTGTAAACCTTGAGCAGATTCAGAACAGATAACGGCGTCATCTGCAAATAATAGCAAATAAATCGATATTTGATCTAATGTTATACCATCATCTAAATTTTCTTGTAATAAATTTTCTAAATCATTCAAAAAGAGACTGAACATTATTGGTGAAGTTATCTCACCTTGAAAGAGACCCATTTCACTACTGAAAAATTCAGACAACGTATTTACATGTTTTACACACAATTTAACATCTTCATACATTGAATATATTACAGAAAACAATTTGCCATCAATACCACATTTTATCAGTTTATACCATAGGCAGTTCCTGTCAATTAGATCATATGCTTTTTTAAAGTCAATAAAACAGCAAAATAGTTTCTTCTTATCATTTATAAACCTTTCGATCAAAGAATGTAATATAAAAATAGCATCTACAGTGCTATAATCTGCTTTAAACCCAAACTGGGCATCCGTAATTTTGTCATTTTCTACAGACCATTTCTTCAGCCTGTTATTTATAATCACTGTGAAAAATTTAGCAAAACAACTTGTTATCGTAATTCCCCTATAATTACTCGGGTCTGTTGAATCACCCTTTTTATGTAAAGGAATAATAATACCGGATGACCAACATTTTGGGAAAGATCTACTATCAAGAATATAATTAAAAAGCAATTGTAAAGGATTCACAATATCATTTATACATGATGTAAAGTACTCGTATAAGATGTTATCAGCAGAACAAGCTTTATTACTACCTAAGCTTTTTGATGCTAGAATAATCTCTTCCACAGATATCGGTTTATCAAGTTCTTCAAATGTAGCATTGTTGCCTTCTGATTCTAAGAAAGTTTTTACAAAGTCATCGCAATCATTATTAGTTTCACGTTTATCATGATTTGTAGAAAGATTTTTAAAATGTTCATAAAAAGAGTCAACTGTTATTTCTTCACCCCGATTTCCTGGCGATTTCTGTTTAAAAGTCTTCCAGAATTCACGTGGTGATTTATGTTTTATTGTATTTAGAGATTGGGCAAATGTTTTATTATAATTATTTTTACATTTACGACAATAATATTTATAGTCCTTTTTCTTGGTATAAACGTTCATTCTTTTCTCATCATTTGGGTTGATATTATATTCATACATTGCCTTCTTAAACAATTCATGTTTTTCTTTGCACACTTCGTTATACCACTTTTGCCTGTTTACGTCTGTACCAGTAAAATACACAGTTTTACTTTTTGTGCAGCGTTCAAAGTATTTCTTCCCATTTAAATGTAGAAAATCTGTGAATTTATTTACTAGTATATCGGGTACTTCTCCATTAGAAACATCATTTAACAAACTGTTTTCTAAATCAATAATGCCGTGTCTAACGTCATTTACAAAAGCATCTTTATATTCATTATTCCACTTGTAATACGTATGTTTTTTGGAAGATGTACTTGATAGCTCAGTATTAATACCGAATGAGAACGAGATTGGCGCATGATTTGAAAAGGTATTGAAATCTGTAACATTAAAACTGACAATGTCCTTAAAATTACCCTCTTCCGTCAAAACATAGTCGACTAGACTTTCTCCGTTGTGTGTCATACACGTCCGCTTACCGATACCGTTATCGTTATGTAGTCTTCCGTTAACAATACGTATATTGGTTGATTTACATAAATCAATTAACAATTCTCCAAATCTATTCGCTGTTACGTCACACGTTGCGCGCGGGAGCGCCGAGTCAATATCAAATGTATCATCGTTTCCTATTATTCGATCGTTATCAATATAATCATGTTTTTTACCAACCCTAGAGTTAAGGTCGCCCGAAACAAATACTTTTCCTAATGTGCTATATCTATTTATATCATTTTCAATTTTTCTAAAAATATCAACGTCATACGTATTGTGAATAGGAGAATTTTCTGGCGCTATATAGGTTACTGCAAGATATATGTCTTTTTCTATTTGAAAAAATGTTTTATCCAGTTTTAGCCAAATTAAGCAATCAATGTCATTTTGAACAACTTTAACCCCCTTACGGCAATTATCCTTTATATAAACTATAAGTCCCCCGCTAGATCTTCGTGCCCTCCTATGCTGAAAGCGTCTGTATGAATGGATCGGATTACTGTATCCGTTAAGGTCAATTTTCGACTTTTTGTTAGTCCAGGTTTCCGACAAGCATATAATATCAAAGTCTTTCAATACAGCTAAAAACTCGGACGAAGATCGTTTTGCCTCGCTAAATCCTTCAACATTCCATGACACACAATTCAGAACACTCTCACGTGTAACCTATTTCGTACCGTTACCGTTGTATAATTGCTTATTGATGTACAGCTTGTCAACCTTCAAAAATGCCTCATCACCGTTTTCCCGTGCTTTTTTCATGATTGGGATTAACTGTTTTCTAGTCTCTATGATTTCACGGGGAAATTGTTCGCTGATCCCGAACGGTGTGCCGTTTAATTGTTTTGATGATTTTCTGACCTTCTCCCTGTCTGGAAAATATGCAAACTTTGCAACTATAGGTCTTATTTTCTGGTGGCTATATTTCCCTATTCTATGAGCTCTATGAAGTTTAATGTTCGATTTTGCGTCATTGATTTTCAGCTTATCTTCTAGGAAGGATAATATCTTGTCCTCACAGTTTTCATCTTTCTCTTCACAAAGGTTATAGAATATCAAATTATCTCTCATACTTCTACATTTTAGGTCTATAATTTCAGCTTTCAAGTCATCTTCTGAGCTTTTTTGTTCACTCTTTTTCATAGACTGTATCATTTTTTCGAGCTCATCCTGCCTTTTGTTTATACTGTCTAATAAACTGCTGTCAAAGGCTCGGCTGTTTTCAATGTCCTGGATTTTGGATTCTATTACATTTATCTGCTTGCTCATAGTGTCTGACTTTACCGTTAACGAGTTCACACTAGACTGAATAGTTTCTAAATGGCTGAGTTTCTTGTCCATCGAATCTAATCTTTGTATAATAATGGACATCATATCACTTTGTGTATTCACGTTTCGAGGTGAAGTTTCTGGTGAGAATAATGGTGACGCTGAATTCATTGCCATATATTGATTATTACAGCTTTGATATGGTAGTTGGGGTGGTAAACAAAAGTTATGACTTGCCTGGTATTGACTACCGGTCATATTTGGTGTACCCATTTGAATTCCTCCGCCATTTTGTTCCATTGTGTTTGAACGTTTTGTCACAGATTGCACGTTACCCGGTGATTCTTTCGTCTTTTTACGTTTTCTGGGCATTTGAAACTTTGAATACAGTTACAATACTTCCATGCATACACTATTTTAACAATAATCCGTCTGATTTAGAGATTTAATCCATTTTTTCTCAATTTTTACCAAGAGCTTTTCAAAATTTGCTACCATTTTTCACGCATGCGCACAACTCAATAATAAAGATAACGCATATTTAATAAAATAAAACCGTGTAACCTAAGTTACCTCATTTTTTTCAATGTGAAAAATACTTGTTAGCGTGTTTATAAAAATGACTATTGACAAAATGGGTATTTAATTTCATTTTTTTTGAAAAGACGTTAGTAATCAAATACACAAGATGTGCATCGGTAAATAAAACGATACGTAGTATATTTGTATGATAGAGAAAAAACTAATGGTATATTTTGAGGAAAAAATGGAAATCCTTTGAGAGTTACGAAAAAGAAAGTTGATTAGGCAGCATGGCCAGAAGCCTGATCAAAAGTGCAATAAGAACCGGCCTAAGCAGTAAATCCGAATGACCATAAAATACACATCAACGCGGATATCATATTAGAAACCTCATGATAGAGTGTGTTTCCTTCTTATAAACAATGGTTTTAAAAACAAGGTCGCCTGTATTTGTATAAAAACAAGTTTTATATGTTTGTAACCTTATACAAGTGCATCTTTACATTGCACAAACATGTCATAAATTTTATGGTTACGATACATACAAACACCTAATTAGGAGGTGTGTTTGTTTTGCTTTCTTCTGCTATTGAAATTTTTGCGACCAACCGCAGTTACATAAAAAGAAGCAATACAGTTTGTCTACACTGAATGTACATACTAGAAAGTATCTTTTGAAGTAAATATATAAAATATTGTAACAATAACATTGAATTTTCTTAATGTATCAAAATTATGTAATAGAAAGAGCATTGAAACATGAGGCTATCTGGTTTGTACGAGGGGGCATAGCCCTCAAGTTTAAATCAGATTGCCGAGTGTTTTGATGTTCTTTCTCTTTTGTATCATAGGCAAAAATAAAAACACGTTCACTGTTGTCAAAATGTGAAACTCCAGAAAAAAATATCAAATGAACGAGCATCTGAATATGATATTTCTATTTCTATCCTTTTCTCTGTCGTTACAATAAGTAAACCCCAGTTTTAAGTAGATTATAGATAAAATGTTTGCTTTGTAAAAAAAACAAGATCCATCTTTATGCTCTTTTGATCACTAGAATTGTCGTGGTTAACCGCTTATGAACATACTGCATCCGGTGTTACACTCGGTGAAACATACTAAAACGAACAAATATTCTCTCCGTTTTGACTTACTAAAATCCAGTTATTTGAACAGTATACTTTAATAACTAACATCGTCTATCATATCAAGTATATCAATATTAATAATTGCGGAAAACAACAATGAATTACCTGCCTGTTTCGCTTCAAGTTATTATATGCGCATAAATAATAATCCACATTCACTTAATGTCTAGTCAACATTTTCACAAATCCTTCCCTATAAGTTGTACAGTTAGATAAGAGCTTAATTTTTTACACAGAATAAACAACTGAGCACATCAAAAAAAGAAAATCTTAATATGCTCGTAGGCGTTAGTACGCAAAATGTAAACATCGAATGACCTTTAATCTCAAGCGAGTGACAAGTATATACATACACATACTTTAAAACTATTTCAGTCGTCTGGAGAAAGGCGATTAAAGTAAATTTCTCGTGTCAACCTTTCTGCAAGACTACACACCACCATAATTACGATTGCGACTTCAATATCTAATTTATTTTATAGGTACTTTAGCTTTTTGATATAATGAAAACCCGAGCATTGAATATCGATATTCGAATTACAAGATTTATTTATTACACTTCGTCATAGCTATTTATTAACTGAATTTTAAAATCGTCTGACTTGGCAATATAATTGGTCTGAAGAAAGGTTTTCACTTCTTCGTTATATGTAAACCGTTTCAAAAGAAATATAGTATGGACATGTGTATCAAGAGCGGACATTAAGAGTATGAAACAAAAATAACTTTGCCATACACATAATGAAATCAGAATTTGGTTCAATTTAAACTCTCCCAGTTACTTAGTAAAATGAACTTATAAAATTAGGACTTACAAAAAAATACTACTACTACTGCTGCTACTGCTGCTGCTGCTGCTGCTGCTGCTGTTACTGCTACTGCTACAGGTACTGGTACTGGTACTGGTACTGGCACTGCTACTGTGGCTGCTACAGCTACTGCTGCAGTCACTGCCACTTCAACTACATACTACTGCTGCTACTGCTGCTACTACTACTACTACTACTACTACTACTACTACTAGTACTACTACTACTACCACCACCACCACCACCACCACAAAAATGCAAAACTAATTAGTCGGAATAGCATGCAGATCAAATGTATACATACATTGTTTTCAATTTGAAAGTACATCGGTTTGTTTTGTACGTATTTTACTAAGTTATTAACATTTGACTATAATCAGCACAATCTTTGAAATTTTGTTACAAACCAAATAATTAGACCGTTATTATGTAATTTCATTTAGACATACGCAAAGGGCTAATAAACTTAATATAGCGTATATAAATACAAGTATACTGTGTAGTTTCATACATGTGTAATACTATATACTACATAATTACAGCAAAGGCAAAATTAATAACCGAATCGTGTACATGTATAGCCCGAAGTGTATGACATACAAGGTCTATTAACCCAAATACAAATGTTTGCGTAGTCTTTCAACATTTACCTCCCTTTGATCTATCCTCGTTTCTTAAAATCCTTGTCGCTCATAAAATTCTTGTCGCTTCATAAAATCCTTGTGTGTTGAATAATGTGTTTTTTTGATGCAACAATCGCAAATAAAAATGTATCTTTTAAGTTTAAATGTAAAATATGTGTTTTGTTACGGGACCAATTAGAGTAAAATCATTTGTTTTTACTCATTCAAACAGTTTTCATTTAATTTAAACATTATCAATGATGCAGCCAATTTTCTTTGATTTATATAAATGTAGCGTTTAGACACAAACATGTTGAAATGTATAGAGGGAAGTGAACTATCTGAAATATTTAGATAACTACTATAATATGAATAGAGGGAAAAGTAGAAATATATTAATACGTATTTCATAAAGTTGCTAGTGGCCAACAATTTAACATCAGTCGTAATGCCATGATTCCTTCAATATTTTTCCATAAAATATATGTTCTGAATGAAATTATTACCTATTGTATTGCACATAAGATCACAAATTTGGCACATGAAAAAAACCCTCATCTCATATAGTGTGTCCCTTTATCATATATATGTGATGTAGATAGTTATGATAGTAAAATAAAGAAAGGAGAGAGATGGCCTAGTGGAAATCATTGGTTCGAGCCCAACTATGATAACAACTTTTTGCTTCTGCATATTTTACCAGTGGTTAAACACAGGAGACAATTTAGAGAATAGTTCAATAAGCTCATAACTTTCCTCCAATTGAACTTTTACAATTATTTGAGCCGCGTCACGACAAAACCAACATAGTGGGTTTGCGACCAGCATTGATCCAGACCAGCCTGCGCATCCGCGCAGTCTGATCAGGATCCATGCTGTTCGCTATCAGTTTCTCTACTTGCTATAGGGTTTGTAAGCGAACAGCATGGATCCTGATCAGACTGCGCGGATGCGCAGGCTGGTCTGGATCCATGCTGGTCGCAAACCTATTATGTTGGTTTTGTCATGACACGGCTCATTTAAAATTTAACTAAAAGGAAACAATAAAGAGTACAACATGCGTACGTAATCAGGGTTAAAATACAAATGACTTGAGTACTTTTCCTTGTCGTATTTTAGCTACGGGAATAGTACAAGAGAATTATCCACACTTTTGTGAAAGAGAATGCCTCTAAGAATTTAATAGTAAACAAGTTTTCCGCTCAGACTAATAATTTTGATGATTCAGCTGTCACAGCATGATATAGTGTATTTAATGAATGAAGCACTGTGTTTCTTAGTTCATCTTGTTTTGGCTTCATTAGAATCCTGTCTAAATACAGAAAACTAAACATGTTTGTCTCAATTAACAGGGACATGTTTTTGTTGTGTTTTTTGTTTTGTTGTTTTTTATTATTGTTATTGTTTTTGTTTTGGAAAAACAACTTTTTTTAACAAAATGCATTTGTTTGAAATATTTGTTTGTCATAATTCCAGTTTGATACAAAATGAAGATACTTGCACGATAATTTACAAAATTATATACAACATAGTAGAAGTTGCAGTTTCTGCGCAATTCGACTTCATATCACTTTACATCCAGCAGCCACGTGTTCGTGCCCCCGCCTAATTTCCCTTATCAATTTGAATTACTTAGCTTTCGAATGAAACTTTATCGAAGTTCCCAGATTGATGTTGTTGAATAACAAGTAATTATGGAATGCAACGTCTTGCATGCCTATCTAAAATGGGTTTCAAGGGGTTTTTTTTTTTGCAATGAAGAAACTGGATTTTTTCCCTCAAGACTTGTGTACCATTTGTTGTAGGTCCTGAATTGTAATTTGTATGCAAAATTTCAGATCATTTATTCCACTCCGTTTGCCAAGAATAATAACTTTTATTGTGCAAAATGGTCATGAAAGGAAAAGCATTGCAACGTTTTTCACTCAAAGCTGGTGAAAAAAATCGATTTTCAATATAACTCTGAAGTTTTTTTTCTGTTATTATAATTATTTGGCAGACTTTTCCACTTAAGTGCATCAAGAATTTTAAACTTTATCTTTTAAGGCTTTTTGACATCAGTGGAACTCTTTTAAGTTAAATGATTAAACATCTTTTGAGTTTCACTTCAGTGTTGTTATATTTTTCTGGTCCTTCGGGATCATTGTTCCACCACTTTTAAGTGTTGAAAATAGAGTACCGCTCAAGCCGGTGCTAGTGGGCGTGAGGAACGTGTTGCGCATTTTCATTATTCCGCATGTACAGACACAATCAGACCGAGCCCGCAATTTTCATGTAATTTTGTTGTGATTAATGCTTCCGAGAGATCACACTTTGTCCAGACTTATAAAACAAATCTTTGTTTAGTTAAATTCTATGTATCCCTACCCGATTCTTCGATGACTGTTGTTGTTATTAACCATTCTGATCATAAAACAGTGCCAAACATTACAATAACTTCTTTGGATCCTTTTACAGAATAAATATTTTCATCTGGCTATTTTAATAAGGTATAATAACATTTCCATGTACTTTTAATTGATGGGATTTAACCATTTAATTTTTTTAAGTCAGTTATTACATTAAGAGGTAAAAGAAATATGATTTTATTACCTGAAAGTAGGCAAACATTTTTTTTATTTACTTCCTCTGACCTGACCAAGTACGTAACGGAAGCTTATTGATAAGGACGCCATGGCCAGAGACGCTTAAAACCGTTTAAGAGATAACTCTCAGACTAATCAAGATTGATTAACCATAAAATAATCATTTTTTTCTTCGACTTTTTATTTCCAAGACTGAAGAAAGTCGCAATATAGAGAAAATGAATTGCCTGTCACAAACAACCTACCACTCTTTGATTTATGATCACTTAACAGCTCTATATATTTTTTAACGTTCTCTCAAGGCTGTAAAAAACTGATAGCAAGAAAATGCTTATTTCATCACAATACTGCCCGAGTGTTTCAGTCCAATCACATAGACTTTATGTATTAAGAACTTCCTCTATTCACAATACGTTTTGATAGAGCATTTTCCAGAAAGTTTGTTTGTTTCGCCCGTTATGTTTAGGACATTGACATGAGCTTTTCTCTGCACGCCAGATTTCTGTTTCTAGTGTGTCGTTAACACTTATCAGATCAGTGCGGCTTGTGGAAATCGAAAAAAAAGGGAACGTTTTTTATAAGTGGGGTTTGAATCCAAGACCGACCGCCGTTTTGCTCTATCTTACACCAATCTGCTTACTTACTCTTCTATTTGAATGTTACCCCCCGAAAAATGACTTACATTTAATTGCTTTATTTTTTTCTTATAGTTTACCCGTTTGAATTGTTGTCATATCGAAATATCAACAATTGAATAAGTTATCTTCTCAGTGGATCTCCAGGGTAATACGTTATTGCTTCTATCTTGAAATAATCACCACTTCTGGAAAGTGCAATTAGAAACTTATGAAGTATAATTTATGTGTGCAGTCTACAAAAACAGATACAAAAACGGAATCCCTAAAGAACGCCCAAAACGGCAAAATTGAAACTATATAAATCAGGAATTTTACTTAGCAGGAGATGTGATGTACATGAACAGGTTTTTTTTCGCCTCTGATCTGATATTATCATGCGGGTTAGACGGAATTTAGTCATGTTTGTGGCACGGTTAAATAAGAAAAGTTATAAGTGCAAAGATCTTGGGAAATGAGACACAATAATGAGACAAAGCTAAGTCTAGATTCTAATGTTGTATCAAATTTTTGTATAAAAAAGTCTTAAATATATGTCATTTTATGACCTCAACGGCTTTAGAGCTTTGATATGTGTACATCCAGGGGAATAATCTATATGCTACTGGAATATAAAATCAGTAAGGGCGTTTCTTATTTTATCTTTTTAAATAACAAGAAATCATCCTTACGAGAAAAGAAGCCGCAAAAAATCGACATTCATTGTTATTATAGCAAAGACAGGACATTTATTTCTTTATCCTTATAGGTACATTACTTAAAAGGTAACATTTGATGGTAGTCTGAACTTGCATATCAAGTAAAATACTGCTAAAATCTGTGCTACATGACATGGACAGAATCTTGTGCTTATCTCTACTGTCACTGAACAGGCTCGATCAATCCCAGCCAGGAACATTTAAAAAAATGCATTTTTTCCGTTTTCAGTATTTTTCTCTATTTTAGTACATTCTGAAACTATATGAAGTGTTTTTCAATCTAATCTTAAAATTATGTAATGGCTGTATTGCACTTTTAAATTTTAAAAGGGGTTTGGTCATAATAAATGCTAACAAAATAGTTGTTGATTTTAGTCGTTCAGAGTTGAGTTCAGATAATGCAATTTGGATTAAATGAACTGCCATAATTACTAACATGACATTCTTCATTGAATTACTGAATCGGTGATTCTCCTTGAATCTTCTTGCGTTGACAAAACTAAAATGATTGTCTCTTGTTGCATAAAGGATAAACTTTCACAGGACACAAATAGAATGTCATTTGTCATTCTTTCATACTTGTGCACCAACAGAAAAGATCGACATTATACATTGAAGGTGTTCGTATGAAAAATTTTTAAAAGAAAATTTCCGTCCACAAATTCTTGCACGTACTGAAGCCAGTGTTGACTAGTCATAAAAATGACAAAACGCATCGAGTTGCAATTTAATATTGAAAATTCAAACTTTTTATTACATTTGAAGAAGTTAATTTAAGGTCGTTCAAAATTTAGAAAATTGAGATTTCATTTTTTTAAAAAAATGTGTTTTGCTTAACTATATGTATTTCGTTCGAGAAAAAAAATACTTCATTATTTTATATCCCTGCATGAGACAAATTATTTTTTATTCATTACTTGCTGACCGGAGAACACGTAAATGAATAGCCTAGACGTGTCCGAAACTAATTACGAGTAATGAGAATTCCGCTATGGGAAGAACTGTTTGATTTGTACTCTACACACCAAAGCTAATCACGATTTGGCAGTCATTTTTACCAGACAATTTCATTTCCAAAAGTGAAATCGGAACCGCAATCTAGAAAACATTGCAGACTGTTACTAAATAACGTATTCATTTAATATGACCAAAACCTCTTTTAGTAAAATACTGATTACTCTGTAATGTCTATTTCAATTTTAATTCTATATGTATATCAACCAATGTTCTTAAAATTTATTCCGTTTGCTTTTTTAAATATAAATGATTGTTTTATATTCAACAGCAAAGATTCATCCAGCTATATGTTTCGATAGCAATATTTCATAAGGTTTATGATAATTTATGATACAAGATCCCGTGAAGAATTTTACAAATTATAAAAATCTCATGCCGTTACATTCACTTAAAACCAGAGTTTATAACTGTTTTGTTATTTTCATTGACGCTGTTATTGTTCATACTTTGAGTGGGTTCCATGTCCCATTGACAGTGCTAGTGTAACGACTTACAAGCTGTAAACGGTGGAAAAATATCATATATGAGCCGCGTAATGATAAAACCAACATAATGGGTTTGCGACCAGCATGGGTCCAGACCAGCCTGCGCATCCGCGCAGTCTGATCAGGGCTTACAAACTCTATAACAAGTAGAGAAACCAAAAGCGAACAGCATGGATCCTGATCAGACCGCGCTGATGCGCAGGCTGGTCTGGATCCATGCTGGTCGCAAACCCATTACGTTGGTTTTGTCGTGACACGGCTCATATGGTCTCCTTGTATTAAATGTAGGTACTGCACTGCAAATTTTTAAAATCACAAAAGATTCACAGGCAAATAACTTGCTCACATGGATGATATCAGCGTCTTTCACGAAATTCGAATCTACCGAAATTTGAATCTGGCAAAATTCGAATCTGGCATAATCCGAAACAACAGCGATGGTAATTATGTAATTCAATGTATAATGCAAAAGTGCACGGCTAATTTTCGTCTAGGTAGTAGAATGTATGTTCAGCCTACACAGAGAAGTATATACTTGCCTAATTACTCCTATTGTTTACTTCATGCTGATTTTAACAGTGTCGTTTTATTAAGAGCTGAAATGCGGTTATAGCTGTCTTTTTGGTAGGGCCGCGGCGATAATTTTTATACTTTTTGGAAGCACGTATCTTTAAAGCTGAATCTTTTATATGGATATAAATGGCATTGAATAGGGGAGTGTAAAATGATAAATTAGTAGTAATTTGTCTTCTACTGAGCTAATATTCGGAAAGAAAATTAAATGTCGAATTCTCCATGTAAAATATGAGGACTAGTTTTTGTCGATTATAGAAGCGATAGGGAATTTTTTGTTGTTGATAAGCTAAATATTCTCAAATATTTCATTCAGTTAAACATCACTGGTATCAAACATGAATAAGCAACCAATCGGTTCAAATTTGGAGAAATAAATGGCCTAGATATACTGACAGTGGATAAACGAAGTCACTGTACCATGTCTTGCGAGCCTAAACAATTAAATATGACATGTACCCAGTCTTGCAATTGCATGTACAGTCATTTACCTTTCTTGGGAGCCTTTATATTTTAACTTGTATCTTTCTTGTGATTACAGGAAGTAAAATTGATACTGAATTCAATCAAATACTTTTGTACAGAAGCGTTATGTTATTAATAGCACTTTTTATACTATCTAAATCACCACAGAAAACAAATAGCACCCAACTCAAGGTCGTTTTTGGTTGACGTCATACTTCTTTTTTCTGAGCTTACGATACGAGTTTATTGGAATGATGTCATTTATATCCCACATAAGAGAAAAACCCCTTATTAGACAAAGATCAATTGAAACTAAATACGAAGGAAATCATAAATACAGCGATCTTGGCAAGTGTTTATTAGATTATCTGAAATATATGGCTGTTCATAACGTCATCGGTTTGTGAGTGTGAACATGTTCCATATTACAGACGCCTGGTTTGATAAATTAGCTGTCACAAATCAGCGTTCTTTCTTAAATTAATAAACACCGAAAATTGCTTTATCCTCACGGCCACTTGATATGGACGCTGAAAAATGCTGATAAAAGAAAAATCGCTGTCCAATATAACCTTGCTCCTGAGTCTTTATTCATTTTAGTTCTAATCAAAGCAAAACTTTTATTGACTGCTTCTCGGGAGAAATCTTATATTACAGAAAGAGTTTCTTAACTGATTTTATTTTAACCTTGACATATAAATAGGTGATCAACAATCTGTTCACTGTGTAACAAATAAAGAGGAATACTGAGGGAGAACTACATAACATATCTTTTTTAATTTTTGAAAAATTTCTGCCATCGGTTTTAAACACATACGGAAATTTAAACTACAATATATTTGTGAGTGTTGCATATTTATGTTATAGATAAGTGATATTCATAACTTGATGCATCCGTTTCCTAAAATATCATTACGCAAAGTAGCTAACGAACAAGCCCCCTCTGTGCCACCGTAGTTTTCCTTTTAAATGATTACAATAAATATTTTGCGTTTATGATCTTTTCATTTTCATAACATAAATAATCTTAAATACATTCTAAAGGTATCTTTTTCATCAGAACTATATGAATGACTGATTTAAAAAAGAAAAAAATGGAATGTTTTATTTGATATCTCAGCTTATCGGTAGTGTTTTGTTAAGAACATTTAACGCAACGATCCCTTTAAGAAATCAAATATCTTCATAGGCATTGACAGCGATAAGTATTAAAATTTAATCTTATTATAGCGAGCCACACATTGTCGTCAATATTTTAAGTCAATCATTCGTATAAGTACTAACAATGAACACTTACAATCATGATTTCCATATTCGGTGTAGTTTTCCGTTTCATTTACATATACATGTATACCATAATACCCGTGTTACTTAATGTTACAAAATCTCATTGAACTTTAGCAAACTTCATTTGTTTGGGAATAAAGCTTTAGAAGAAATAGCCTTAAGTTGAAATTATTGTTTTAAAAAATAAATGAAGTTTAGTGAAGTTTAGTAAGGCTTATTAAAATGTTTAGGATTCTTTATAATGGCTGAAGGTATTGCTACTTTATGTTATTTTTTCTAGATGTTCCTAAAATATTCTGATTTATTTACCATTTTTTAATCATAGCATTAATTTGAATTTTTTTGGACTATGAAAATTGTAAAGAAGTATTTCCACAAGCAAATCTTTTTACGATAATGTAATTTTTCTATGATAGGTAGGAGGAAGTCTATTGCTATTAAAAGTGTTCGTTAGTTAACATAGAAATTTGCCCGTTATAACTAGTTATTAAATTTCCGTGGTTTTTCGCACGCACTGCACTACTGTTCTCAATATTGAACGAAATTATTTCTTGCTTATTAAAACACACTTAAAATTGACACGAGAATTTTTTTTAAAAAAAATTGGCATTAATAATTAATTAAACTGTTACTTTTCAGAAACAGGTAAAGCTGTTAGTAAAATCAACGCGGTTTTTCCATGATGAAAATCGTTCATATCAACGTGTCGCTCTTATGATAAAAGCATGTACGTGCTTAATTGTAAGGAAACGATATGGGTCTAATAAACATTTAAATACATTCAAAACAAGCAATAATTATAACTTGGGTATTTTGTTAAGTTACAACAAAAGTTAAAAAAATACATGCACAAAAATAACAAAAATAAAATAGTAACAACAGCAAAACGAAGAAAAGGTAAAAAAATACAACCCTCAACATTTAAAAATAAATAAACAAAAACATACAAAAATAAACAAACAAATAAAAGGTAACCTTACATTAAACAAGCTAAGTAAGTGATTTAGAGAATATTATATGTAAGTGTATCAAACGAAATATATATACTCCTGGAAATAAGTTAGCACACTCGGCCTCAAGTTTGACATGAACACAACTGAATTTAATTGAAATTTATTTGTGCAATGGTAAGAACCACCTGTAGTCAACCTGCAAAAACTGGAACAAGCTCTGCACAAAGAATGACAAAGTTTACCTCATATCGTATTAGACGCCTTACTGGCAATATGAGGAGAAGGGTTAGGGCTATCATTCGGTCACGTGGTGGATACAAACGTTATTAAAATTTGGCTACATAATGTCATTTTAGGTAACGTAATCGTGAACATTTTTTATAAACGCTCCAAACACTTTTATTTTTGGTAAAAACAACACATTTGCTTAAGCTTCAAAAATTTGGTTAAGAATGAACTAAACACATAAATTTCTCAGTCTCGTTTATGATTAATAAATTGGCATCGCTTCTTATCAAATTACTATTTCTTAGCTCAATTAAGTCATCTCATGACAGTGCTTTCAATCACAACCAATTTATAAAATTTTCGGGGAGTGCCAACTAGGGTTAAGATTATTCTAGTTGGCTGGTCTCTGATCAGTCCAAGTTAAGCTATAATAACTACTATGTAATATTATATAAAAATCTCCTTAATCTATTAGACTTTGCGATTGAAACTTCCAAAGTAAAAACTGAACAGGTCTAATGTAAGTGGAAGAGAAGGTCATAGTTAATGCTACCGCTCGGCATTTTTTCTGCTCTTTTTGAACAACTTATTAAGCTTTATTGATAAAACCTAAATGTAGTGAATAAAGAATTGATTTACTGACCGTTTAGCCAAAAGTAATCTAGAATGCGTTAAATGATTATTTACATATACAATATCATATATCATAAAAGTCATTAGTAAGTTTTTACCGAATCACTGATCCTAATGTAAATTACTAGTCCGTGTTAACATAAAATAAAAGGTAAATATCAAAATGTTTTTTCTTTAAACAAACTAGCCTATTGTTAATTTCGGATCAACTTTCATAGAAGTGTCACATTTATCAAAATCGCCTTCATATCCTCTCTACGATAATCAAAAACAGATTTGATGCATTTAATCAATATAACCCGTGACAGGTTTTATGTCTCAATATAAACGACTGTAAGCTCATATAGCTGGAGCAGCTAGGAAAGACAGCTTTTACAAACGCGATGATATAACCTGTCAAATTTTTTATAACGGATTTTTACACAAAACAATTTTATTTGAGCAAAAAATGAAAAGAAAATTTATGGCGGACGTGTTATATAGATTGCATATTTCGATTATCCAATGAAAGATGATGTTACAAATGTGTAGTACTATAACGTGATTTGTCTTATATTCCGTATCGATATTAAAATAGTAGACAATAAAAATGGTTATTAAATAGATTAATAAAAAGTTTCCGACAAATTTTAACATATATGTTTTATGTATTACTCAATCTGATTTTCAAAAATGTATAAGATTTAAAACGTTGATGACTCTCTTATACTTTAAAATTCTTAGCGATCTATAGCGATATTAGCTATTGATATAATTGTGCTATAAAATATAACATCAACATGATGGTATATTTAAATGATTTCTCATTCATAACGAACAGCAACTATGAAAGTTCATGAGTAAGCTTCATTATCTTCTCTAGCTATTGTTTGTGCTAATTTAAACCTTCTTTCGGTATTTTCTTATCAATGACTTTCTATTATAGAAGAAGAGTTAATAGATATACAAGAAATCGGTCTTGTACATGAAGACCGTGAAGCCCCATATATCATAGTAGATGATGATCAAGATGTCATCCAACCGTCAAGGCCCGTACCAAACATTCTGCTGGATCGCAAAGACTTAAACAGCAGTTGGATAGATGAAAAGCTGACGGCGGATCAAAACAGCTTTACTGAAGACGGCGGCGAAAGTGTCGATGCGTTTCCAGCAACAAAACCTACACTTAGTATTAAACATGCCAGACCAGTCGCAAGAAGTAAAACATTTTTTTATATGTTTGTCTAAAACATTAAAGCGAAACATGTTTTGATAAACTGTGATGGTTTGTGATCTTATTTCCTATCTAAGATATAAAGTAATTCAATAACGCGCTTAGTAATAAACATGAACATAGTAATATTGAAGACACTTTGTAATTTTTATTTAAAAAAAATCAAACTCATATCCTTATAGAAATAGTGTATTTTGTATTATTCTATTCATTTTGTTCATTAGCTATTTGACTGGTGTAAAACAAACAATTATATTCGATTACTATTTAGATTGGAAACGTTAAATGTTTCTTAACAGATTTTTCCGAGGTGTTCACCAAGAAAACACATCCAGCCGAGAGAATGTCCAGCGTTCCTGACATGCGGACAAAACTGGCTACACGATCGTCCCTCTCACGTTGTAAGTAAAAAGAGAGCAAGCGTATTGTATTAAGCAGCAATGAATGCATGCATATAGTATTGTTTATTAAGAAGTCAATATATTGAAGTTTGTGATCGTTTAATTCGAAATGTGAGGTATATTGAATTTTATCACACGATAAACGTCTACGCAATATAATCATTTAATGTAAGATGTCACATAACACGGTCATATTTCCATTTTAACATGTTTCATTTTCACATTATAGCAATTTGATAAAGGACGTATGAAATATAGACTTGCATTAGACTAGACAAACCTCGTCAACTTCCCTTCACTACACTACTGAAACAATCTTTATATACTCTAGGTGGTTCCCGTGTTCAAGATGTACCACGACCACAGATAGATGTCAAACCAAAAGATTCGGCACTTGACTTCCTTCGCTGTAAGTTATAATCTTCCATCAATTTATCACGGTTTTCAACATTGAATGTGTGCTTTTTATATTCTTGCATATCAGATTGGCGTTTCCGTGAGTTTTACCCATGCCGGAAATTTCATCTGGCATGGGGGGTTCCAGATGAGTCGCGTGCTTTACAATGGCACGCTTAGGATGACGTCATTTAACCGTTATGAATGTTAGTTGTAATTAATACGCTGTTGTAAGAAAGTAGTTACGGTTGTAATGATATAAATTTTCATTGAAAATAAAGATAAAGAATTTAAAATATAATCGAATATGGTAGAATATGCAAGAAAAAACATCTGACATATGTTTGCGGTTCGGATCGGAATATCCGTCCCTCGGTGACCCGCCCATGGGCGGTAACTCGGCAAGCCTCGTTACCGCCCAATTGGCGGGTCACCTCGGGACGGATATTCCGATCCGAACCGCAAAATATGACAGATATTATTAATCTTATCGATAAAGCCTGTCGCATTAAATCGTCCTTTAAAACATACACAGTAACGCTGTTCTTACAAATGTAAGTGTTTCACTACTGATACGGTCCAAATTGAGCTAATTGTGACGTACGTATCTCGACAAACATGCCGACAGCGAAAATCCATTTACCTCCCGTGGAAATTCAATATCAGATGTGTCTAATTGTTATGAAATCATATCTACATACTACTCAAAATTACCTCATTAACATAGTTTTTAAACTATGAAATTAATAATGTCCAATGTTAATGGTAACGTATTATAAGTATTATTATTAGTATAAGACCTGGGTATGATTTGTCATTACCGTCTTTGTATTTTACAGGTACTACGCATAATGAAGAAAAGGAAAAACAGCTTCAAAAGATAATAGGTATTATTAAAGCATCATACAAATTGATATAAAGAATGGAAATGTAGTTATGAGTTCATGCAAATTTTCTTCGAAACAACATGCGATTATCAGCAATAAAGCTATAAAAAATTTAATGATTTTAATTTCTTGTTTACGATTTTTAATATTTCCATTTTTGTATTTTATATACAAATCATGTAGCTAGACATAGCTATATGAAGATCAATTTTATTGTATATTAATACCTTTATAGTAAGGATGGCAATGCGTAAAAATTTTACTACACGAGAACTCGGTTACTTTTCCAATCGAGTACTCGGTTCCTCGATAGATTTCTAAGGACTTTTCAATTCTATAACCATTTTCCATATATCTTCAATTTTTGGCTAACCCTTCACGGATGTTCTGACTAAATGCTACAAGTTTATAGTGGACATATATCCTTGAAAATCTGAAAATAATAATAATTTGTACATACGACAAAAATTGATGCGATTCGTTTTCTAGCTAGTAATCGAGTATCATATTTTTAACCAATACTCGGACGTTTAATCGGGTACTCAAGCGGTTACTCGTTAAAGCTTGTGTTAACAGTACTTTACATAAAGAATTAAATATTTGTTTATATGCTTAACTATGAATTTAAATTTGCAGATAAAAGCAACTCAACCTTACAGAAACACAGAACAAAATCAGATGTTCTCAAACTCTGCATAAAGACGAATTCATACGAAAAAGCATACAAGAAATTAAAAGAAAAAAGATCAATTCTTATAACTGGCAAGGCTGGAAAGGGAAAAACGCATCTTTCTCTCGACATTTTGATGGCTTTCATGGAGGAATTCCAAGATTACAAACCCATGATAATTGAGACCCCATTCGATTTAACCTATCTTGAGGACACAGCCGCGTGCATTGTAGTATATGCTGATGGACTTTTAGGTGACAGTGACAACTTGGATCCGGCTGTAAATGGTTGGCGACACATTGTGAAATACATCACTACACTTATTAAAAGAAAAAGAATTTGTTTCATATTCTCTTCTAACATAGAAGATAGGGATAATATGGCATATAAAACACTTTTAGTAAATGGCTTACTACACGAGGATAGTGAAATTTGTTTAGATGATAAAGAATTTGAATTGACACACAAACAACAAAACAAAATGCTAACTCTCTACTCCAAACATTTTTGTAAACCACTGTACACCAATCCGAACGCAATTGACAAGTTCGTACAATGCCATGATCAGTCACTAGGATTTCCGTTAGTTTGTACCTTGGTCGGTATGGGGGGATCGCCGGAATTATTTGCTAACCCGTACCATGCACTTTGTGACTTCATAGCTGAGCAGCACGATCACCATTTCTCTAGCTTTTTCCTGCTGGTACTTGTCCTAATTACCGAAGAGAATTGTTCTTTATTACAATTTCAGCATGAAAATCATTCGACATTTCAAAAACTTTCAGAAGTTCTAAAAAGTTCAACGTGCACTCATTCAGAAGTATGCATAGGACTGACTAGATTGAAGCGACAAAATATTCTATATGAAGAAGAATCTGGTGACATTAGTTATACTCATGAAATAATTGCAACTGCTGTTCTAAATTTCATGCTTACAAACTACAACAAAGACGAACTCATACCTCTTTTACCCTTAAAGGTTACGAATAGTTTAATGCTTCTTCCAAATTGGTACTTTCAGCACCTAAATCCAAATGTTTTTACCCTTAAACAAGATATTGAATCTTCCACCGTTGTTCTCAGAGCAATTGTGTCACGATTTAGTGATATTCTAGATTCCAAACGACCAATCCACTTTTTAAAAGTAGCAATGTCGCCCGTTTGGATGCTTTCGTCATTTGTAGACATATTATACTCTGTACTTGGTTTTCAATTCTTTTTTATAGAAGACATCGAGAAAACTCCACTAAGTGCCTACCTGGTGCGCGTTGGAAATGTTGCTGTTATTGCAAAACTAGTCGACTATATGCTTGCAAAGCCACCACAAATAGTGTCTATGATGGGTAAAGCAATTGAAAATACGAAGGCAGAGGCATGTCGGTGTAATGAATATGATACTGTTATACACTTACTCAAACTTTCTGACGTCCTAGATGTTCATTTAGTTAATGCAGCAATTGAAGGTGGAGACAAAGACATTTTAGATCTAATTTGGCCCGATCATTTGCAAGTTGCTTCAAGGGACATGTTACAATTGGCATGCAAGTCAGGAACGGAAGAAGTTTTTAACTACATTTTTAGTAAATTTGAATCTGGGCTAAATAGCAGGCCTTCGAAACTACTCGAAATGCGTAAACAAAATAGTAAAGGTGAGACGTTACTTCACTACGCAGCTGTTGGTGGGAATACTGCAATATTTGACTATCTATTAAATCAAAGATGCGACCAAACAGTTCACACACATGAGGGAAATACTGTTCTTCATTTAGCTGCAATGTTTGGTCGTTATGAATTGGTACGCCTTCTTTGTTCTAGATTTCCGGATCTCTTAAGAGAGAAAAACAATTTAGAGTTTACATGTATTCATTTAGCTGCAAGAGAAGGACATGGAGATGTTCTACAGAGTCTTGTTGCTAGGGAATCTAGCATCAAAGAACTATCTAAAGGAGAAAACACGGTATTACACCTCGCCGCAGCCAACGGACATACAGAAATCATTAGATTTATACTTAGGTCGAATTCCGATCAGCAAAACGTGACAAACGACAAAGGTTTCATACCTGTACAAATGGCAATTAAATACGGAATGATAGAAACGTTAAAATTGTTCTTACAATCAGGAACAAGTTCAGGTACTAAAACGGTTGACAACAGAACATTTTTGCATCTTGCATCATATTTTGGTCAAATGAACGTCGTAAAGTTCTTATGCACCACAAGACCAGAACTTTTAAAGGAGGTGGATATAGAAGGAAATACAGTAGGACATGATGCAGCTGCTAGCGGGAACGTTTCGGTTATGACTTACCTTATTGAAAAAGGTTTTGATCCTCTGTCTAGAAACAAGTATGAAACTACGCTTTTACATGAGGCAAGTTTTCATGGACATTTTGGAATGGTTAAATATCTAAGCATCACTTTTCCAGATCTTCTGTGTACTGTCAATGCTTCCGGTTATACTGCTTGTTTTGGGGCAGCGATATGTGGTAGCGTTGAAATATTGAAATTTCTAGTTGACAAAGGTGTTGACACACTGCTTCCTGCTCTAGACGGAAGTACAGTCTTGCACGAATCTGCATTTAGTGGCAAGCTTGAAATTGTACAGCATCTATGTACAACGTATCCACAGTTACTAAAAACACCAAATAACAAGTCATATTTGCCGTGTCATTTTGCTGCTCAAGAGGGTCATCTGGAGGTTTTAGATGTATTACTTACTGGAATGAAACCTCCATTACCAACAACAGATGACAACCAAACGTTATTACATATTGCGTCGTACAATGGCATGCTTCATATTGTAAAATATCTTTGCAAGAAATTCCCATCGATAACATCTGCTCTTGACAACGAAGGTTCACTAGCTACTCACTACGCCGCACGTGGAAACGATGTTCAGATGCTCCAATTTTTATTAGATCAAGGACTGCGTCCAGACGCAGGAACTCAATCTGGAAGTACGATTCTTCATCTAGCCGCATATGACGGCAATGCTGACATGGTCAGCTATCTTTGCGAAAAATATCCGCAGCTTATACACGTCCAGGACACAACTGGCTATAGCGCAGCCCATTACGCAGCAGGAAGCGGAAATATTCCATTGCTTTTGAATATTCTACAATATGGAATCGATCCACACATAAAGTCTAGTAACGGCAGTACCTTACTACTCAAGGCAGTTTATAATGGGAGAAAACCTATGGTTAAATATCTATGTACGGAATATCCCGATCTCATTTCTATGACAGACGCATTTGGCTGTAACGTTCTTCACTATGCTGCTTGTGACGGTAATGTTAAAATCATACAATATATGATTGACAAGGGAGTTAATCCAGCATCGCGGACAAATGATGGTCACACTATATTACATGTGGCAGCATTTCACGGTCAACTAGAAGTTATACGTCAAATCTGTGAGGACTATCCGAACTTAGTGCACGTGAAAGACAACAGTGGTAAAACTGCAGAAGAAACTGCAACTGAACATAATAGAACAAAAGCTGCAAATCTTATTCGGTCTCTTAGCGTAGTGAATCAAGTTGAGATAACAGATTCCGTCTTACTTTCTGATGTGTGTTGCTGCCTTGGAACAAACTGCTTCGGTGGAATATGGCGAGCCATTGGCAACATTTGCTGTTGTGGCAGGAGAGGACAGTAAACTAATGCATCTAACTGACACCGAAATCGTTAACTAGAGCACTTTTTGACAAACTTTTTGAAAACATCATGTTTAAAATGCATTTTACTTAAACGGCTAAGCGTAAAATGTATTAAATCCGAATTCTGAATGATTACCTTACGGCATACTTATATTAATACCATACATCAAACTGTAAATTGTTAAGTAAACGTTTTGACCTTTGATAAATATTAAATGATTCGATGAAGAAGAATTTTCCTCACTCGTGCATTTTCAACCTCATTATTTTACGAAAACAGGCAAGGGAAGTTAAGATTGACTTGTATTTTCTTTGGTAAAAGAGAATAGAATTAAGTATCATTATATATATATAGTTAATACATAGAATCTATGCAGTGGTGTATTTTAGAAAACCGTTTGCATTAATATTCTCTGAATAGAATATAACGGGTTTTATGTCTGCATATTGTATTCAATATATAATAAAATATATTATGATACTGTGTTTGTAATTGTGTAAGATGTATCAAAATAGATTAGTCTAACTTTCTAGAAATATGATTTTGCATGTCATTGCAGCATATGTCCTTGAGCCATTAAGGTTCCTAGCCCTCTAGAACAGTTAAATTACGATATAAAAGTTGAAATTATCCTGATTACGGATTATTAATTCAAAAAGAGTTTTGGGAATGTTTTAACCAGGTGTCGTAAAAGTTATTCCTACACCTGGAATTTATGTTTGCCTTTTTCTCATTGAGTCTGTATTGAATAAGATATTAATCATTCTTAGCACTATGTGCGATATACGCCACTCCCTCTCGTATATTTATCCATACAGGGACACATATTCGGCAGAATGAAAAAATAATCTTTCGCTAGCTTCATGGAGAGCCTAATTGCATCTAAGTCTGTGATGTTCTAACAAAATGATTTGGATATTTTAAACCAATCAAATAAGGATCATTCTTTTACTAAACCTAAATCAATCCGATCAGAATATTTTCTAAAGCGATAAACGATTTTCAATACATGTATAATCTTGGTTTTAAGAGATACATTTACCCTGATCCTTTTATAGTTTTACACTGCGCATTAAAATCAAAATAGATCAACATGATGCTCATATCACTCACTGATAATATGATTTTCATAGATATAGCTTACAGACCTGCTGCTATTTGTTTGCTTGGAAATAAAAAATCAATGTCTTGTTGAATCATAATTATTGAGTGGCCTAAAGAAATGAAATTAAGATAATGAGCTAAACAACAGGAAGCTTTTCGAGAGATAAAATATTAAGAAAAGGAAAACATGAAAATACGCGTGCAGAAACTATCGAGGCGTTGCTGTTTTTTGACAAAGTGTACGATTTTTATATACGATTGTCAGACGCTTAAATGCAACAAACGCAAAAAATAGAGGAAAACAGAATCTCTAAAGAAAGCAAAATTGAAAATATTTCAGGCTCGGTTTGATTGAGCCTGTTCATGGACGGTACTGAAAAGTTACCGTCAACGGTCCCATAGCACCGGCTCAAGCAGAAGACTAAAATGGTGAAAGTCAAACTTTAAAATGTTGGAGGCTCTGTTTGATTGATGGACTGATTTTTTGAATTTGACTTATTGAGCCCTTTAATGGGTGTATTGGTAAGAGAAAGCTATCTTCCACGCCCCATATGATTGGCTCATTTGAACATGGTAATGGTGACATGTTGAATTTGTCAACATCTGCAGATGTGTTCATATTATACGGCGAAGGTAATGTAATCTTTAATACGACATGTTATTCACCAACACATTTGACGGTCTCGCTACTCCAAGAAATCTTTCTCGATCCACTGTCCTAGGTAAGTTGACTTTGTTCAAATTGGAAGCACCAACGAACCTGCAAAATGATAAATACTCAGCTTGTTTCAATGAAAGATTTATCTTTGTCTAATGACTTAAAGCAAACCTATTTTATCATTGGATAGCAAACTAAAAGCACATTTCATGATAGTTATTTTCAAATTTGTACAAATTGTATTGTGCGGTTAAGTTGTCCGAAAATATTAAACTGACAAAAAAATCAATTTCCGTATCATAATGTTTGCGTAATGTACTATAAAAAGAAATAACTCTGTAGTAGCAATAACAAATTAGTGAGTCTTGAAAATCACCAGTGTCGTATTAACCTAAATAAAAATATTATATAAAATATCACTCCGTGAACCTTTAACCATCAGTTATTTCTTTGAAAGATTTCTATAAGTTTTGTTTACCCAGAATGAAGTCACCTTCCCATATTCTTTGTAATTTCTTGCATTTAATGTGTTTTTCTATAAATATATAAACTATGCACATATCACATGTCTGACTCAGTAATTAAGACTCAATATAGTTTTCAAATATATTAGCTAAACAACAGGAAGCTTTTCGAGAGATAAAATATTAAGAAAAGGAAAACATGAAAATACGCGTGCAGAAACTATCGAGGCGTTGCTGTTTTTTTGACAAAGTGTACGATTTTTAAATACGATTGTCAGACGCTTAAATGCAACAAACGCAAAAAATAGAGGCAAACAGAATCCCTAAAGAAAGCCCAACACGGCAAAATTGAAAATATTGCAGGCTCGGTTTTTTTGGACCTTTCCGGTGTTTACAGTTTTATGTAAATTGGCTAACTTGTTATCCAATCGCTACACTGAGATAATACATAATCACTGATTGACCTGGTTTGTACAAAATAACACGTGCTTATGTTTGTGATACTGTTTGTGAGCAAAAACCGGAAAGGTCCATTAGCCTGCTCATGGACGGTACTGAAAGTACAAGTGCAAGTTACCGTCAATGCCCTATAGCACCGGCTCAAGCAGAACACGAAAATGGTGAAAGTCAAACGGAAAATCTAAAATGTTTGAGGCCCTGATTGTTTGATGGACTGATTTTTAAAATTTGATTTAGTAAGCGCTTTATTGGGTGTATTGGTAAGAGAAAGCTATCTTCAACGCCACATATGACTGGCTTTTAGTAATGGTGACATGTTCAATTTTTTAACATCTGCTGATGTGTTCATGTTATCCGGCGAGGGTCATGTAACATTTAATGTGATACGTTCTCATGTGAACTTAAAGACACCAACACATTTGGCGGCCCTGCTTCTCTAAAACATCTTTCTCGATCCACTATCCTTGGAAAGTTGACTTTGTTCAAATTGGAAGCACCAACGAACCTGCAAAATGATTAATACTCAGCTTGTTTAAATGAAAGATTTACTTTGTCTAATGACTTGAATTAAACCTATTTTATCATTGGATAGCAAACTAAAAGCACATTTCATCATAGTTATTTTCAAATTTGTACAAATTGTTAAGTTGTCCAAAAATATTAAACTGACAAAAAACCAATTTCCGTATCAAAACGTTTGCGTAATGTACTATAAAAAGAAATAATTTTACTCTGTTGTAGCAATAACAAATTAGTGAGTCTTGCAAATCACCAGTGTCGTATTAACCTAAATAAAAATATTATATAAAATATCACCTCACCCCGTGAACCCTATTTTAAGTCCTTTAACCATGAAAGATTTCTATAAGTTTTGTTTATCCAGAATTAAGTCACCTTCCCATATTATTTGTAATTTCTTGCATTTAATGTGTTTTTCTATAAATATATAAACTATGCACATATCACATGTCTGACTCAGTTATTAAGACTCAATATAGTTTTCAAATAGTCATTTACACTTTGCATAAAACTTTAAGTAGATTATGAAGAAATGACATTTTTATGCGTGTTGTCACGTTACCACCTTTATTTATCAAACGATTATCGGCACCACTGAATATTCTCTTTATAAGGTTATATTTTATTAATATAAATAACAAAATGTTTAGAACATTTTGACAGGAAAGTGGCGAATAGCGACTAAAACCTTTCGAACATCAATGTATGCTTTGCTTTTTGGGATGGTTTTGGTAGACACAAAGTACGACTTATAAATAATTAATACTTGTGCTTTGTAATGCCCTTCATCCCTTTAGTGTCGGGAATTTATGTTTTTTGTTTCATTTCTTCATTCTTGATATAATATAATTGAATTATACTTTGAAGCGGTGTTTCAATTAGACGAAGGCCAAATTGATATAGATTTTCTTGCCGTATGTCGGATACTTTTACTTTCACCTAGTTAAAACCCGAGAGGTCACAAATTTCATTTGATTGTCATAATGTTTATATAAGTTGTTAATTATTTATTCTATGGTCTGATGTTAAAGATTTTAAAAACGATATTTATTTTTAGAACTAAGGTTCATGTGACCTTTCCGTCTTTTACATTGCTTGAAATCTTTAATTATGTGCTGATGCTGTTGCCGTTCAACGACATACTCTATGATATTGCAATGAAATTTCACAAAGTCATTGAGAATAAGTTGAGTGTTAAACATCCATAACGCTTTGACATTTTTGAATTATCCCCCTTTGTAAATCTTAATTATGCTTGCCCGGAAACATTCTTGAACAGAATGGAAGGCATTTGATTAAAACTTCACACAGTGAAAAAGAACAGTAAAAGGAAGAATAGTGTCAAAGAAGCTACCTTGCAGAAATTTTTAATTATCTCACTAAATGGTACTTTATGTTATAATATTTGTACAAAGTATTACTCTTAAACATAAAGAACCATAATTCTACATTATTCAGTTCGATAAAACCACCCTTTATTATTCTTAATAGCGATTGTTCGGAGAATAACTTGAAAAGTATTAAAGGATTTTGATAAAAAGAAAAGCTTCTAACAGTGATTGAGATTGGTAAAAGAAACTGTAGTGTAAATAATTAACAATAACTTGAGTTTACTTTGTTTTAAATTATTTCCTTTTAAAATACTTAATAATGCTTGCTACACTTTTGCTAACTCAGCCCTTTTGTTTTTGTTTTTTATAGTGGCTGGTTTGTGTCATGTTGTATTTGTGCTCCGCGAGGCGCCAGGAGAAACCATGAAATTGAGACAAAATGACCACTTTGTCGTAATTTCGTGCTTAAGCCTTTCACGACAGACGAAAACAAAAAAATTCGGAATAGTGTAGTTTCGAGTTTTGTTTGGCGCCCTGCAAAGTGAGAAAAGGGCAAAATGGTCAAATTGTCGTATTTTTGCATTGCGCCTCGCAAATAGCACAAAGAAGAAATTGTTCAAATTACAAACATTTTTTCTCTGCCCTTTTTCCAGAGGCTATTTAAATTGTTTTCCGAAATATATATTTTTGTGGATAGGATACTTGCAAATTACATACAATAAAATAGTCTTGAAATTACAAAATAAAGGTTTGTTTTAATGAAGAAATATTTTCTTTATATGTAATTTAAGATATATCTGCAAAAATATTCTTTGTTTGCAACACATGACACATGTCTCCTATTATTAATTTTAAGTATAATTATTATAAAAACGGCTTTCAATTCTATTATTGATAATTTCATGAAGAACATTTAAGTAAACATTTTTTTTTAATTTGATAGTG